TTTTCAAAACCTTCATCAGCGCTAGAACAGCGGTCTATTGTCGCTACAGAGTTTTAATTTCACTACCTTAATGACTTTCACCACCAAGATGACGTGTTTGCAATTATGCGAATTGTTTTACCTCAAACTTAATTATCATCTCTGTACGTTAATTAAATTCGGGGTCTAAATCAAAAATGGCACAGATTTTCTCGATTCGAGCCGACCTCTGTTCGTAATTCGATACTCATGTTTATTTAGTTAGAAATCTACAGGCAGTCGGATATAGGGTTCAAGATGTATCACTCTTGAGCTACGTCTGTAACTTCTTTGTTTTATTAACTCAACTAAGTAGTAACGACATCAAACAAGTGAAGACCAAGTTATGTCACAGGTAACGCAGCCAGGCTCAGCGATAGTTTCACAAAGTCTGTTGGATTCGTTTCGCTAACTGCTGAAGCGTCATTGGTATCTGGGGCAGTCCTATTTCTACGAGCTTAGCGTGTTTATTTGCCGTTGGAGTTCGAATTTCGTGAAAAAAAAATGGTGTTGGAAAGTAAGCGATGATGGCTGAGATGTCATCTCTTGCGACCCACCTACTGTAAGTTTTATTGTATGGATGGAGAATTTGAGCAGTTTTCACGGAACTTCCTGTGAGCATTACGGACAACAATCGCTGACTGCAGAGTAATTCCAGTGACTTTTATCCAGTATTTCCTCTACAAACTTTAGGATCGTAGCTTTACCCCATACAAACACTGTAATTTTACAAGATTCGTTCTGTGACCGAGCCTGGGTTACCTGTGGTTGTGACAGGAAAAGCTATCCAATATAGTATGAACACCCATCTGATCTGTGACTCTCCAGTTTAGAGATCGTTGCGGGGCAGCTTCGCTTTGTTACAGAAAACGCGCCGCAATCACCGTTCTTATGTGTGAACAGAAGCCCTATTCGGTATGGCTTTCGTGCCGGCGCCAGAGCTATCCGGTAGATTGTGAACCCGGGGGGGGGGGGATACTCCTGGGAATTCTTGGTGGGGGCGTGCCGCCTGGTTCTCCAACCTGACCCTATTTCAGACCGAGAAATTTAATTTTCCGCACCCGTTTTCAAACCTGGCCCTTAGGCAAAAATTATGTTATCGTAACTTAGATTAGAGCGCAAACTTCCATTTCGAATTCGCGTACAAACGATAAATACGTTCATACAATCCCGTAGTTCCCTCAAAAACCATACCCGTTTTCAGACCAAAACGGCGCAAAACCCCTACCCCATGGGGCGGCACATACCTATATAGCTTATATAAGGGAGTACCCCCCCCCCCCCCGGGGGAGGAACATAGCTTAAGCCTTTGTGTACACTATACCGGATATTTTATTATGTCGTCATGAAAAATACTCCGGCCTGGCGGGAACGCCTGTTGACACTGCCACGAGGAGTCGAACAGAAACCTATCAAGATCGGTGCGGCGCAGCTTGGCTCTGTTACAGAAACCGCTTCGAAATTATCATCGTTCTTAAGTGTGAACAAAAGCCCGATCTGACGTGGTTTTCGTGCCGGCTATCTGGCATAGTGTTAGACGTACCATACCATTTTAACCTGTGGACCTGTGTTAACCTACCGCATTGGTAGAACTTTTGCAAAATATTGTTTATTTCTTAGGATTCTACTAAAAGAAATTTGGATTTTATTTTGGGAATTTTCTCTTTGTTACTGTCAAGAGTGGAGTGTTTAATGGTACGATCTTATCAGGAAAAGTGACCTGAAGCCCACCTGGTCAGGAACTGGGGATTCCTTATCATCCCGTTTGGCTTAGAACTGAGAAAATTCGATAAGTCGGCTTGCGAAAAAAATTAGCTTCATGTCGCCATGACGTGTTGGATCTGTCAGATTAGTTTTTTTTTTTACAATGCCAGTTCAGTTACTTTTCTAGTCAGTTTACAGTAGGTAAAAACTAAATCTTTAATTGCAATCATTCAAAGAGCCTCTTTCGTATACCACATAGTAGGTTGATCTGAACGCGATCATATCTAAACTTACTTAGATATCCTGACATCCAGTAATGGAGAGTGGACCCTTGTGGTCTTCCCCCCCCCCCTTCCCCGATGACACCTGGTTGTATATGTAGGGACGACTTTAGCTTGCGGCACGGTTTGTGCTTGATTGCAAACTTTACTTTTTATTTTAGACGCTATGGGGAAGCCTCATATAATTAATGTTCGTAATTCTTTTGTATCTGTGCGACATAACCGTAACGAACCGACCTTAGTAAAATTATGACAATGTAAACGACCCTTTTTGTTTGGTCTCTCTATTTGACCTTCACCTCTCTGAGGTAAAAGCAATGAAACAATAGTTCCTCCCAGTGCGGGATGTGCAGCCCACGGTGAAACACGAAAGTTCCGGCGCTGAGGCATTCATCCAATCCCGTAACCCTCCAGATGGTGGAATGTCTGTTGTATGAGCACTTGTCCCACCAAACACGCTGATTGAGTACAGGCCAACCACGCCCCACGACACTCCAGTGAAGGCACACAATGGCCTTAGTGGATGGCGGTCCATTACCGAGACCCAACACGTGACCAAGGCAGAAGAAACCCGGCGGTGGCACTGGTCGCCATATTACTGCCTCCGTATCGTTGTATTTTGCTTTTAATCGCCATAGCTCTTGGTACGTCACAGGGTGTCTGAGTAAGCCTTTCCCGTCAGTTTCCTTGACTACCAATACGTTCGCGTTTTCTGTCGTCCGGCCATCTTGTTTTGCGTAGTGACCTAGAGTGGAATAACCGACGGGGGCTTGAGGGCGATACACTCGGAGGCGCTTGGAATCAGTGCATTCTTGACCCTGGTAGATAAGGTCTAGGCTATTCCTTGTCAGCTTTTTAAATGTCAAGGAGGCGTTGAGAGGAGGCGGAATCACGTCAAGAGACAGTGACCAGAACTGGTTGAGTCGAGGTGCTGTTCTGGAGTCGCTACTCAGGAATAATCCAATGTTCAAGTAGTGATAGCTGGCGGCTAAAGTCCAGATGCTTGCCGTACGGGACTCTTCAACCCACAAGCGCTTCCCCGGAATGCCTGGCGATGCTACAGATTTGTGTACCACACACACGTGACTTTCCGAAGGTGGCTGATAGTTGGTCGTTGCCACATGACCTAAAGCAACGTACTCCCGGCTTGGAACTTTGGGTTCCCAGAAGGCAAGTACGTCACCGTCTCCCGAAGCGGAGCTTTCACTGCCATGAGACCCCTCAAAACAGGACGACTCATCGTCGTTATCACCTGTGAAGCCACGTCCGCTACCGGGACCTTCACTGCTCCATACTTGGGTAAATCCTTTTGCTGGTACAACTAAGTTCGAGTCACTTTGCATTAGAACACAAATCATGACTCCATGATTCGGTTTGTTGATGTCTCCCTCCTGGGAGTAATCTCCGAGAATGCAGAATCCGGGGGGACATTGTGGTCTATAGATTGTTAGACCTGGGCCACCAGTGTCCGTATATATTTTAGAAACAACAGAGACGATCATCAAGGCAATTCCTGCCCCAGCCATGATTTCTAAAAGAAAGGCAAAGGGAAAATTTTAGTTTGTTATCGCACAATTACGTTAGTTTTCATCTTTCATTATGGTAGCAATTGATGGACACTTTTTCAAAGTTCTTTCCCTTTTTGAGAGTTCGAACGACAACAACGGCTAAGCGCTTGATAAGTTGTAAGACTTCACGTTCTAGTGGTTAATGTCAGACGTTCAGGTAAGTAAAAAGCCAGAAGTTAAACTCGACACGCAGTTACAATCGAACTTGTCTCAAGAAGCTGTCGTCGGCGAGAACGCCCTCGAAACATAAAAATAACTCACCATAGGAGACTCAACGTTCTTTACTTCCGAAACTAGAGACCTTTAGATTCTAGGACGAGTACGACTACGAGTACGAGATTTTCTCAATACTAAGTAGTGCGCGCGCGCGAAACAGCGGAATTTGGGCGGGAAAACGTGATAGCCGTCGTCATTCTACTACGAGTTTTCGCGCGAATGTCGTGTTGGCGAAAGTTAGAAGTTTTATCATTTTGCCGGATCGGGAGAGCGCGTAACCTCCACTAAAGATAACAATGCTAACTTTTCTAGTGAAAAATGGTAAAATGAAGCTTTCCGGGAAGTCTATATTTTGAGGAGACGCGAAAAAGTCAAATCTCGTACTCGTAGTCGTGCTCGTCTTCGAATCTAAAGGTCTCTACTAACGGACAGCTGAGCGCTAGATTTTAGAGCTACGTTGTCTTTGTCCCTCTTTACATTTGTTTTTGGAGAGAACCACCTTTTAAGAAAGATGGTGGCTACTTTAAGAACTTGAAAGCGTAGGCTTTGAACTTTTACATGGTGGTATTTATTTCCATCGTTTTCATCCTTGGTCAAGACTTCCCTATGTCAGAATAATTCCTTAAAAGAAAATTTTGCCACTAATTTTAACTTGCTAGCAATCATTAAGTGTCCTTAGGGTTTTCTAATTGGTGTTGTAACTTGATGATGATAGAACGCGTCGTGGCGAAGAGGAGAAACAAGATCTTTGCATTGTCGACGTGTATGATAGGTACCTATCCTCCTGAGCAAGTAATTTTGGTAATTATCTAGGAGGCTTTTTGTGGCGGAAGTTAAGGACAATTATTTTCGTTATTCAGAGCTTACTGAGCAAGCATTACTGAGCGAAAGAAACTTTTCAACATACGTGTCTGTTTCAGGGCTATCCATGCATAATAGAGACCTTCCGAAACTACGACGGCGACGGCAACGGGAAGGTCTAAAACTCAATAGTTTTTTTTGTGAGCAAAACAACAACTTTACACCTGCATCACGCTTTCATTGTACATTAGTTTTCCGTCCTTACACAACTACGACTTGAAATGGCCAAATTTTGCGTTGCCTTGAGAACTGGAACGGCAAGGCGATAAATTTTACTATCTCTCTCTGAACTGGAACGCTATCCCCTCTCTTCGTTTCCACCTAACTTCCCTTCTTTTAAGTAACTAGGTGACTTGGCATAAGGGCGGTAAAGTTTCAAGGGACGCAAAGTCTATTTCTTCAGCGACGTTTTCATTGGCGTCGCTGTTGTCGGATCGTAAGGTCCCTAATATCGACCGCACCACTCATGGACCTGCTTAGATGTACACAGTAGGGAACACAGTTTTATTATTCCAAGGAACCAACATGGCGATATGGATAAGACATAGACATATCAAACACACTTATTTTTTTGTAGGTACTCAGTTGATGTCATAATAGACTGCTTGTAGTTCCCTTTTTAAAATCCGCCTAGTTCTCATCCCAGCCAGCGCGATTACCAACGCCTTCGTTTGTCGCGGCTCGCGTGTATGGGCCGGGTTGCGCGTGAAGTAACTTTGAAAAAAAAAAAGAAGAGACTGCTCGGAGTCTAATATCAGGAATGTCGGTACATCATTGTCTCTCTTACCTACCAATGCCGGTTGCGCCTTCGGTTCACAGAAACTTGAGATCTCAATTCTCAACTGCGCCAGTTGATGTAGATCACCGCGTCTCCAAAGACATAAGACGCAAGGAATAGCGACAAGCCCTTTTATATATCATCTAGACAGTCCATGGATATAAATAAAAGCAGACTGGCACGCGATCTATTTTTGGTATCATAGCTAACAGAAAAGGCCTTTTTTGTGAAAATGAAGTCTCTCGACGTGTATGCTATATTGGCTTGAAAGCTGGGCGTTGACGGATATCATGTAAAGACCACACAAGCCCAGTTGCGCTAAAATTGGAGTTGCAAAATCTAATAAAAAAAGTTCAGAAACCTAATTTTTCACATATGCTTTTTCGGCTCTAATTCCTTACTGGGGAAAAGTATGAGTTATAAATAGGCAATTACAAAAAAAGAGATATCATACATAGCATTTTATTTCGCCCTAAGGGTACTTGCCCGCAAAAGTCAGAGCTGGCTAGCCGGACTGGTCAATTAAAAAATGTGATAGTCTTTTTTTTTCGAGAGTTTTCGCTAAGAAACCATTCGATCAAAAGTGAAATTCTTCTAACGACTGGAATTTGAAAAAAAAAGTTATCTACAGTAACACCACGTGATCTGAATTGGGAAATCAAAACATACAAGTTGAAAAGGTATTATTTTTCTAGCTTTCCTAGATTTTCACCTTTTTTATTTAATAGAATGGTTTTGGCTTGGTTCGCTGAAAAAAAAAACATGATCATGACAACACATTGGGCTCGCTTACGAGTGGTACTGTTCATCGCGTGCCACTTCACCTTACTGAAATGAAGTCCTTACTGAAAACGTATCTTTTAAATTAGCTTTTAATTTTTAAATTAATTTCTCAAGGTTTTCAGAATTTAGTTGTAATGCGCCTTTGATCATTTTATGCGGAAAGGCACAATGTAAGTCCTTATTTATTATTTCGCTAAGTTTTTGTTAGTAAACCGTGCAAAGAAACGGCAAATGCCCGCCTGGAGTTTTTGAGAACGTAACAACTTACAAATTTGTACTATCACCCTGCTAAGTTGTCTGCCATGCATGCCTCTCAGTCTCTTTGAAGTTATAGCTCAAAAGTAAAGTTCAAGTAAGATATAATTTAAGTGTAGTTGACCCCTCTGAACCTTTCACTACTAAGAGTGGGCAAAAAAGAAAAAAAAGAAATTACAGACACATATATCATCAAATGTTTTTAAGCAAAATCATAAGAAATAAACAGTATCTTGTGCAAGTTTTTCTCAAGAGGTGTAATTTGGATGGTATCATCCGGGGATTTCATTCACAGACTAAAAGGTAGAACTACACACTAAACAAATAGTGCTAAGTGAAAATACTGCCGAAGAGGTTTCATTTGAATAGTAACACCATTGGATTTTATCCACATACTTAAAAGTTAGAACTACATACTAAATAAATAGTACCATGTGAAAGTACTGCTGGAGAGGTTTCATTTGAATGGTAACACCATAGGATTTCATCTTCAGACTCAAAAGTTAGAACTACATACTAAATAAATACAGTAGTACCATGGAAAGTACTGCTGAAGAGGTTTCATTTGAATGGTAACACCGTAGGATTTGGTCCACAGATTTAAAACTTTGATTGCTGTGAGAAACAATCTTGCCCTAATGTGGTCTGGTAGTGAAAGGGTGAAGTGATCAAAGCAGACTTGCAAGTGACATCGCATAAAACAAAAGTGCGGGTTTATCTTTGAAAGGAGACGAAGAGTTGAAAGATTTCCCGTTTTAAAGATTCTCGATTTTAAGGATTCTCTCGATGTTAAAGATTCCTACTTGAAAATATTTCCCCGTTCTCAATGGTCTAGTCCCATTCCCCGATTCCCCGTTTCTCATTTTTAAGATAAACTAGCCAGGATCCTGGTGGTTCAGCAGATCAGAGTTTTTCAACTAAAGAAGCGACACTGGCCGCTGACTCTACAGCTCGGAGAATTTTAGTATATTCAGCCAATATTTCGTCAAGCAGACGCTTGCTTTCTTTGCAAAACGTTATGGCTGAATTCTGCATTTTGTTGTTCCTTCAGGTTCTGAACAAATATGCGAAAGAAACCCTTCGAAACAGCAACGGAAATCAGTGTAAAACACTCAGGATTTCGACACGAGATAAAATCAATAATTAGTGGCCACTAGTGCTGTAAGTGGAATTATCTTCTGAGTTTTTTTTGTACCCCATGGCTGGCAAAATTTTGGTTTCCTCGCAGTGTGATTAATCTGTTATCTAAACAAAACATTTCTTGTTTGGAGTTCTTGAAACTTCTACTGTTTTGATAACGCTAAAACAATCCCGACCGATGTAATTTCGTGTAAAATCCAACTGTAACCCCAATCCTAACCGGAAATATGTAGCCTCTAGAAAACTCTTAGCGTCCGAGAAAATTGCAGCACAAACGAAGGGCAAGGAAAGACTTGGAGAACGAGTTAGTTCTTAAAATAATTCATAACAAGAGCCCTTTGTTAAGAAACAATGATTCTTATACATAGCGTTATCCTTGGTTTAAATATATCTCCATTGTTTTAAACTTATTATCATACCTTACCTTACCCGAGAACAATATGATGATAAAATTTAAACCAAGGATATATCTGAACCACGATAGTGTATTGGTTTCTGAGGCCATCTTGAAGGAGTTTTTTTTTTTCTGGAGGTTTCTGTTACAGTTAAAAAAAAAGATCGCGTTGAATTGATCTTAATGCGCAATTAGGATAGAGAGAGAGAGAGAGATTGTTACATGGCGCAAAGCAGGGTCAAGACTTCAGCGGTTTGGAGCTTGACTCCTTTTGACTCTAAAGATTGCATTTCATGTTGCTTTCGATTGATCGTGATGCGGAATAAGAATGTGAAGACAGATGTGTTACATGTGGTAAATTCCTTAGCGAGCTATTTTATAAATCTATTTCTTTTGCCAGAATATGCCTGTATGAAACCGCCTAGTTTTTATTTAGTCACAGAATTTTCATATTGCCCGAAACCACTATTGGAGTCCAAAAATTTTACATCAGAACAAACCGCATCTGTTATCATGACGGTCACTAGTCAAATGGCGCTACTTATACAGGCATAACGTAACAACATACATTGATTCCAAAGTTTAAGTCTACGTGGATCTTAAAATGTGCTGGACTTCTGTAAAGCAGTTCTTTCTCATCGTGTCGATAACTCAACGGAGGAAATGATGGTTTTCACTTTAAATTGGCTGAACAGTTTCTACATGTCTTCTCTGCGACACTTGCCAGGTTATTTCAACCTTTTAATTTCTTGACTATTCAAATCAAAGCTATCTAGCAGTTCTTTTAGTGCTACTATTGGAAATTTTGTGAACGTTTTTTTTTTATGACTTTTAAGTCTTTCGACGGATCTTGCTCTGTAGCTGACCTATCTTTTTACAGTAAAGCCACTGATGATAATTTCTTTGGTGATGGAAAATGCCATTTTCCTTTTCCTTCTAAATTTCCGGTCTGTAGAAGATTGCTTTCCTCAGAGGTACTTCGTCTCCGTGGTTTTGGGACTCTTGTCTTTATAGTATGACTCTTAGGGCGCTCTTGAGTCATAGCGACATAACCCGGCTTGATTTTTGCGCTCTTAGCAAGTTAGTTATTTAAACAAACGTCCTTCGTCACTCCTTTAATCATTGCTTGGATAAAACATTTGGTTTTCGTATATTCGAAAGAAAGTTTAACCGAAGATAATATCGCTGTCTTATTTGTACACCTGAAATGAGTGATTTGCAAAGAACATGTCCCTTCGGAGACGCTTTTGTGAAGGAATTTTGATTGTACTCCATTTTTATCTAGGGTTTAAATGCTTTAGTCTAGAACTGTTCCTTTAAGGGAAAGATTACAAAAGTACTAAGATATCACATATAGTCTCCGGTCTAATTGAGTGTTTTTATTCCTTGAAATGTAGTTACGGCGTTGTCATCTTCGCCTCTTCTAGCGAAGTTATAAACGACAGTAAATAAACGTGATTTCGCTGTTACCAGACAGGCTTTTGACCGACTCTTTTCCCTCTAAATATTATCGCAATTTCGTAATTATTCGCAGCCGTTGAAATTTCTCTCACATTCTTAACTGCGTTAAAAAAATTGTCTTCATTTATCGTGCCGATCAATTTATCGCTGATAGCTTAATTGAGTATCAAAGGATCAGCGTTTGTTCCGTCGCTTACAAGAAGTGAAAAAGATACGTACCAAGTGTGACCTGAAATACCTCGGTTTTCGTCTGCTCTTTCTTGACTTAAAGCAGTCCCCTTTAAAATATACCTTTCTAAGTATGTAAAACCAGCGTTTTAGTTCCTATGATTACCATGCTTATCCTCTAAAGTACTAACCCACCAAATCAAATCTTCTTTCACGACTGAATAGCCTTTCGTCAATTAAAACAAATCAAGCTGATCTAAAAAAACTTGGGCATGCGAGCATTTAGTTTAACTCTATCCCGCGACAGCGTGGAATTTTGTTTTGAAGGTGTTTCGACAAATCTGTACAAAGTAGAGAAATCATATGCTCAAACTGCAACCTACCGAAGCTCGAGTTTCCTTCCACTCTTTCGCGCCTCCGTCGTAAACCTTTTCCTCGAGGCTTCCAAAAGACTTTACAATCCAGGCTTCAGTTGCTATGTATATATCTGATTAGGGGCGGAAACCTGCCTCGGTCAAATAACTCACTCAAGATAACCTCTAAGACCTATTGCTTAGCAATCGGATGCGACTGACACAACAACCTCGATTTTTTTTGCAGTTTAAGGAATCTCTGTAACGCGCCAGCAAGGCGTGATGATAAAATTAAGTCTAGTACTTCTGTCCACTTGCTCTTGTTGATGGTTTTGGCACTTGTTGTGCCACGGTGTCTCCTAGATGAAGGCGGAGAGGGGAAACCGCTAAATCGGTTAATCCGTGGATAAAAGCTGTTTAACTTCCTTTTCCTTGTAACAAAGTAACTGAATCGATGGAGTTTTTGTTTTTCATAATTCAACACTGATGCCAATATCGCCCTGCGCGTATACGGATTCGTTTAGAACTACCTTGAGAAGCTTATATTTGTCAGATAATGAATTTGTTATTAACAATTATATTTTGTTGAAACACACACCAACACACCGGAAAATCTGATCAGCAAAATACTTCGAACGGGTACACAGACTTTTTTTAGACTCGCTTTGCATGATATTGTGTTTTCATTAAGATGAAATTAGTTCAGCTATGTGTCTTGGTAAATAAATAGTCTGTTTTGACTGTTGCTTCATTAATAACAAGATAAATCCAGTTACTACTTAAAAATAATATTTCTGTTGGGTGGAAAAAGTGGACAGTGGAATGTATGGGTATTACCCTGTATTATGTTAGCGAAATCTGGTGGTAAATTGATAGGGGACGGGATGTGGAACCTTTGGTACGCTTTCCACCACATTAATGTTCTTTTGGTACCAACAGCATAGGTGGTAGTTTTTCTTCGTTTCTCTTTGATGTAAAAAGATAACATATCCTTATGTCTTCTGTGTGGAATGGCCCTGATGTTTTTTAAAACTTGCTATGTGTAATTAAAGGTAAGGGACCAAACCTGTAGGCGGAACCTCAAAAACACGTTCCGTTGAGTATTCCCGGGGCTTCTTTCTTATGGGGGCCCCGTTTTTTTCTTTGAAATGTTGCTACGTTTGTAAAAACGAAAGGGGACGAATCTCTGGTGGGAGCCCCACGAACCTTTCCGTTGGGTATTCCCTGGGCTTCTTGCTTTACATTCATTTGTCCCTTTCAGCAATTTTTAATTTCACAACAAAGTTTGATATCCCCTGATTTCCTCCCCACAGAAAAAAAAACACCCCTGCGAATTGCAGTTGATGTCAATCAGACAGTTTTTTTTAACCGAGTTTCTTTATCTGCAAAAGATATTTCATCTTTATCCTATTCATTTTGCTCATGAAACAAATTTATGGAATAGTAATGACAGCTAGAGAATTCTTGTCTCTGCGTGAAATTCTCGAGTCTACAAAACATGTCTCCAAGCTATGGTTGTTAAAGACTGCTGCTTTTTATTAATTTGAAAACCAATACTTTAAAACAAAACCTTTGGTCTTCAATTTTTTATTTTAATTGACTGCTCGAATTGAACCTATTCAGTGACTAATTGGACGATTCAGCTATGACTTGACGAAAGGCTGTTTAGTAATCAAACCAGGCAACGTCATATATCCAGCATAGTTTCGTTTATGTGCTCCACCGGGGTCTCTGATCTACTGAGTTCGGTTTTACAGTTACTGATGTTTTCAGAGTAATATCGCAGAGCACATGCCTTATGAAAGCGTTCGTTGATGTGTTCGCTTCGAACTGGAAAACCGTAACTAGTCTAATTCTTTGCGTCTTTGGAAGCCATTTTAGAGCATTCGAGTTTAGTGCAACATTCTGGAGTTTCAAATCATGACTTCGTCACTACTCAAAAGAAAAAGTTGATTAAAGCAAGCGTTTGTTGATATAAATTTGATCACTTCAAATCTGGCTGGATAGGATATTTATTGATGTTTACAGTGAAAATAGGGGTTTCTTAAAAAGTTCGACCGTGTTTCACTTGTAACAAGTAGCACAGCCGTTAATGCTATCAGAAGAGTACCCTCATATATGTGCAATCCATCATTGAATCAATTTGTTTTATCACAAGGTCTCTTGATTTCACTTAACTCAGTGGCAATGTACATTTAATAGATTTTCCGGCTCACGGCTGTTTAGATACCCTGCAAGCAGAGGTTTCTACGCTCACTGTCAGGCTACGCGAACGACTTCACACACAAGTGTTAAAGGCCACTGGGGCACCCAACGAGAATATAGTTCAAAACCACTTAAACATAGCGTTGTTAAACGTATTTTAGTATTTAAACGGTAGATATAGGCATATTTTTATTCTCCCAAAATTTTTCATCTGTTTGGATATCCTAGCTGAAAGTCTAGTGATCCGAAAATTAAGGGATCAAAACTTACCTTTTCCAAAATTTCAGCCAGAAAAAAGGCTCCCGAAAATTCTAGGTGGCCTTTTAAGGGTAAAAATCCGTTAAAAATGGGCAATTATACCATTTTTTAGATGTTCCAAAATCCTAGGAGAGGCATGCAAGCAAGAAATTTTACTGACAAATGCTTCGAAAATTCTAGATCTCGATTCGTCTTCCGAACAGATATTTTCCGAAAATTGACGTTGGGTGCCCCCGAGGACATACCATACAAAAACCTCTGCTCACAGGCTACTGTATAGAATGCAGTAAAACGCATGTTAATCAAACTACCCGCGAAGCGAAATGTAAAGCAGTTAATGTTAGCTGGTTATCTTGGGTGTTTTCTTATATGAAGAAGTTAAGCATGGGATGCTGTCCTTGTCTCTAACATAATTTATTAATCCGTGTACATATTCTTTACTAGTTCTCTCTGTTTTGGAGTTTTCAAAGAAAGAAAAAAAAATATTGCTACGTTTAAGACCCTTGAAGGAAGTTATAGTGATAATTCATCACGCTGATTTTATAAGTTGCTACTTTCCCTGCCAAGGATCCTTTTGTATAAATTCATGCCATTAAGTTAAAACAAGTGTACAATCTGTTTGATATCAATGTAAAATTATGAATACACATTTTCAAATAGAAGGTGTGGCCCCGATTCTAAATGGCCTGTTTTCCTTAATTGGCGGCTTTCGAGAAAATTATTTCCTTGTAATAAGTTCTTTTTTTGCCAGATCACAAAATATGCCTTGCGAAATGTTTCTCTTCTATTTTCACTACAGTGTAGATCAGCTGCCCGCCAAAGTAGGTCAATATTAATAGCGTGCTATAAGTTAAAGATTGCGTGTAATTTTTCAAGTTCGACTTAACATATTGGACATGATGCATGAAAAGTTCCTTGCCAATATTTTGTCGGAGAGTGTTGGATTTCCGGTGGTCTGGTCAAATGATCATTGATTTCCTTCTCATTTACAACGAGATAATTTGTAACGCCCAAAAACTGTTTGGGGTTCCGTCAGTTTTATAAAACTCGGTGCCTTTCCACTTTCCACTTTACAAAGGAAGGAAGCAGCACTTTTTTACGAGATGAAAATAAGTACAAAGGGATTTTGGCTGTCTAAGGAAATATTTTTGCCGGATATCTGGTCAAGAATCAAAGCAGTTGCTTAAAAAGTTATCCAATTTAAGGCGCCACCGTGTTATTGGAGTTTTCCGTTCTGTCTCTATATCTTTTTAATGTTATCTGCGCACGCGACCGTTTGCGACAAAAGTTCTGCCTAAATTTTAGATATTTTCCTCAACAAGAAAAGTTTAAAGGACAGCTTGTCGGTTGGATTACTTCCTTTTCTTAAAAATACTCAACGTGAGTTTCGTTTCTTCTCCTCTAAACAGCTACCTTCATAATTGGTGTTTTCAAGGGCGGGTAAAAGTTTGAGAACAAAACCAGATGTTTGCTTTGTAGTGACGTTCTTCTTGGGGAAGCCGCAAGCGACGCAGGCAGCCTTGTGGAAGATTATGACTTTAATTGATTGGTTTTAGAAGATAATTTCGGTTAACCAAAACTCCATCTCGTTAACTCAGACATCTTCAGTGCCAGACACTTGAAGTATTAAATCGCTATATCATCCTTCTTAACGACGGACATCATTAATAATTTATGACGAGATAACAAGTTGCACCATACTTTGATAGTCTGAAATGTCATCCGTCTCCAATCTCGACGACTGACACATCAGACTGCTATAGTGAGTAAATCTTGGATTTGCGATCGAAATTCTACTGCAATGAAAGTTATGTGCACTTTTACTTTAAACCTATCTTCAAATTACCCTCGTCTTTTTCTCCGTGTTTGAATGCCCAATGAAACACTCTTCCTTGTGTTTGAGACCACAAGGAGACTTCAGTATAAAGCCCCCGTCTCGTGTTAGAGGCCACAAACTGCTCTTAAATAATTTTTGTTAACGTTTTGTTTCTACTTTGTTCAGCTTTTATGTCCGTTGATAAAAAACCCTGAAGCTGAAACGTTCTTATAAACGTTATTGAGCACTGCATTTCTCCACGGCTTGCTATTATCACACCTATGATCGGGTTTCTCGCTTCGATCTACTCGCTGAAATTTTTAAGTCGCATCAGTAAGAGAACATAAACCCGAAAAATTTCCGTAAGTCTTCTTCGCTTACAATTATTTCTATGATGCGCGCGCATACAGGGTTTTGTTGTGTTTTGGAGTCTTTCGACAAGTCTTAAAATAAACAGTATTATTTGTTAAATTTGTCTTTGGCGAAAGGTTTAGTATTTACCGACGTGGTGAGCGGCTGTCACAAACCGGCGTCCGAACTTCTGCCCTTTTCTTTTAATTAAACACGTCGAAGGATAACAGTTTAATAGTTGCTGCATGTTCTGCGCAGACAGTGTAATCCTGTTACCGTGTAATTGGGTGCCGGCATTTACAGCGTATCGTATCTTGCCTTAACCTGCTAAAAGCAGTCCATGAGTGTCTTAGTAGCTTTTGGGTCAGAGGTTTATATATACCGAACTATGCCGTAGTACAGAACCTTTTGATTTTGTATGGCTGGGCAAATTTCAGATGGACAGCCTAGGTGTAGAAGAGGAAAAGGGCGACCCTAACCCTAATCCTAAACGAAACAAAAAGACAGGATGTCCTATCTCGATATTGCCCTATACACCAGACTTCGCTGGCAGTTTTGGGTGTTACTTTTAATAGTCTAATCGTGCCATAAATATAACTTCCTACAAATTGTTTGTCATCTGTACGTTTAGCCGTAATGGATAAGGCAATTAATCGGGTCTTCCTCAATTAGGTCGTATTTTTATGCTAGTAAGGGGTATACTTCACGTAAATAGTTGTACTGCATTTTTTGGCTCTGGTGAGGCACATTTGAGTTTTGATGTCTTACATTTTGTCTCGCGTTGTCGTGAATCAAGGTGCAACTTGTTAAAATCGCTGACCAACATTTAGGTAACTTTTGCACATTACAATTTATTTCTTAGGATTTTAAAAAAAGAAATTTTTGTTTAATGTGAACTTTTATGGCCTCTATTAGGTATAAAAAGTTTATGCTAACGCTAAAAGGTTAACCTAAGGGTAGGATGTCCGATTAAAATTTGTATCGTCTTGCTCATTGATCCAGCACATGATTAGCTGTTAATTAAGGGTTACTTATGGAGTTAGGGATTTCAAACCAAGACCGTAATACCAGGACGCCTTCTTAAACAATCGTATGTGACCACATTTGGCATTTGTTTTTCCGATCCAAACTTTTTGTGGACCTTAACTGGCGAATTTCAGTGCAATGAAATGTCTAATTCTTTGTTTGTAGCGAATAGATTAATGAAAAAAAGTGGCTCTTATTATAATCTGCCTTAACGATAAGATGTGTATTGAGTGTAATTACGTCCTTGCAATCTTGTCATTGGTAATGGCTTGAAAGGTTTTACCGATAAAGGGGCAGTGACTTTGGATAAAGATCATCCAGATTTACATATAATGCAAATCATGTGGTGTTAACAGCCCCGGGCAGAAACAATTTTTCGGCATTGTAGCTTGCTGCGTGAGCCTTGTATCTCCTTCTGGATCAAGGAAGGCGAGGAATTTGCTGGGTGTGAGGAGATAGTAGAGAAACACTCTTTCTAGCGAAAACGTGATGACTTTATTTTAAGCTTACATGTATGCTTAAAATGTGCAATCATATCAAAACTGGTATTGAGAATTGTTGCATATGCGTTCTCATCCCGTTATCTATCTTGCTTAATTACATTTCTGCAAGTGAACCGGACCTTACTGTAAACTGATCATTAGGAATTACAACAAAATTAGGAGCAAATAGAAAGTAAGCTTAAACCATAGTTATTAGAGGAGACTGGTTATGAAAAGCGGCAAACATCAATGATAAAAACAACAGTGCTGCAGTTTATGTTCAAAGCACCGTGAAAGTGCGCAATCCTTTGTTTTCTGTTGGCAAATTGTTACGGAATAAATTAATGCAACGTTTTTATTGGTCAATACAATCAAAGTGATAGGAATTCTTTTGAACGTTGTGCACTTTCAGGTCCACAAAAACATATAACAAAGGCGTCTGACGGGTTTCATAACCATTCCACTCAATTAACTATGCTTAAACTGTAGCTAAATACCGCCAAACTAATGGAGCCTGAACCCGAGGTGGTGAATGATTGATGTGTTTCTTTTTTTGTAAGTGTGAACAATTAGATAAGCAAGGATGAACCATTGCACTAATCAGTAATAACCTCTGTTTTTTTTTTCGCACTCAACATGTTTCTAATTTGTAATTTTGGATGAAATCCCAGGTAGCTGTATACGTTTGTTGTTTTCCGAGGTCAAGAGATATAACGTAAAGATATATCGACTGAGTTAGGTTTTTGGCGCGCCATGCAAAATGCGGCAAACTTGAAAGGCATGAGCACGCAATTTATACACAGTGGAAGGTTAAGGATTTTAGCAGTTGACAAACGTGAAATAGTTATCACCTATTCCTCGCCGGTAAACAAGTATATGTGGAAAAACTGATTTGAATTGATGACAAATTTTAATGTAAGATAACTCTAATAGTAAACGTTTGGTTCGATTTTGATAAAAAATCCATGGTTGCTGGTCCACAAAGACAACTTACTTGATTTTCATTTTTATGAAATCTCTAGCGGGTTTTTTAGGCACAAAGTTATCAAGGCGAACTTCTTAGAAATAAGACCTTTTCCTCCATTTTCCGTCGAAGTTTTCCCTGGCAACACGATTAGCGATTTGTTCCAATCCGCAGTTTATGAGTTTAAAGGACAGCACGCCTATTCCGGCCCTGTTTAATCGCTTTCGCTTTGAATGGTTACACTTTACGATTCAACCACAGAGTCAAAGGTTAAGAACACTATTAAAGACACATCAGGGGCACCCAACGAGGATATAGTTCAAAACCAGTTAACATAGCATTGTTGAACGTATTTTAGTATTTAAAGGGTAGATATAGGCATATTTTTATCCCCTAAAAACTTTTCATCTGTTCGGATTTCCTAGCTGAAAGTCTATAGTGATCCGAAAATTATAGGGATAAAAACTTACCTTCTCGAAAATTTTAGCCAGGAAAAGGCTCTCGAAAATTCTAGGTGGCCTTTTTTAGGGTCAAAATCCGTTAAAAATGGGTAATTATATCATTTTGTAGATGTTCGAAAATCCTAGGAGAGGCAGGCAAGCAAGAAATTTTACAACAAATGCTCCGAAAATTCTAGATCTCAAATCATCTTCCGAACAGATATTTTCCCGCCGCTCAACAACAAGATTTCAGGAGGTAGAACCATCAGGCAATTCTGGGGCGCTTTCCATTTACTCAAAATTTCCGGAATTTTCGGTTCGGCCGTAAATGGAACACGTTTCGTCGGTTCGTCCCACTGGAAAATTCCCAGAAAAAGTGGAAAATCTAAAAAGGTGGGCCCGTTTTCCCGGTTGGAATTTCCGAACGGAATCAGTCGTGTTCCATTTACGTTTCTCGTAGTTTGTACCAGTTCCAGGTCCACGGTCGGGCACCGCGACGTGCCGGGGTTTACGACCAAATGGACAAATGGAACAACTTTTTACCAATCGGTCACTTCTTCCATTTCCGAACAAACCAAATACAGAAATGTGGAGATAAGCGCAAGTCAGAGGTTAATCTTTTAGCTTTATAATCTAAGAATACCATAGCTTTTCAGTGCAAAGGATCTTTGAAAAGCAATGCTCAATAGCTTTTCAGATTTATTAGGAAACTTTTAGAGTTAGTTTAAAAAACCTCATTTTTTAAAACACCTCATTTTTTAAACGAAGTCCACAGAAACATAATCTTCTTTAAATAAATGTTTAGCTCGATATTTTATAATTTTAACGATTTCACATTGGAGTTTATCACTGATGCAAATGATTAAGGCACTGTAAACATTTAAACCTTTATTAAAAGGCCAGTTGCTCCTACTGAAATGCCTATTTGTCCGCTTAACCTTTAAGTCCCAATGGTGACCAACATCAATTTTCTCCCAACAATATTCATACTTTGTCGAGAGATTAGGTTATGAGAATTTATGAAATGATCACTAAAGAGAAAATGCTTTGATCTGCCATCAAATTCTCTCAACTAAAACTTAAAGGAAATGTATGGAGATCAGTTTGGAGAATTTGTATGTGGATATTGGGGCTTAAAGGGTTAATACAGTTTGTTCGTTGAACTCATTGAGCTTAAGCTTCCTTGAGCTTAAGGAATCCAGAGAAAAAAGCCTTATACATGGACAGTGTCCATCAAAATACAAATTTACATCAGAGCGATTTGTACCACGAAATTACAGACTATTACAGGCGTCATCAGACAGCTAACAGCCAATCACCGAAAAGGAAACTCTGAATATTTAAGGATATGACCTCCACTGTTGGAGACGGAGACTGAGTTGAACTATGTATAGGAGCAACAACTTATGTATAGGAGGCCTGATATCAGTCAGCCGAGAATAAACTGAATCGTCAGCTCCCCAATAATGGCACAGAGAGGGAAACGCCCAGTCTAGCTGCTAAGGTTATTTTTAGACCAATTGATCGCTTGAAATTAATCGGAAGTTGGTTCATGATAGGTTCGTAAACCTTTATTCAGTGTTGTCAAGAGGTAATAACGTGACATTATGCTCTCTCGGTGTGTCGCCTTGACAATATTCTGCATGTTTGCTTTAAGGCAGTTGCGCGTGGAGTTGATGACTGTCCTGTAACTTTTGCCTAAAAACCAACGCGATCATCTGTCATCAACAGAAAAGGAGAGGATCGACTAATTTTGTGCCCTATAGTTAACAATACCACACGAAAGTACTTCTTTAACCTTCTTTTTACCAAATGGTCACTGTTTAGGCTCCAATCAAGCAACTCTTCGGCAAAGTACTTTGTTCCGGTTTGGGTGTTGTCCATTGTGAATTGAATCTTTTGTTTTGTGTTGTTTGGTGATAAGAAACTGCTCTCTTCTTAGTTGAGAGTGCCTTAAACAGCTCTTACTCTTTTTCTGTGTTTAGAGTAGCTAAAAGGTACTCTGTGTGTGCTATTTGTGGCCGACAAACTGTTGTGTTTTATTATCCATTAAAACTTTTAATTTTTAAATTCCCTTCGGTCGCCAATTTTATGTTTTGCGTCTGTTATATCCGAGTTTTTTCAGTGTAATTCCTTCCGCCGATTCTGTTTGTACATAGTCTGTAAGAAGAGTTTTCGTCGGAGTTTTTTTCAGTTTAATTCCTTCCGCTGATTCTGTTTATACTTAGTCTGTAAGAAGAGGTTTCGTCTCTGGACGAAAGCTTTAGTCCTTGAATTTGCAAAACCACAACAGCCAGTCTCTGCAACTTCCCTGAGAGCTTAGAGCTGCTAATACTTGACACCACCCCCACGCCCCCTCCCCCCTCTTTCATGAAATAGGTATTGCACCGAGGTTACGGCCTCCGTAGACTGCACTGCGAATACCGGCGCCTTTCGCTACACGCCGCTTGAAACAATTCTAGAGGCGAAGAGTGCTTATAAGTGGATGTATTCGCAGGCTTTTGCCATCCTCTTTCTTGTTAATCGAAAATGTCAGCCTAATAATTATTTGCCTCAAAATACGTGTAACCTTTTTGGCTGGCTTTCTTTCTTACTTTTTCGTGCCTTAACCCTTTATGGCCTAACGTATGTCATTAAAGAAGATGTGTTTTGTCCCCCGCCTGTGACTTTACAGACGTAACATTTCTCTAATATAAAACGTAGATCTAAATTTTTTGTCTATGTTATATAAAAGAGGGCTCTGAAGGGTCCTGAAATGGTTGCCCGAGAACGGATTTTCCGCCCTTTTGGACTGCGGAAATGGGATTTTATTCACTCAGACAGGGAATGTTTTGATACCGGGAGTAAGTTTAAAGGCAGACCTTACCTCAGACACTGAGATCTAAGAGACTTAAATGTAGACTGGTTATATGGGATGTGATTTTGAATTGTTTTTGTGATTTCGATAGGTAACAGTTCGCGAAATTTCTTGGACACCGCGAGAAACAGTGCTTTGATTAAACTTATTGTGATTTTAAGGAGTCGTTCTAGAGGTGACAATGACTTTTTGCTGGCTGGTTGATGTCAAAAGTTGAAAAAAAGAAAAAAAAAAGCGTAGGATTGTCTATCTTGTTTTTCTCAAATGGCTGAGTGCGTTGGCACTCTCTTTCAATTTCAGTGTTGAACACGCTCAAGCGCCTTTTATCTACGTTTTCTCTGTAATGATAAAAATACAGCGGAACCTCTACTAACGACCACCTCTCTATAACGGGCAATCCATACATTTACCTTTTGAAGTTCTTTAAAACGGGCTCCTCTCCACAACGGCAACGGCCAGTAACTTGCGTCCCATCTACCAAAATAACCTCTCCGCAACGATGTGCAAACTGATGTAAAAACCGTGCCTTAAGTTTTGTTTTCTTAACACTTTTTGTCCGGCCTGTAGTCTCTATTTTTCTTAAAATATTTTGATTGTGCTACTTAGTAATAGGCTTGTTATAATAAGCTCTTAAAAATAAATTAAGCATCAAATAAACAAATAAATATGTTCAACCCTTTCCAAAAGGATCATCGTCACACTACACCTCCAAGTGACTTTCACTTACCTAGGCCCCAGTTGGCCATTATAGAAAACTTCGAATGTAATCAATTTTTTACTTTTTATGTTTTTGTAAGGGAATATATAAAAAAAGGAGTGTTGCCAAACTGGTCATTATCCTTATATCCTCGGGGGTTGTAATCCTTTTCGTGCCCTGTGGCAAAGAACGATAGATTGCTTTTCAAAAGTAACGGATAGAGCTGAAAATTCAGCTTTGCGCCCCCCCGGCAATATAACAATGGAGGCGTCAAAGTTTGTGCTTTATTGGTTACTGTTTGTACCGAAAGGCTCCGTTTTTAGGCAACTAGTTCACACCTCTTGTTTATACCTTTGTTTCCAGTTCAACAAGACAGTTTGTCGCCGGATCGCTTCGTGGATGTAATAAACAGTCTCAAGAAATACACTGTTTCATTTCTTTGGGACTTGATAGCACTGGCCGCCTCTATTTATAACAAGGTATGTTCACTTTTATAGCCTTCTTCTTTCCTAAGTGTCTTCCTCAGCCCTGTTTGTTTCTTTGATGTTTCGGACTGCAGTACACTTTTTTTTGCGTCACGCGCTCAAAGCATGGTTTGAGTTTTGGAAGGTAAAATTATAGGGACTTGATCTGAAATGAAACAAAAATCACTTCGACTTAGCTGGCCGTTCGAGTTACCGAGGGCAAAATAACAGTAAATATATGAAGGAGATTCAAGGGAAATCAATTTTGGTTCAAGTTGGCGAGGGTTTAAGTTATAGGGAAACAATTGTATTTCTCTACTGTCCTTGGGGGTCCCCACAGGCACAACTGTGTTTGGCTAGCTGTCTTCGCCTCTTGCTGCTCCTCTGTTTAGCCTTCAACTAACGTGTTTACATTTGTAATTGTGCTGTTTGCGTACTTACTTTTTCAACTTCGTCCCACAGGAATCCCAACCAGATCTCCACCGAGTGACTCCATTCGCCTGTAACTGTGTTTGTGAACTTTGGATTATGTTCGTTCATCTCATGGATCACTTGAGCACCAAAACCGAGGTAGAGGTAAGGGGAGGACATACTGAAGTTCACGTTTATTCAAAAAGAAAAAAAAATTCAGTCACGCGGTGTCGGTTGTTGCTACATGGAGAAGAAAGGGGGTCGAATTAAACCGCGACCATATTATAGAATCGAATTTCTTTGCGCTGAGTTTAATAAAATTAAACTATTTAAGTCTGGCAAAAATTGAGTCGCACGTTTGATTGTTCGCATCGCATTACTGGACGGGAATGCGACATTCATGTGGTTTTCTCGTCGACAAATTAATTGGATAGCGCAAACTACCCTTTTTGCCGATTGTCCTTCTGCGACGATTTTCCGTTCTTCAAGGATCGGCTACTGACGCTAAACTAATGCGTTTTGTAGCATTCCAAAGTGGTAGCTAGTTTCATACAAGACTATTATTTTACCATGCTGACGTCATTTGATTACATCTTCCAAGTTCAAATTCATTTCGTTTTCCCTTTCTTTAAATTTAGTCAGCCCAGCCAACGAGATTTTAAAAAACCCGACTGGCAACATAAAACCAGAAACGAGGGATTTTGTTTTTGCTGATCTAGCTAATGGCGCCTCTATTACATATCCAAATACTTGAAACTACTTTTCTTATTCTCTGTGTAGTCATTTTGGTCAGCGGTGTCGTCAATCATGTCAGAGATTCTTCATCCAAAAGAACCAGAGGATGATAGTCAGGAGTCAAGTACACAGTCATGGGCCCAGTCATGCGGTATGAACTTCACCAAGCTACTGACTGTCATTAGCTGAGACAAGCCGCTTTGTTCTTTGCTGTTTTGTTATTACAGTTTATATGCTTCCCTCCCAGCTTGCACCTTGTGTACCTCCCAAAATTTTGCATAACTATTGTCTTCGATTTCTCTTGGGACGACTGTAATACCCCAGGAGAAATTGAAACAATGGGTTATGCAAAATCAAGGGGGGATAAACAAGGTGCATTATGGTCTATCTGAAAATGGTGAATTGTTGAGTGTAGAATGGTGGAAATGTTTCAACACTTTGTTTTAACACGCTATGTGGCAGACAAATTTTATTCATGCTTATCCTGGCTAATTTAAAGAAACAACAACAGCAACAAGGGTAATTTTGCAGATCACCTTTCTTTTAATTCCAGCTCCTCCTGGTTTCACAGTAAGGGAACCTGGGGGTTTTTGTTGGTGGTTGTTGACGCATTTAGCTCCGTTGTATTGGTTTACAGACAAGGGTGTGTACTCACAGAGAAAGAAGGTAAGATCCTCATTTATGGTGTCTGCTGACTTACTAAGGGCTCATCATCGTCTTTTTACTCACAAGCTGGTTTAAAATAAATGTAAAAAAAAAACAAAAAACTTCACTTTCGCTTTCTATTAAATCGTTTCCTTGCAGGCCGTTTTTCTACGAGATATTTGAAAGGAAGAGTATGTCAACAATGAAAATAGCAATAGAGTTGACCGAAACTTTAAAATAATGCTTTAAATCTACACTTCAGAGCTGAGAACGCTTTAGCCATTAGATAAGCCTGTATGCGTTGTTTTTAGAAAGGAAGATTTTTATCGCGATTAAACGTTTACAAGGTTTGTGTGAAGAAAAGTCAGCCCAATTTCTACTCTCAATTTCCGCTTTGTTGTTCTTTTCATAGGGTTGTGTTCCGGGAAACTGGGTTCTAGCACAGGACTTACTTAAATCGTCTCTACAAAGTAGCAAGGTAAGCCCATCAAAACTTGAAGGGAGCCTCCATTGCTAAAAAAGACTGACGTCAACATGTCAGTTGTTATCTAGTGAATCAGGGTGGCTTTCCATTCAACCCAAAATTCCGGAAATTTCGGTTGGTACATCAAATGGAAAGGACCATTTCGGTTTGGTCTGACCGAATTATTCGGGACAAGCTTTGAAGGTGGTCGTCTTTGACCGGTCGGTCGATGGTACTGAAATGTCCCTTTTTTGACAAAATTGTCGTCGCCAGTACCCCTCTTTTGTATCCTGCTTACAAGAACAATAACCAAACGTGCGGTGGCTTCTTCTGCAATAATGGTCATAACGAAAGACTTAAAAAAGATACGTATAACATTAGTTAATGCTCCTTTCCTTTTCTTCTACTTGCAGGAAAGTCATGAATCTCAACGTCGTGCCTGCCTTCGTTGTTGTATTTCGCTTTCCTATTACTGGTCTGCAAACTCTGATCTTATTCTCTGGCTGTGGGATTATTTTCACAAGAGAATGGTGGGTATCTTCAGCTGTTCTTCAAAGTACAGTCTCCGTCGGTTTTGGTTTACGACAATGAAATGAAAACCACTCCTGACTCACTTTCTGACACCAGTCTCTGCACCCTTGTACCCGAGCACTTTATTTTCACTCCAGTCATTGGCTCTAATTGACCGTGCACACACTTTGCGCTCCGCGTGCGGAGGAATTAGGAAGCGTCAGCAAAGACGGTTTTGAGCGACGCACGTCAACCGGAAGTGTAGCCTGCGTAGCAGGCGCTTGAAAGTAGTGGGCACAAGAAGAAACAGGCGCGCGAGAAGGAGACACGCGAGGGAAGAGGGAGCCCGTCGCGTATCTCCCTCGCGCGCGCCCGTTCTCTCTTTCACCCGCTACTTCCAAGCGCCTGTTACGCAGGCTACCGGAAGTGAAGACTTTTCTCTTTTACCATGCCTTGACAGTACCAAATTTATATTGCTAAGTGTCTTTACTGTTTGCTCGAAAATTTGGGCAAAAATATTGCCTCAGAAGTCTTTGCTTAAACCTCATAATGATTAGCACTGTTCCCTTGATGCAATGTGACATATTTCTTTGGCCACGTCAAGTGAGTCACAATCCAGTTTGCCTGGGTATTCACTCTCCCTTGTGTTGTCAATAATGCTTATGTCTAGCACGGTAGAATTTCGTCTTGAAGGTGAGACAATATAAGAAGCCATTTTTTAAAACTACCAACCACTTTTCAGACATAAAGGATGTACTTAAACACCCTTCTTCAACCGCACCTAATTCATCAGTTATTTTTTGTGGCGTTTGAACTTAAGGTATCAAGCTTAATAATTCCAGATTATGGATTTGAACTAACAAAAACGATTTACTTAAATGTGTTTCGAAATTGGAACGCTTTGTGTAAAAGTACACGTCTCTATAAATCATGTTCCACTCCCGCCGGAAATAAACGGAAGAAAACAATTAACACCGCATTCGCTTCTCAACACGTTCCACTAAAAAACCGTGTCTCAGATTTTTGACAAGTGCGTTTGTTTTTCTTTTATTAGCAACTGAAGTTGGGGAAGGCAATTAGTCAACACTCCCTGTGGAAAAAAAGCTCTAGCTTTAAAATGAAAAGGTGTATTAAAATTCGCAGACACGGTTTTGTAGAAGAGATATATGGCATCACTCTGGCCAAATTTTAGCCAAATTGATTGAAAGGCTACCGACTTGGAGTTTAAAACGTACGAGTCGATCGGCAAAATTTGCGTTCGGAGATAAAATAGAAAATACATTTTTGGCGGCATCCTACCTGGAGTGAGATTATAACACCTAAATGTTTATTCTGATTGATATCAGAGAGGGATCAATTTTCTCTAACAATAGGACTTTGACAGGTAACTTGTAACAGGAACAAACTTTTTATTGCTATCAACATCTTCAAGTGAACAGTTTAATTCTCCGTTGGAAAACTTCCACTCTTTTACACCACGAGAAGCACGGTTTAATTCTTTCTCGAGCAAAAGTTTTGCCTCTCCTTCGATCTTTTTTGTATGATTCGCCGAGGCGTTTTTGTTGACGGCGCCAGGCCAAGGAAACTAAAAAACTTTGAAGGCGCCGAATGTCCACCACCGATTGCTCGAAGGCCAAGAACTGAGGCCCGGTATATTTCAAAGGCTCTGCTCTTCTCGGAAGAATTAAAAACAGAATTTGTCTTGTGCGACGGACAGCTTTCATTCTCGCACTGGATTCTCCAGGTAGAACCAAGTCCATGCTTAGTCGCTACATTTTCCATGACTTGGACTCTTACCTGGCAAAATCGACAAGATACAGACTCGTCCAGTTTCTCAAGCAGCTTTTTCGCTCGATACGATAGCTCGACCGCTTATTGTTTTCCACGTTCCATCAGCAGATGGGGTCGATGAGCCTAATTGGCTTTCTTCATCTGGCTCTTCAAGCTGGATTTTGGAGCGGCTTGCACTCTCAGCAACTGCAGCAACTTCTCTTGCTGATAAAATGAGCCTTTGTTGCTCTCTGCCAATTTTGCGTACCATTCTTTGTCAAACTCGCTCTTCGATTTCGGACACGAGCTTTTCTTTTTTTTTTTTTTGGCAGCATTTTCACCGAAGCAAACGCTAAATATCCACGAAGAATACTAAAGGCTATATTAAAACAACGCGAAGACAATTCGCACGTGCTGTGTCGAAGCACGCACTCGGTATCACGTTACTAGTTCACAGGCAAGTTAATTGATATATGACACGGGTATGACAGATCTTGTCAACGATCAATTAAGATAGTTAACGAGAAAAAATCTTTTACCCCCGATATCTTTCGACAGAAATAATATTTTCTTCTGATTTTTTTTTTAAGAGAAAGCTCTCAAGCATACCTATTTGAAAACGTTGAAATCTCAAATATGGAAAAATGGCAATTTTAAGGGTGGCTGATACCTTAAGCTGATTTTTTTTACCTGCATTTCTCACGAACAGAATGATTCGTTTCTTATCCCTGGTCAAACCCTCCACAGTTTTGCAGTTACCAGTGTGACCAGGTGTGTGTGTTTTTTTCAATTCTACCAGTTGTGAAGCCTCGCTTATTATTAAGTAGGCGACAATTTTCGCAGAAAGGAAGTAAAAATCATTACTAACCTGAAATAGACTCATTTGTAACTCAGGGTCATGTGACCTATCAGGGTCATGTGACCTAGAAGGCGGATCATACTAGCGCCGTATGTTTTCCTTATTCAGTTTATATGCAAAGGGTTGCGCTTGTCCCCAGCGATCAGGATCTTTCTTGTACTAGGATCTTCCTAGCCAAGAGGTAGCACGATCCGAGCATCATGTAAACTGCCTTTTCCTCAACCTCGTCCCCAGGGAAAAGCCCTGGGGACGAGGTTGCCTTTCCCTTGTACTATAGGGACAAACCAAATCAAAATGGTGGCAGGTCGTTTAGTGGGTAATCACGGCAATAAAGGCCGACCATTTCGTTTGGCGTTACCACGAGCTGATTATTGTGATAACTCTGATAAAGGTAGATATTAGAGAGATTAAGAGTCATTTTTACGCCAAACGGCAAACGTGAATTTGTAGCACGTGAACAAGTTTCCCTCTTAATTTTCGTTTACTGTTTATTACTTCTACTCAAAAATAAATAGTTTCGTGCCAGTTGTATCCATAAGAATTGTTCTGGACAGTTTTTATCTGCTTATTTTCCATTTTGAGAAAAACTCAACTTGAATCTGAAGTTTGCTGTTTGTCGTAAACGTGACTCATAATCTCTCTATTAATGCCAGTAAAGAAGGCAGAGGGGTCCAAATTGCATTTTTGTTGTTGTCGCTTGTCATCTTTCATTCCTTCTCTACTTGAGCACCACACGGACCGCATCGACTGCATGTTAACTCAACGAAAAGTTGTTCCGCCTTCCGTGATCTTCCTCCCTCCATGTGAATAGCCCTTCACTTGAAATGGTTAATCAGGTTACGTGACCATAAGCTCCAAAGGACCTATATTTTAAGGGTCATACATACCTATTCAGAGTCGTTTTATGCATAAAAATAATGATTAGTTATTAGATGACATGCACATAATACTTGATTCTATACACTGCAATACTGCAAGTATCAGTCTAACAAATACAGGCAAACTTGCCTACTCAGATGATGTTCATTCTCCGTTCTTCTCAATGGACCCTTCCTGTTATCATGATGGAGAACAGAAAACGTAGAAAAAAGTGCTAAATGGGAAGAGATGCCCTTGATTTTAGTCGAAGAGCGAGGAACCATTGGTCGAGTGTTCCGTTTCCTTGCATGAAGAAAGAGCTATCAGTTGTACATAACACTCCTTTCTTTCTCCTTTGCAGCCTGTCGGCTCTACAGTGGATGGAACGGTGCCATAAACGATCGGGTGAAACACAAGAGAGGTGATTTCTCTATTCCCTGCCTGTTTGGTAGCAACATATATTCAGCATTCCTTCAAAGCTGGAGACAATTATAATTCAAATCGTACCCGTGTCGCCATGTGGTTGCTACGGGGTCACTAATACATGTATTAAGAAAGGCCACTGTTTTTTATATGGCTAGTCAAAGAGTGTTTTTTTTCTCATAGGAAAAAACGTCAATGGCCGAATTTATACTAGAGACGAATTATCCGTCTGAGACGAATAATCCGTCTCTAGTATAAATTAATCCGTCTCTGGTAAAGACGAATTATGGAGCAAAATTCGTCTGAAGCTGATTCGTCTGTTAGCACGTCTTGAAGACGTGCTAACAGACGGATAATTCGTCTTAGACGGATTATCCGTCTCTAAATTTATATCTAGACGTAACGTAGACGGTTTTTTGACGACGTTTTCCACATGAGAGGGACTGGTTTCTATATTTTCGCAATGTTTCCTGTTCGCAATGTTTTCTTTCCCGCGGTCGTTTCTAGACAAATTATGGAGCAAAATTCGTCTTCGGATTTATACTTAGACGAATTATCCGTTTAACGGATAATCCGTCTAGACGGATAACTCGTCTCTAGTATAAATTCGGGCACTGTAGACCCAAGCTGTTGTAAACAGTGTAGTGGTTCGGACGTTTCATTAGTGATGTCTATTTTGCAATGAATCTAAGCTTTCTTAAATGTTCTATTGTAGCACGGTTATTCCAGAACATGAATCCAGTTTTACCTTGTTCTTGCGGCTGGTGTCTATACATCTCACTAAATTATTACAAAGTGGCGCATTACAGGGGTGGAAGCAGATCAAGGGAAGGTAGGAAGTTTTTTTGGATTTACACTGAAATGTAGCCCTCATTTATTTAGATAACGGAGTGGCAAAAAAATAAATAACTGCCACAAGGATCTACAGTCTCCTACCATTCTCTGTTTCTTAGGGCCTGTTTACATGGAGTGGGGGACCCCGGTCTAGTGGGGTAGGTTTCTTTTGTTTTGTGTTCCCCAGAACGTGAAAACAAAAGAAACTAACCCCACTAGACCGGGGTCCCCCACTCCATGTAAACAGGCCCTTAATGGGTTACGGCAAAATAAGCGTTTCATGGAAACGTGTTCCTCGAGTATTTCTTAGTTAATGGGTAAGTCTGTCCTTCTTTGCCACCAAGTATCAAATCACTTCGGGCGCGCTCCATTGGCCGTATTCCGGAATAAGAATACTTGAAATACACTCTAAAAAGCACTTGTTTGGCTTTCGTTCTTTCTTTTCTTTTTTTTTTCTTCCAGGCAAATTTACTTAATCACTAGTTACTGTAATAGGTTACAAAATAAGCATTACAACGACCATTTTAAAAAACAGACAAATTACATGGGATAATTTTGATTGTCACAATTGTACTATCTTTAGTATTACATTACCTGATATAACAGAAATAGAGAATACTTCATGGAAAGTGCTGGCGTACGGTATTTACGCACGAGTTGTTGACGTATCAGAAATCGAACGAGTGAGCGCAGCGAACGAGTTTTTTTGTTGTATTTTGGCGGTCCAAAGGGCGCGGTGCGATGCCCCAAGGCCATGAAAACAAAGGGAACAAAACGATCCGACAAAAAGAAAAACAAAAAGCTAGGGTAACCTACAGGGTAAAAAGACCGCCAAAATGGGAGGGGGCACCTCCATACGGAGCCAGCCCGCCAACTTCGCCAGGGAATCGAACCCCGCCTCCCTACTAATTAAAATACTTTAAGACAATATACAGTATAAAAGGCTATATACAAAGACGCTCAAAACACACTCACTCAGACCTATCTCAGGAAAACAACAGTGCAACCAGCAAAGGCGACCGAGGGGAGCAGCGAGAGAAGGAGACACGCACACTCAAGCAAAACCAACTCAGAGCCCAAGAAAACCACAGTACATCCAACGAAGGCGACCGAGGGGAGCAAAGAGAGGGAAGACACACACACTCGAGAAAAACCAACTCAGAGCCAAGAAAACCACAGTACATCCAACGAAGGCGACCGAGGGGAGCAAAGAGAGGGGAGACACACACACTCAAGCAGAAGAACATGACCACAGTACAGCCAACAAAGGCGACCGAGGGAAACACACTCGAAGCCACTAAGAAAGACAAAAATGAAAAGAGTCACCAACAACCTTACCAATACGACCATTTGCACCCCATTGGCGCTGGAAAAAACGGCGCCTGCGCCGAGATCGAAATCGCTTAAAAAACAGAGGTAAATAGAAAGACAGGCGACCCTTGATACTAGTAATAAGACCCACGGCACTTGGAGGTTTGGACCGAAAACGATAGTCATTCCTTTGACACCAGACAAAAAACTTAAGTAAGGACAGCAGATAACAGAAGACACGAGGAACACACAACAGCTCATCACTACTGAAACCAAAAAGGACATGACGCACGGTAATAGCTGGTGCCAGAGGAGAGGACAGAAAAAGAAGTGATTGAATCCAATCGAGACCACTTTGAGCCAGAGGACAGTGGAAGAACAAGTGCTCCAGAGTCTCATCGGAATGACCACAGAGACAATCCGGATGAACATTCAATCCAAAGGAGACAAGACGGTGAGCAGTGTACAAAACGCCGTGAGCAACTTTCCAACAGAGATCAATAGGCTTCCTGTCAAGGGGCATAAAGAACAAGGTCTTCCAGGTGGAATCCCAGTCCAAGTCACGATAACTGGAGCTAAACTTTACCACACAGTGAGGTTGTGCGGGATTCAAGGACAAGAGAAGCTGATAACACGATTTACAAGTCAAGGAGTCAGCCCTAAGTAATGCAGTGTCAGCCGAACCAACGATCAGACCAGCCTGAGACAAGGAGCCGTGAAGCGCAGTCCAAGCACGCCGAAGTGCGCAATAAAAAGCTGGAAGGCCCGAAGCTACCAAGAGGAAAAGAGATGGGGTAGCGAGCACAGTTTGGGGATCAATCCCAAAACGGTCGAAAAACCAAAAGGTCATCATATGGGCCCACGCATTCGGGGCAGTAACATAACGGCGAACCCACTGAGCCAGGAGCGCATGAACTTTGTAGCGGACAGACACAACGCCAAAACCTCCTTGAAAAGTAGAGTGATAGACTACATCTCTAGCAACCAAGTCACGTTTGCCACTCCAAAAGAAAGAAAAGACAAGGGTATTGAGTTCAGATACGACCCAATCAGGCATAGGAATAAGTGATGCCACGTACCACACTCTAGAAAGAGCCAGAGCGTTGACAATTAAGGCTTTGCCAGAGTATGAAAGGGATCGGCCACGCCAAGAATTGAGACATTTCTCAACAGCATTGATTCGAGGCCGCCAGTTTTCCTCCTCAAGGCTGCCATTACCCAGATACACACCCAAGATTTTAATAAAGGCAGTGGTCCATTTGATGGAGACGGGTGCATCCAAACGACCACGCCACGAACCCAGCCAAACACCCTCACATTTACCAAGATTGAGCTTGGCACCAGTGCCTTGTTCGAATCTAGCATAGACGGAGAAAATCGCTCTAGTGGCACGATCAGAGCACGAAATAACAGACGTATCATCAGCATATAAGGACAGTACAGGGAGGGGAGAAGACAAACCAGGTAGGCGCAGACCAGTAATGTCAGGATGACAGCGAACGTTAGCAGCCAGCACTTCCATCGAGAGAACATAAAGAAGGGGCGACAAGGGACATCCTTGACGTACCCCACGGGAAGGCTTGAAGGGGCGAGAAATGTACCCATTGACAAGAACGGAGCTCGAACGTCGGTGTAAAGGAGCCTGACCCAACGAATAAAGTTGTCACCAAAGCCCATTTTAGCTAAGGTGGCGAGAAGGAAAGGCCAGTCAACACGATCAAAAGCCTTCTCCTGATCCAGGGAAAGGAGAGCTACTGGCAGGTTGTATTCATTTGCCAGTTCAACCACATCACGCAAAAAAGCAACGTTCTCGCCGATATAGCGGCCCGGCACACCACAAGTCTGATCAGGAGCAACAACGGAGGCAATAACTTTCAGGAGGCGACCAGCCAGAACACGAGCACAGAGTTTGTAATCAACATTGAGAAGGCTAATGGGACGCCAATTCTTATGATCTAAGCGATCACCTTTCTTAAAGATCAAAGAAATGAGCGCCTCACGCTGAGAGAACGGCAGGAGGCCAGCCTCCAGAGAAGCATTGAAAACACTAACAAGATCCTCGCCAAGCAAATCCCAGAAAGCAACATAAAATTCCATTGGCAAACCATCAGAACCCGGGGACTTTCCCTTAGCCATACCAAGGAGAGCAGCATGAGCCTCGTTAGGCGAGATTGGACCGTCACACAATGCAGCTTCATCGGGAGAAAGAGATAAACTAAGATGGTCAAGAAGATCTGACTGGACCCCAAGATCGACAGGGCAGGCCGTAAAAAGGTCCTGATAAAAAGAAGCCCAGGACTCGCAAATACCCTCAACATCCGTTACAACCACCCCATTGGAAACACGCATAGCGGAGATCCAACTCTCAGTTCCTCGCTTCTTTTCAAGCCTTAAGAAGAAACGAGAAGAGGTTTCACCCTCCTCAACCCACTTAACACGGGGGCGAACCCGCGCTCCCTCAGCTTCAGTCAGATCAAAAGCCGCAAGCTGACCAAGAACCCGCTCGTAAACCGGCATAAGGGAGACAACCCCATCATCAATTCTACCCTTCAGATGACAAGCAAGGGCAGAAAGGACAGAGCGTGACAGAGAACGTTCATTATGAGCACTACTGCAATAACGGACCGCAAGACTTTTCAGATGTTCCTTGCCACGGTCCCACCAAAGCTGAAGAGATGAGAAAGAGGACTTACGCAGCCTCCATCTAGACCAGAAGTCACTAACAGATTGGAAGAAGACAGGATCCTTGAGGATGGAAACATTCAGTTTCCATCTGCCAGGGCCACGAGGAAAAGATTCAGGGATAGAGAAAACGAGAAAAACAGCATCGTGATCAGAGAAAGGACACGGAGCAAAGGTACAGGAAGAGACAAGATGAACCCAGATAGACGGAAAGCCGATAAGATCAATGCGGGAGGACAAGGAACCATCAGGCTTCAGCCAGGTAAAAGCGCGAAGATCAGGATGGAGATGGCGCCAAACATCCAACACACAAAACTCCCGGAAGAGTAACTCGAGAGAGACAAAGCTCTCCCGGATGGTGACAGCAGGATCAGAGCCCCGACGATCTTTGGCTCTGTCAAAAACAGCATTGAAATCACCACATAATATCGTGGGAACAGATGGATCCGCAAAGTCCAGACATGAGGTGAAAAATTCATCACGCTCAGGGTTCCGGTTAGGTGCGTAGACAGATGCAATCCTGAACACGGAATCCCTCCTATTAAATTCAGCCATGAGATAACGCCCGTCAAGTTCAACCCAGGAGTTAACAAGAGAAAAGGTGGGGCGATATAGAAGGACCTGGCCACAAGAGCGAACAGTGCCAGGGGCCGTAACAGTGAAAAAACCAGAAGAAGAGAACCATAAAGAGGCCTCTGCAGCATCGGTAACATGAGTCTCCTGGAGACACACGAAATCACAAGTCAAGTGGCTCAGCCACTGCAATAAACCTGCACGTTTAACGGGATCACGGATCCCGTTAACATTAAGTGTTAAAAGATTGAACGCGACTGTTGGGGGAGAGAACTACAGAACAAGCTCCTCAAGGGAAGCACTACGACGAAGACCTTTTGGTTTGCTAGAAACAACTTGCGGCAAAACGTGCTTGCCAGACAAAGGCTTGAGAAGTGGGGACTGACGAACACTAGCAGCCCCACGCGAACCCTTGGCCTTAGCGCAAAGGCTACGCCCTTCATAACGAGACCCGACAGAAGGAGGAGAGGACGTATCCTTGGGGGACTGTCACTCTCGTCCATGGCATCAGCAAAGTCAGGGGGAGGCTCGGAGAAAATAGGGGGCAGTGAGGAAGAGGAAGAAGAGTCCCCGAAGGACTCAATCTCATCAGAACTGAGGTCAGCCTGACCCTCATCAATGACCTCAATCAAAGGCCGACCACTAGTGGCCGCAACATCAACAGACTCCATCTCAGCAACATTTTCAACAACCACAACATTGCTTTCATTAACAGTAATATCATTGACTTCATTTGATCTTTCAGTACTACTATTATTAATAACTTCACTTGATCTTTCAGTATTATTATTAATAACTTCTCTTTCAGTACTACTATTATTAATAACTTCATTAACAGTACTATTTGCACTACTATTATTAATAACTTCATTTAATCTTCCAGTACTATTAACACTAATATTCTCATTACTAACGTTTAATTGCTCATTACGTACTGCAGCATTTTCATTATTCTCTAATTCAGAATTAGCAAGAAGAGAGGCAAACTCTTGGCTGTTGGTAAAACAAATATTGGAAGTAGAATTACTCCTTTTAGCAGATGAGCCCTTATCTTTCCCGGCTCTTTTGGAGGCCCTTTGGTTGGACTCCCCAGAAGACTCACCACTGACAGGGACTAAGTCTTGCAGAATCGACTGACTCTGCATAAGATCAAGCTCGTTATCCTTAAGGAGCTGAGAGTCGGAAGAATCCTGAGAGACATTGGCCTCCGCAGATGAGGCCAAGGGCGGAAAATCCGCAGAGTCTCCCGCTGACCCGTCAGAAGTACAATTCCGAGCAAAGTGCCCAGATTGCCCACACTTTCTGCACTTATCCTTGTTGGGGCAGTTTGCCGATCTGTGGCCCTGAACGGCACAAAGATTGCAAACAAGGGGTTGGCCACGATACCACAAGCGACACAGATAGCCATCCACCATCAGAAAGCGGGGTAGTACCCCGGATAAAACAACATCAACAAGCCTGGTACCATTAAAGATGTTTTGGTTGGAAAGAAAAGTCTGCTTCTTAACAGACTTGACTGCACCATAGGCCTCAAAAGCAACCCCAAAGATCTATCATCTTCCTCGAACGGAAAATCGAAAACGTGCACACGCGTAACGGGGGGACCGCCCCCCAAGATAGAGCACCACAAACCGAAAAGATGCTTTCCGGAAAACGATTTAGCCGCCCGAAAGTGCTCCGGAGAAGCGAAGGTGACACGAACGACCTCGTACGCAATCTGGACAGCCTTGACGTCAAGGCCGGCAAAAACCCGAAGAACTTCGGTCAAGATCTCATCTTTGGTTTTGTCAGCCAGCTTGCGGCCGACCTGCAAGCTAATGGTTTTTGGTAGGCGCATTATAACAAAAGCGAAGAAGCAAAAAGGCAAAAAGCGAAAAGCGAAAAAGCAGCAAAGCGCAAAAAGATTAGAGTCGAAAGACGCTAATCAACACAGCAAAAGCGAAGAAATAACAATCGGTGGCAGAAGGACACCAATTGTAACAAGATAAACAATTAATGTCAAAGACGCTAATTGAAAGCACAAAATCAAAAAGTAGATTAGAGTCCGGAGGACACCAATCTACAAAGAGAAATAAGCAATTAGTGGCAGGAAGACACTAATTGCAAGAGAAAAAGGTAGTTGGCGCAAAAGCCAATTACCAGAGGGCCAAGTAATTTGTGTCCAAAGGACGCCAAAAAACTAACGACCCAAAGCGAAAGCTATATACAGCGCAGCGAAAACAACTAACAACTACAAAAAGTAAGTAAGAGAAAAAATACGAAAAGGGAAAAACTTACCAAAAGTTAAGTCCTGACGGAGCAGGAACCCAAAATGACGGGCGCCCGTAGCCACTCAGGAACGAAAACGGATAAGAGCCAAGACCACTCACCAAGCGTGACCCAAACGGCCAGACTACCAAGTAAGAGGCAGCACAAGAAACCACGAACAAACAGGGGCCGGTATCCACAAGGAACCACACACGCCTCGAAAGTCGCAGCAGTACTTATCACAAGCAGCAGATTCTCAAACCAAACCGGTAGAGTTTCCGCGTCGCGAGGATAGCGCAGCGAACGAGTAAGATTTCTGATACAAAAACAACGAGTGCGTAAATACCGTACAAAGCACTTTCCATGTGGTATTGTGTTTATTATATACATACTGAGTCATTCATCATTTTGCGGGCCTTTTTATTTTAAATCTTTCAAAAATGCTAAAATTTGCCGCTACACACTTACCGCAAAATGACAACGAAAACGAAGTATCAGCTTTTTAGTAAAAACGTTTGTTAAAAACATAAATGACGGTGAGGATATGAGGTTTAATCCAAGAACTATAAGTAATCTTAACTGTTTGTTCTCAATGCACAATTGAAAAAGAGTGAATTTAAGTAAAATGGCCGGTTTCAATATAAGCTTAACCTTAAATGAAAGGCAAAGTAGCTCCGACAAAAAGCACAACAAAAGCTTACGTCTCGTTCTGTTTATCCCTTTCCGCTGTTGTTTCACCGGCTCTCTACCGTATTTTTTTATCGACAGTGAAACAAACGAAACTATTCCACTCCATTTCCGAAATGTTTTTCACTTTTTTAGCGAGAAAAACTCCTTGAGTAAAACTTTTCTCGTTGATAAATGTGTGCGAAGCGGCGCTGCAAGCTGCAATAAAAGGCGGGAATTTTGGCGCGAAACTCCTACACCTCTGTGGCTTCTGATTGGACGTATCATTTTTCTCACACGTGAAAAAACATCGTTCGCGATTCTGATTGGACGTATCGTTTTTTTCACGTGTGAAAACCATCGTTCGCTCCTCTGATTGGCTATAACTAATTTGCGTACGAAAATTTACGACATAGCTTTTTGGTGAGTATTTCTCAGTATGTATATAATAAAGAAACTTACTTGTCAGATCGAGTGAAATTAAACATTTTGTAAGAAATTCCACGTTTTCTGTATTTATCTTGTTCGCCTTTCATTACATTGTAAAATCCAGACAAATGGTGGTCATTGACGACTAAGATGAATGTAGGCAATAGCGTTTCAATGGCGGTCTAAAAGGTAGCGGTTGAAAAGATTTGTTAGGAATTCTGCTTACTTTTATCCTGGAATACGATTTACCCAACGCACCCTTAGTTGATGATCTGTTCACCCACCATAGCTTCATTTCGTTTCCCAATAGAGCGTTTTTACATAACGTCACGGCGGCCATATTGGTGTTCCACAACAATGAAACGGCGGCCATGTTGGCGTACTAATACAATCCTGTGGGAGTTGAATTCTTTTCTTATGCAAACGCTTTCTTTCGTTCCAATAAATTTGCATAGATGCAGGTCACGTGACTGAAAACGCTCTATAGACCATTTCCAAGTTGCCCTAAGTCTCTGTTTCAAGTGCGAAACCATTGATTTGAAAAAAGATTTTTATTCTCATGCAAATGAAACTACTTTTCACAAGAGAGGTTTTGTACTTAGCGTCGTTTTTAAAGTAAGAGTGTTTGGAACTCGGGAATGGGTCTTATGGCCTATTCAGTGGCGGATTCCACCCATAATGCAGCTTACGCTCATCGAGGATGTAGATCGCTATATGGGGAACAGGGGCGGCGCAGTGGTGAAAGCACTGGCCTCCCACCAATGTTCGCCTCAATCCCGCCTTCAGTGCACCCTCTAATTCCACCTTTGAATCCCGGAAGCGACGCCACTCGTGGGTTTATTTTGCTTTGTTATTGCCCTTGCGATGACAGGTTTTTATCCGGGTGCACCGGCTTTCTCCCCTCCTTAAAAACAAACCAAAACACCAAAAACGTAATCAGGAATGTTGTAGACGAGCACCACGTTGAGGATGTGTTACCTCTGAAACGTTATTTACTTATTTATTTATTTAATTTGTTTTTTTTCGGGCGTATCCTTGCACTTTTCCTTGGACAGCCTTAAGCAGGCAAAAAAATAAACTCTTTTTGCTTTTGTTTAGATTTTACTCAAAGTTCCACAAGCGTAGAATGGAGGAACTTAACAATACCGGTCTTTGCCAGTTTATTGGTCTATTTTTGACTCTTTCGTGTGTAGCAGATCTTGAGGATGTGGTATGTCTTACAAACAGCCTTTATTGTCATAATATATAATTGGTCTGTGTTAGCTGGTTATGAAGATTTGAATGTTACTGAACACTCCCCTGAGGGACTTCTCAGTTGAACAAACAACGTCCAAGCCTAAAATGCATAGTAGAATCGAAGAGGAACAATGACTAAATGTCTGATATGAGTCACTCGTTGGATAAGGAAGAATGAAGAATTAACCGTTGGAATAATGCCAATCAGAAAAGGACAATTATGTTGAATGATTTATGCTAATACAAATTCTAATAATGATAGACTAGTGTCCATATAGTCAAATTCATACTTGGCTTCGAGGCTTAGGGGAGTAAAACAAAAAAAAATGTATTATTTATTGCTGAGCCTCAAGATGATTTCTTTTGTTTTATTCCCCCAAGCCTGGTTGCCAAGTATGAATTTGAATATATCGAAATTGGTCTATTGGGAGGTAAGAAAATACGAAATTGTGACCGAAATTATTGAGGAAATGATGGAGCATTACACTGAAGTGTCGCTCGACGTACTTCAATATATTAACCATAACAATACTTTATTTGTGATCATAATCAGCAAAACAGCGATAACTTGTGAGGAGAATAAAAAGGAACTAATAATCCGAAACACATGAATAAAAGTGAGTAATTTGAGGATAATGGGAGTGTATGACGTCACCACAAGCAGTAGAACTGTCCATAAGAGTGAGATGTCATTTAGGACGGAGTTGCTGAAATTTATTATCTCTGTCCAATCAGAAAAAACATGGTCAGTCACTAAAAGCGCTGACCATTGATGACCCACTTGATTTTGCTTCGTTCGGCAGGCAAACAAGATGTGTTCTTTTCTCGACTTACTTGACTTCAGTATGATGCAACAGGACAAGAAAACTTCCGTCTGGAAAGGTGAAACTTTATCATTTTGTAATTATTAAACTAATAAAAGATAACTGCATTTTTCATCTGTTATTTCCACACACCGGGCAGGTATTTAGTCGTTCGCATGTGTAGACAGCAGCATTTTGTAAGTCAGGCAATCTTTGCTGTAGTCCTAGTGCTGGCTCGTAACCACACCCTCTCTCTCTTGATGTTCTTTCGCGCGTTGTCACCAGTCACTCGCGTTTCGTGCTCGCCTTTGTTTCGCCCCATGTGAGGGAATTCAAGACAGTCTTGGATTCTGGATTGCACGCCGTGGATTCCGGATTCCATGAACTGGATTCCAGTCCTTGTCCGTGGAATTTGGATTCCGAATTGCAATCGTAAGGACAGTCAAACACCGTTAATACGGATACTGAAGGGACTACAGAAGGGGTCCGTATTAAGCGGGTTGAATTTAGAGAAAATGCAAGGGCTTTCCCCTGGGACAAAGAAAACTGTCCGTAATAACGAGGTGTCCGTATTAAGCGGGTGTCCGTAAAGCGGGGTTCGATTACTGTAACAGTGGGATTCCTGATTCCTTGAGCTATATTCCGGATTTTACAAGCAAAATTTTCTCTGATTTCGGAATCCGGATTCCCTTGCATGGGGCAATTTGTTCGCGACCAAAGAGCGAAAAGGAAGCGCATGAGGACTGGAGGAGACAGGTCCTAGAGAGAATCTGTCAAGATAATCGGATATTGGTTAGGCATTTATGGAACCTTAAAACACACAGGTGGATAAGAAGACAACGACATATTTCAAAATGGTGGAATTGTTCATGTCAAACATTCATGTAAAAGATTCATGTTAATTAGTCCACTTTGTCGCGACTGCATCTTAGGAAATCAATAGAGCTTTTACCTTGAAAGGAGGCATTGAGGGCCAAGTATCATGAAGACAAAAGAGTAACTGAATTTGTCTCCATTTTAGAATAAGATGCATTGGAGTCGTATAATGAGTAACTTCCTAGGGAAAACCTGACGAAATGTTATCTCCAGCTAACATGTTATTTAAACTGCCTTAGGTCTCTTTGCCTTGATGCTTATCTACAAAGAAAGAAATGTGGATTTTGGATACTTGGCAGAAAGAATGTCACAGTATTTTTCTTCTGTAGCAAGGTAGGAACGAATGTGAAAATTAATATGAAAACGACTTGGAGATAATCGCCGAGCTCAAAAACTGGTCGTGGTGTTTATTGTTTCAAGATTGAGAGGCTATAGAGTATCTGACTTGCCTTGCCATACTCTTGAAATAACTCCGGAAATTGCATGCAATAAATTCTCTTGCAAATAGTACATGAGTCGAGGCCTCTACTCGAAAATATCCCCTGTTCAATTCTCGTAAGCGCACCCTAAATCCTCGCATTTTGGGTGATCGCTTACGGGAGGTTCGACTGTACAAGATTTGTGTTGTGCAAAAACTCAGATTAGCTTCTGACCACTTGGCAACACATAGTGTTACAAGCAGAAAACAACGGTCTCAGAGTAATAACAACAGGCACCTTAACCCATTCGCTCCTGGAGATTTTGCCGAAAAACGCGTTTTGAAGCTAGTTGAGTGGTTTTCTGGTCACTTTCCTGCTATAAAGAGCTAAAACTTACCACAAACCGGTTTACAGGTCGTACACTTGGCGGCCTCCTGATCCAGATGCAAAATATCAGCTTGCTTGGGTTTAAAAGTGACACAGCAGTCTTGACTTTTACTTTTCGCTTTTCTTGCCTCATTTTTTTTTCTCTTGCTGGGCATTTAGTAGGCTTCATTTTGGTGGGAAGAGTTTTTAGAAAAGCTTTTAGGATCTTAGGATTAGGTGAAAGGAAAGGTAGGTGGGTAATGGAACAAGATTTTCATGGAGATTTTCAGGTCCTTGTCACGTGGTTTTTTGCTTCTTTCTCCGGTGTCCTTGACTGAATTGTGCTCATTCTGGTATGGTTTGAAAGATCTCTTCACTCTGCACAAGGTAGCGAAGAAATTTGTCCTTGACCGTTAAAACTGATGACGTCACAAAGGGTAGAAAGGACCTGGATCCGCACGGGCGGTTACGGGCGGTTCAGGGGCGAATGGGTTAAATGCTATCCAAGTTGTAGCAGACGGTAAAACGTGGAATATTAGTCATATTTAGACAACGTGATGATAGTGGCGACAGCGCGCAAGTTGACCAATGGCAGAGCGGCAAATTGAGCACCAAAAGTCGCTTTCAGTCATTTCCGCAAGCTTTCGTTTCGCGTTCTTAATTGACGATGGGTATTATTTGCTAATTGTGTCTATTGCTTAGCTAACACGCACGAGACTGAACGTTAATGCATTAGAGTTGCGCATGCGTCTCAGGTTTGGCCGTCATTTGGCAAGAATGTTAATGATGCTCGGACACGGTGAGCTTTGCTCTCGCTTTTTACATCTTCTGCTGCTATCATACTGGGTCTGGAACCGTGAAAGTGGGCTCAGTGTTTCTCTAAGTGGTTGCTCGTCTAGTCTTCGTTTTAAAATATCTCCTGGAAAGCAAGAATGGGGCGATTTATCGATGAACATTTTTGGTTCTGATTGGAATAGTGCGTCGTTTTGCCTGGCCCTTGGGATTACAGATAACATGTTCTTATTCTTTTCACACTGGAATTCGACAATGCTCAAGGTGATGACCAGAATCAAGCGCTGTCATCGCCCTTGTTTGTACTATTCTAATTGCAGTGCGGCATTCCGCTGTGTGATGATTTATGACATTGTTTTCAAACTGAACCCGGGTCCCAATGGTCCGTTAACCCGCAACCCAAACAATCTTATTACTGTGGAGCGGAGTGGAATGTCTCTCAGTGACAACAGGTCATTGAAAATATGCAGTTTGAATGCTAGATCGCTACAGAATAAATCGGCAGCCTTTGTTGAATTGGTGAATGATTTGAAAGCCGATTTGTTTAGAATTTGTGAGACCTGGTTGTCCGTCAACGACAGTGCTGTTCTTAATGAACTTACCCCGACGGGGTACAACACTCTTTATCACTGTCCACGATCTGGCAGAAGGGGTGGGGGAACTGCACTGCTTGTGAGGAAAGGATTTGTCACTAGCAAAATATCTTGTATCGAGAAGTCATCTTTTGAGTTGTCAGAGTGGCTTGTTGATGTTAGATCTACTCGGCTACGCATTGTAATCATTTACAGGCCGCCTTCTTCACCTGTTCATCCAGTTTCAATTAGTACGTTCTTTGCAGAATTTTCTCACTACCTTGAATCTGTTGTTATGACCAATGAGCCGCTGGATATTCGTAATTCTAGCTTATATCGTGATCCTCCTAATACTCTTGAAGAACTTGTGGAATGTTACAATAATACTGTAAGACCAGTATTGGACAAACATGCGCCAGTCCGGGCTCGCCACCTGACGTCTCAGTCACGTCCTCCGTGGTTTAATGATGAAATAGTGAAGGCGAGACGTAAAAGACGGAGTGCTGAAAGGAAATGGCGGGCTAGTAGGCTTAATTCGGATCTCGCTGTATTTAAAGCCAAACGAAACTTTGCATTGCATGTCATGAATGAGTCTAGACGGGCCTATTATAAACAATATATTGATGAGAACAGTTCTGACCAGGGAAGGCATTTTCGGGCCAGTAAACGCCTTTTGAATTTTCATGTAGATAGGGCTCTGCCGCCTCATTCGGATGCTCGTATGCTAGCAAATGAGATGGGGGAGTATTTTGTTCACAAAATCACGGCTATTCGGTCTGCGCTGGATGCGGATGCCAGTGGCGCAACTTCGCTTCCCACATCAGCCTCAACGCGTAGTGAGTTTTCTGAATTTTCTCCACTGTCTGAGGAGAGTGTACGGAGAATTGCTGCCTCACCATCGTCTATTCTGTCCTTCTGTTTGGATGAACTGCTCCCTGTTATTAGGAAAATTGTCAACTTGTCTCTTGAGTCTGGCGTCTTTGCAGAGGACTGGAAGGATGCTTTAGTTCACCCCTTGCTTAAGAATGCAGGACTCAAACCTGTTAACAAAAATTTTCGACCGGTGAGCAACTTGCAGGTTACATCAAAGATTACGGAAAAGTCCGTGGCTATTCAATTACAAGATCATATGACAGCCAACAACTTATTTCCTGTCCTCCAAAGCGCATATCGGCAGAATCACAGCACTGAGACGGCGTTATTAAAAGTTAAAAACGATCTTCTGCTAAATATGGACAAAGGTCATGTCACATTGCTTGTTATGTTAGATCTCAGCGCTGCGTTTGATACCGTAGATCACGGTATTCTTCTTCACAGGCTGCAGTCCAAGCTCGGCCTTCGGGATAAGGCTTTATTATGGTTTAAATCTTATTTGGCGGGAAGAACGCAGCAGGTCTCAGTTAACGGATCGCTCTCTGATAAATTTAATCTGACTTGTGGGGTCCCACAAGGTTCTTGTTTGGGCCCCCTCTTATTTACCATCTACGCGAGTTCGCTGTTTGACATCATGAAATCTCATCTGCCATCCGTTCACACCTTTGCGGACGATACGCAGCTATATATATATCGTTTAATCCCGTTGATAAGACCAGCGAGGCTGATGCTGTGATTGCGATTGAGAACTGTATTCGTGACGTTCGCGCATGGATGAGAGATGATAAGTTACTGCTAAATGACGATAAAACTGAGTTCTTGATCATTGGCACGGAACGACAGTTATCAAAGGTGTCCGTTGACAAGATCAAGATCGGCCAAGCTGAGGTATCGCCTGCCTCTTCAGTGCGCAATTTGGGCACCTGGTTCGATTCTCATCTGGACATGTCGACTCATGTGACTAAGACTTGTGCTAGCGCGTTTTATTATTTGTACAATATCCAGCACATTGGGAAGTATTTGTCTCGTGAGTCCACCGAGAGGCTTGTTCACGCGTTCATCACAAGCAGGCTTGACTACTGTAATGGTTTATTGTACGGTGCTCCTGAGTATCAAATTAAGAAACTTCAAAGAGTCATGAATGCCAGTGCTCGATTGGTTTACTGCGCACATAAGTATTGTCACGTTACTCCTTTGCTAAGAGAACTCCACTGGCTACCAGTGCGCTTGCGCGTATATTTTAAGATTCTCCTTGTTACGTTTAAGATTCTTCACGGTGTTGCGCCTAGCTATCTTAAGGATCTTGTCTCTGTCTTACCGGACTCACGTTACCAACTACGCCGTAACAATAATGGTATATTATTAGAAAGACCTCGGCTAAGAACGAAGAAGACTTTGGGAGATCGCGCGTTATCGATGGCTGCCCCCTTTTTATGGAACAGTCTTCCTCTGCCAATAAGACAGGAAACATCAATCGACTCTTTTAAACGCTCTGTTAAAACACATTTATTTAAAAAGGCTTTTAGTTAGATTATTTATTTATTTATTTTTAAATATTGTAATTTTACCGGGTAATTTTACTGGTTTTTAATTTAGTTATTAATAATATTGTAATGCGCTTTTGAGTATTTTTATAGAAAAAGCGCAATATAAGTTTTAAATTATTATTATTATTATTATAAGCTTACGGTCATTCTCTCTTAACTGTCTTTTATTTTCCTCTTCTGAATATTATTAAATACGAAAATATTCGTAAACTAAAACTTTAAGAATACAGTCACATCTTCTTCCTGCGTAGAATTGACCATTCCAGAAAGAACCAATTCAAAACTTGAGTATTTCTTGTAGTTCTTAGCCTGTTCCAGGTGTTGAAATCGATAATGGCCTGTCATTGCAGAAAAACTCTCAACACTAGTCGGACAATATGTCCGGTCAATTCTTTTATTTATTTACCTTTTTTGTCATTTGCTGGCGAATTTAGCCTAACTCGACGAAGTTAAACGGCTCTTTAACATCTTTACTCATTTCGTTTCGAAATTAAACAGCTCTTTAACGTCTTCACTCATTCGTATCTGTAAATGCGCTTGTTTTGGATCGTGTCAGTTGTTAATCACATGTTGTGTTTCTTTAACTTTTGGTTAACAAATGTGTCACTGGTAATTGCTTGAGGCAGCAGCCAATTTCTTATTTATGGAGGCGAAATTGGAAAATGCCTCGTGTTAATTTCTTTAACAAATCTTGATGTTGTTAGAAACGTCAGGATTATAATAACTTTCCACATCTGTTCGGTATTGTAGTGTTTGCTTATGTTAATTTGAAATCTAATAAGGAAGTTGGAGGCTCTAGGTGAATAGCACTTAGTCACGCATACGATATTTCCTGCTAGAAAGAACACAGTGCTGTAGCGTTGTAAGAATTGTTATTGAAGTAGCTAGAATTGAGGTAGCTACAGAGTTAGATATAGAGTCAAAGTTGTCGATCTTCAAAACCAAAATAAAAGCTTCTTGACTGACGGAACGTTTTCTTTTTGTACAAAAGTACTGAATTCTATATTCAGTTAAACTGATATTTAGTTATTGACATTTTTATGATGCATTACCGTTGCCTGTCACATTTTGAGCACAAATTTATGAGAAGATCGAGACCATAAGGATTTTTATCCAATATAACTGAGTTAAAGGCCTTTTTAATCGCAAAATGGAGTCATGGTTTTGGATCCTTGGCTGGTTTCTTTCAATTCTGACGATAAGTGGAAATGGATTCATTATCTTCCTTGTGTGCCAAAAACGACAACTCCGCACCAACACCAACGCTTTTGTCGTTTCACTTGCAGTGGCAGACCTCTGTGTTGGGATAAGTGTGTTTCCTATGCTGTTTTTGTACGAGATGACAAGAGATCGCAACTTTTCGCAAGCATTATATAAAGGAGTTTTGATCTCACGCTGGTTTTTTCAAGACGCCTCAGTGATGAGCCTGTGTAGCTTAGTACTGGAGCGCTATATTGCCATCGTGAAGCCTTTCAAATACGTGACTTTTATGCGTGGTCATCGCGTTGTCCAAATGATATTTCTCCCATGGGCTATAACTGTTATTTTTATTTTACTAGAGTCTTCACTCTGGATTGGTTTAAAGTCATCCTTCGTATTGAAAATTTTTATTTGGCTTGTTATTCCTTTCTTTGAATTTCTACCATGCTGTTTGGTCATTTTCTGCTTACTTTGTATGTTACGCGTTGTGTATAAACATAAGCGTGCAGTCAGTATTTTGACGCGACAGTTACGTTTGAACCATTGTGTTTCGTATAGATCTTACGAGAACTCTGCTGTTGTAATGGTGACAGTTGTATCAGGGATCTTTCTCGTTTGCTATGGTCTTTACTTGCGCTGTGGTTTTATGATGGTTTTTAACATAGTTCAAGACTGTTCTCATTTCACATCCTATCAAATGCCTATGTTAGTTTTTAACTCCGCTTTCAACCCTTTGGCTTATGCTTTTTTTAAGCGGGACATAAAGAAGGAGATTAAAAGGTTGTTGTACGCATGGAGTTTGAAAAAACAGCGTTTAAAAAATATTCGTCATTGTTATGATTACGACGTGAAAACGCATCCCTGTAACGCGCAGTTCTTTGGGAGAAAGAGGCAAAGTAATAGGTAGTGAACTTTAAAAAAGAAATCTTGAATTTAGCAAATCAGATAAGGGGAAATCCAAGAAATATTAATAAAAGATAAACGTTTGCCTTGCATGATAACTGACGCAAAAATTTTAGTGAATAAAATTTTCAGTGCAAGAAGCTTTATTTACGTTGCACACAGAATAATTGATATCTAAAAACCTTAATGGCTATTTATGGACTGACAGGTCATCAAATTGATGCAACGTGCTTTTAACTGTCTAATTTTGTAAATGGTTTTAACTCTTGTAAAAACCTCTAAATTATTAAAAAGGCTGACTTGAAAGAACATTACCAAAAGTAAATGTGAAAATGATACATGATGAAATGATACATGAAAATGATACATGATGAAAATGATAAAGAGACAACAGTAATGAAACTCTTGCAATAGATCGCGCCAAATATTATAAATATGGCGCGCAATTTTATTACTCTTTAAAGAAAGAGGTATCAGGCTAGCACCGAATTTAGCCTTTATGCCTCACCTAGCCTTGTTATTGAATTTTTAAGCCAAATTTGAGGTCAGCTGCAACTGTGGCGGCGAAATGCCGCGCTTTTATCTCTTACTAGTTCATTATACTCTGAAGATAACGATGAAACCACAGCATTTTTGTCTCCTTATATCCAGCTTAAACTTTTTTATGTTCAAAATTCATCCTCCAACTAGCTACTTTATACATTTTAAACGACCCTCGGTTTAAACTCGATAAAAATTGAGCGACTTCGTGGGAAAGGCTTTTTTAAGATTATTCCAGGAGAAAAATTCATATTTTAATGAAAACAGTGAATGAAGCTTTTTGCGCTTAGTTCCGAGGAACTGCTCAAACTCCGATTATGCGGTGCCTTAGAAGTATATAAGTGCAATTTGTTTACCCACGAAACACCTGGGAGCTCTTCAAACTCTTTTAACCCTTGAAGCTCTAATATCCACATGCAAATTATCTGACTGATCTCCATACATTTCCTTAAAGCATAAAAAAGGTAAGCAGGTAAAAAGGTACAAGGAATTTAAAGACATTAACTCTACTACAATAACTATACACCTTAACTATACTCAAGAAACAAAGAAGCGGGAAAAAAATATAAATAATAAATAAAAATAAAAATATTTCACAAATTACAGAATAGAATGCTTACTAATACCAATTATCACTTATCACACTTAACGAATTAGCGAAAAAGGGGTACTAACGAAAACAAAAATTATATGGTGTGACAAGTCAAAGTTTCATTAAAAGGTTATTTGTTTATTTTATTTAGAAGTTCGATACGCTTATGTAATCCGGCTGCCTGGTTTATTATTTTGGACGTATTTCCTCCACTTAGCGTCGCGAAAAGATCGCTTTCCATTGGAGTCAGCAATGATTGTCTCAATATGATAAGTGAACGCCACTTTGGAGAGGTAAATATTCAAGGAAGGAACACAGTCTCTACTACTACAGGAGTGAATATGCTGTTTTGCCGAAATTATTAAGTGGTTGAGCATTAAAAAATCAGTGCTATTTTCACAGATACCGAAAATTTTGTCAACATCTGATAGTTCATTCAACCTTATTTCTATCCCATTACAAAAAGAGATGAAACTTTGCCAAAATGTACTGGAAAAGACACAGTTTATAAATAAATGTTCAGAGATTCATCAGTTTTCTTGCTTACAAAACGAGCACAGTGGACTAGTTACCAAACCGATTTTATGGAGGAACATGTTCGTTGCCAAATACCTGTGTAATACCCTAAATCGAACCGCCCGTGATCTGGAATCGATAGCCACTTTGAAAGGTAAGTGATAGATCTCCTCCTATTTTAATGCATCCCGGATGCAGGAGTTTGGAGGTGTGACGACATGGCCCATGATGTGTGATGATGAGTCGATAGTCGTGCAGAACAGACAGTGGCAGTTTGGTTCACGAGTCGCAGTCTGCGAGCAAGCTCTCCATTTGGTTGAGTCGCGAGAAGTCACGCGAGACCAGCACGCGAAAGGAGAGGCGAGTGCGAGTGGAAGGGGAACGAAAGTGAAGCAGAACTAATTGAAGATTTATAAGAGATCGTTGCAAGCCCGGCTCCTTTTCCTCCGCTCACGCGTTCTCTCGCGACTTGCTAGCAAGCTACACGAGTCGCTGTAACTGGTATTCAGTGTGATTTGTCAGAGCTACAACATCGGCGAACAGAAATTCTCTAATGGGAATTTGGGTAAATTTCCACAGTCGAAGGTGTGCAAGGATGAATAACTAGCATTTAAACAGGAAAGCTTTCTTAAAGTTGCTGACATGATGCTGAAGAGATTTGCTGCTGGACAACATTGAAGGAAATATACTACTCATGAAAGTACGAAATTGACACTAGGCTCCGCAAATGTTTCTCTAGAAGTACGGGCGCGATTTCGTCGTCGGAAAAAAGCAAATTCCGTTTTGTGGAAATAATCACTTCTTCTGTAGGTAATTCTGTGCGTCACTATCTCGGTTAAACGTAGTGATAGTTGTCGTGGTTATCGTGATGTTTCAAACGCCTTTCCGACAAAATCGCATTGTGGTGATATAATGGTGAAAATATTAATTCTAGCTTCCTTATTTTCATTCTAAGTGCTTGCTGGGAGTTGTCTCAAGTTAAGTGATTTGTCTGGAAATAATAACAAAAAATTTTAAGTATCTTGGGCATATACTGTAGCAGGTGTCATATTTCGACGTTATGTCTGAGATATTTCCGAGAGTCGTCACATGATGTATTTCATATGTATTCACTTGAGGTCAGTGCACAGGCCGTAATTATGTGTGCAAAGAGAATATAGTTTTTCGTGTTTGTTTGTTTGTTTTTTCTCACCCCTTTTCCATTTTCAACACCAAAAGATGTAACAATAGAAATTATCTTTCTCGAACTAAGAAAAGGTTTATTTTTTTACTAGCTATAACTTGGGTGCAATAGGTATTATTTTAGAATTTAATGAAGTAGAGCCAAGGCACAAGAGTCAATCAAGCCCCTTCTACTTTTCACAATGCTAATTTTTTTGGCATCTTTTTGACCGAGTATATGCCATATTTTACATCCTGCGCCCAAGTTAATTACTCATGAGCAGATGGTTCTACATTTCTGTGCTCCTATAACTGAGTCGAAGATAATTTTTACATACACTAAGACGGAAGCGTGGTTTTGGGTTCTTGGCTGGTTCCTGTCCATTCTTACGATTATTGGAAATGGATTTATTATCTTTCTTGTGTACAACAAACGACGACTTCGCACAAAAACCAACGCATTTTTGGTGTCACTTGCAGTGGCAGACCTCTGTGTTGGGATAAGTGGTTTCCTTTGCTGTTTTTGTACAAGATAACAAGAGATCGCAGCTTTTCACAAACTTTACAGAAAGGAATGTTGATCGTGCACTGGCTTTTTCAAGACGCCTCTGTGGTGAACCTTAGTAGTTTAGTACTGGAGCGCTATATTACCATCGTAATGCCCTACAAATATGTGACTTTTATGGCCCGTCGTCGAGTTGTCCAAATGATTTTCGTCTTCTGGACAATAACTGTTATTTTTATTTTTCTTGAATCGTCACTTTGGATCGGGAAGGTTTAAATTCATCTTCTGTATTGAAAATTTTTTTTTGGTTTGTTGTCATTTTCTTTAAGATTATCCCATGTTGTATGGTTATTTTTTGGATAGTTTCCATGCTCCGTATTGTATTTAAACCAAACAGAGCAGTCACTATTTTAACCCGACAGTTACGTTTCAACCACCGTGCTTCGCACAAACCTTACGAAAAGTCCGCAGTTGTAATAATGGCAGTTGTTTCTGGCTTCTTTATCGTGTGGAATGTTCCTTTGTTGCGTTGTGGGTTTTTGAAAATTTTTCACTTTATTCATGACTGTTTTGATTTCAGGTATAAAATACCAGTTTTGGTTCTTAACTCGGCTGTTAATCCTTTTGCTTACGCTGCTTTTAAAAGGGACTTGAAGAATGAATTTAAAAGACTGATTTGCACAGTGACTTCGACAAAACATGAACAAAGGAAGATTCATGAAAACATTCATATTTCTGTGGCTAGGACGTCCTTGTTTTAAGAAATGTAAATTTGTGGTCAGTGAAAAATAAGAAATAATTAGTGGAATGAATAAAATGCTTTCTTTATGAATCTTTATTCCTACGAGCATGTTTCTTCTTTTTCTTTCTATTTTGGTAAGTTTTCCTTCCTCGTGTTGATAGGAAAAAGTAACTTGTATTTTTTCGTTGTCAAGTAGTGCTACCACGTTACATTTTTTTCGTGATACAAGCAGCGTGCAAAGAAAGTAGTGTCCGATAGCCCGGGGCTAGTGGATTTTGCTATCAGGCTAGTAAATTCTGTTATTAACTTGCCCGACGGGCAAGTGATCTTTTTTGAGGAATTCGAATAACAGAAGAACTGTGAGATCAATTCTGCTCTTCAAAAAGCTTTTGGGGCTAGTTGAAATGACGTCTGGACTAGCAAATGTTACCTTCAGCTTGCCCGAATGGCAAGCTGTAAAAATGATTTTCTTTGCACCCTGTACAAGGCCCACGATGCGATACAAGTTGCAGAACCTTATGTACACACAAGACCGTGCAGCTGCGCATGAGTTTGTTCACTATCTTTATTCCACGCAAAGTGGGAGTATAAAAGACTGTAATTTCACTTACTCGTCAATAAAGTACGATTTTGTTTTGTCGTAGTATCGCGATATCTTTTTCAATAATCAAAATTTTTATATGGGAAGAAATATGGTGCCTCACCGATGCATCGTTGAATCGTTGTAGCCCTATAGAGAAGAGAGGTGATGACGTCATCGGTAAAAAAAACAAACAAACTAAATTTGTGAAATTGTGGGGTTGGTTAGCATAACCAGAAAGAACCAGATGAAAAATGTTCACTCGGTAAAAATAAGCCAGTTTGAAACGGTGCTTATATGTCCCCACCTATTTGCACTAAAAGGATAATTTTTTTTCATCTTGTTCTTTCTGAATATGCTAACCAACCCTATAATTTCACGTAATTTTAATTTTGGTGTTATCATACCTCATTACTCTATTATCAAGTGAAAAGTTGCATGTTTTCCCATTTACTACCGGCAAGAATTTCTTGTCAAAGTAAAACTTGCTAAGAAAACCGTGGAGTGTAAATGGGGCTTATATAAATGGTGTGAATAATGGACTTACAAGCAAGTAATTGGACTTAAGATAAAGGACTAATTCTGAAACTGGAATGAAAATTGATACTTTCTGTGGTTAGAATTAGACTGATTTTAATCATAGTTCAAATAATCTACATAATGTTTCAAAATACAAGCCATCAATTCAGTAAAAGACAGACGTGAAACAATGATGCTCTTTTTTCTCAATTTGTATAAGGTCTATGTACCCCATAGCCTGCGAACAGCAGACGCATTTCCGATCGAGAAGCGACGATCGGAAATGCGTCTGCTGTTCGCAGGCTATCTACCCCACTAGTTATGATATTGGCTGAAGTTTTTATGTTCATATCTTCTCAGAGATCCTTTTACACGGAACTGAAACTCGCAACTTGTTTATAATCCCCACACTCCTTAGTTTTGCGCGAGTATTCACACCAAGAAAAAGCCGTTACCAATGAGTTTCGATGATCCTGCCACTTGGGTAGTCGGCAGTATGGTTGGTTTGAGTGAAGAGTTGAAAGTCAACTAGTGCACTGTTCTCTTATTCTCTTCTTTTTAATCATCAAATGTCCATTCTTTTTCTCGTTCTAGCCTTCAATGTCCGGCTATCAAGGAGCCCCGTCTTGAGTCAACCAGCTGTATAGGTTTGGCAAGCGTTTATGAACCAAAACATTTTCTCTTACATGTTGGGCGACCATACAGGTTCCTTCTTTCTGAGTCTGTCTGGCATCAAGGTCATTCCTTGATTACTTCCATGCCTACGTTTAATGGTACTTGCACGAGCCCATAGGCACTTTGGCCTGATGATATGGTTACTTTCTCCATCTTATGATTCTGTACTGAGGCTTTGTTTTACGGGCGCTATTCTGTCGTTTGCAGTGAGAGGTGCGCAGTGTAAAACAAACAAATTACTTTAACCTGTGCTAGTGTAAATTTGGACTGTAGTTTCCATTATCTCCGAAAAAGCCCCCGTAGGGGAGAAGATCGTATTATGCTAAAAGAGCAATTTCATTCCTCAGGTTAATGGACTCGATTAACAGCTGTTCTGTACGCGCATAAGACTTATTTTAAATTTCAAAAATGCTCTGTTGTGTTCATCTATTGAGGGAGATAAAAATATTTTACTTTCATCGTTTATACAAGTAACATTCTTATGTTTCAGTCTCCTATTTCAGCTACAAAATCACTGAAGATATTGCGCTCTTACTTCGGTCTTGATATAAAAAGGCACGTGACTATGTCAAACGCATTTCCCTGATTAGACTCGTCCTCACAGTTCACTAAAACGTACAAACTATGTAAACACTCGAATCTACTTACTAATCCTCAATAACTGCTAGTACATTATCTCAACCTACAGCAGAAAGATATTTATCGCAAAAGAAAATTTGCTGGTGCAGATATCTTGAGGTTTAGCTGCGTCACAGTTTCTTGTAAGGTTGCATGTTCTAGCAAAAGGAATATGCTTTTTCCGATTTAAATTATGCGCCTTCCTTCGTTTATGTTGTTTTCAAAGTCCCTGTGCACATCATTCTTTTAAATTCCTTTTTTATGTCCCTTTTGAAAAGGGCATAAGCCAATGGATTAACAGCGGAGTTAAGAACTAACACAGGGATTTTAAATGTAGAATCTGAGCATCTTTGGTTTAAAATCTTCAAAAATCCACAACGTATAGTAAGAGCATTGTATATAAGAAAGAAACCTGATACAATAATCATCATTACAATCGCGGACTTCTCGTAAGGTTTGTTGGAAACACGGTGGTTAAAACGTAACTGTCGAGTTAAAATTCTGTTTACGCGATTGTGTTTACATACAATGCGGATCATAGAAATTAGGCAAAAAATAACAATACAACAAGGCAAAAACTCGAAGAATATAATAACTAGCCAGACAAAAATTTTGAGGTTGAGAGACGAATCTAAGGCGATCCACAGAGTTGCTTCAAGCAAAATAAACACAACTGTTATCGTCCAGGGAAGAAATATCATTGTTAGAGCCCGATGTCGAGTCATAAAATGCAGGTATTTTAAAGGCATCACGATGGCAATATAGCGCTCCAGTACTAAACTGCACAGGTTCATCACTGAGAGATCTTGGAAAAGCCAGCGTACAATCAACATCCCCTTATGTAAACCTCGGGAATAGCTGCGAATTCTTGTGATCTCGTACGAAAACAGCAAAGGAACTACACTTATCCCAACACAGAGATCTGCCACCGCAAGTGAAACCACAAACATGTTGGTTTTTGTGTGAAGTTTTCGTTTTCTGCAAACAAGGAAGATAATAATTCCATTTCCAATAATCGTCACTATTGAAAGAAACCAACTAAGAACCCAAAACCACGACTCCATTTTACAGTTTTAAAAAAGATCTTTCTGTCAGGTGTTATACCAAATGAATTTTACAGACAATTTACGGACATCTGGTTTTTCATTAATTAACTTCTGCGTGAAATATGAAATATAGTTCATCATAAAACGGTTTTTATGTCACCTAATTTTCGCGATATTCCACGTTAGAGTCAGATCGAATGATACATGACATTACGTGCAACGGGACATTTAGATACTTGAGGAAAGGAAAAGGGCCTTGTCATCAACACTTGAGACACGTTTTCAATCAACTAAATTGACTGGATGTTGCCAAGAACATAAAAGGATGTTGCACATAATAAATTCGGTATAAAAGAATGAGATGCCACTGACCACGTACGTTTGTTTCTTTGCTTGCGGTTTTTTTTTGGCGATTTTTTGATAATTTTATCTTTGCGTTTACTTAACTTCGCGATCTTTTTCGTCAGAAGTAGATCGCAAAAACATTAAAACCCGAAGAATTAAGAGTGGATTTGCATTTTCATTTTGAGACCTTTTAAAGGCACACTTAAACTTTAATAACTTGTACGCAAAGTTATTAATTCTTCAAAACAAAATTTCTGTGGGACCGCGGACACTTGCTGCGTTAGTTACGACAATCATATCTGTGGGCGGACTTAAAATGAGTAAACGCTAATCCAAAATGCAATTAATGGACAGCAAAGAAATGACTCTCATAATGGCATTGAAAGTGCCTTAAAAAAGTTTTAGATCGACCGCGGTTTAAGATTTGCAGGGGTCAAAGGGCCATTATAACCATCCCCCCCCCTTCCCCCAACTGCTTCAGCTTTTCTGTCAATTATCGTCTTGTGTTGAATGCATCATTTGGCGGTTATGAAAAGCAATTGACTAAATGTAACTGTTTTACTAAGGTAGCGCATCCACGACATTTGTCACATACACATGAACCATCGCTGGAAAACAAACTACTCAGATAAAAAGAGGCAAATTCAGAGAAAGAAGCCACTGACTGATAGAGCAGCCGCCAAAATGTCCAGCTAAACCACTCACGTGTTTTTGTTGTTTTAGTTGTCGTTGTTGATTTTCTTGAAGCATTTGTCGTGACGTAAGAAAATCAATTCATAATCTGTACGAAGCGACGGCATGGCATAAACAGTCAGTCATTTCAAGGGCTTCAAAGTGGCAATGAAAGACCAGCCAAGTTAAAAACTTTGAAGAAGTTTTTGAGCCTTTCGTTAGTGAGGTAAGAGATGAGTACCTTTTATGTTCTCTTGAGTAAATTTGGAACTATTGACCCAAATTGTCGACCTGTCTTTATAAGCTCTCCAAATCTTAGTCGTCAGCCAGTGCTTTACTGGCACTAGAGATAAGACTTTTCGTTACCACTGGAAGATTGGAAAAGAAGTAGCTATCCGAGAAAACGCGCTGATTTCTTATACAATTACAGATACAGAGAAACTTTATCATCCAAAGAGCACCCCTCGTGGCACATATGTAATATAAGTAACAGAGGTAAAAAAAAGTTATTTCTTAGTACTTGGATATTGTATGTTTAATTTTTCAAAGAAGATAAGAGTCTCGGGCGTCAGTTATATGAAGTGATATCATTCTGCAAGATTTTCTTTGAGGCGCCTTTCCCTTTCGCGCTTTCAATCCCTCATGCATTTGGCTACCTTTTCCCCTCTTTCTCTTTGCTTCGTGCTTATTAACGTAAAGAGGGCGGTGCATGGAGCTGTAGAACAATTTTATTGTAGGGTTCCTATAGACCAAGCAGTTTATCAAAAAATTCTCTTCGTCCTCAGTCTTTGTTTTGCTTAAGGGGCTATAATAAGATTCTTCGGTGTTGCGTTTGGTAGGGTTTGCTGTACCGCCCATTTTCATAAGCTAATTTATGGTTGCTAAGTCTCAGTTTTATGACTCTCTAGTCTCAGTTTCTGATTCCTATTTATATTTCTCTGTGTGTTATTCTTATGTATCTTTACCATTTGAGTCGGGCACAAAAGAACGAATAAGCCCCCCTCGCACCCCCCAACTAAGCCGACCGGTCACGGTTAAGTGTTTACTTCATTTAGGTAACTGAAAGCTAAACTTCTTGGCTCTTAATTGTGTTTATGCCTTCAAAACGTTTATTTAGTAATAGCAGTATAAATACTTTTAGTGCAGTTTCTAGAATTAGCCCTTAAGCTTAATTCCCTGCAGCCATCACATATCCTCCTATTTAGGTTCATTTTTACTAACTTGTAAAAACCAAACTTTCCTTTTTTCACGAAGCTCAAACAGCTTTTTATTTTTTTTTTGTCTTCCTAATCATAAACAGGACCTTCTTTAAAAAGTTAGCAAATCATTCGATATACCGCTGAACTTCTTTTCAGCGCCCCACAATGAAGCGAACACTTCAGCGGCTGAACAAATGTCGTCTATTAAGGCGGTTTGACTTTTTCTTGAAGGTTGGTTCCAGCACCAGTTTTACGATGTGTCCTGTTGAAATGGCGCGTCTTTCTTCGGTGTTGTAATTTCAAAGTCACTGTTCACATTAGTCTTTTTAGTTCCTTTTTTATGTCCCTTTTGAAAGGCGCATAAGGGTTCACAGCGGAGTTAAGAATTAACTCAGGGATATTATATGTGTTATCTGAACATCTTTGATTCAAAATGCTTATGAAAACACAGCGTATGTTAATGACAATGTAAGAAAGAAACCTGATACAATTGTCTTTTTAACCTAGGTTGATTCTCAATTTCCTTTGTCTCCTAGCCCTAATTCATGAACAATTAGGGTTAGATTACTGATTGAAAAGTCCATATTGACTTAAAGCTACAACTTTCAATTTAACGAATCAGGCAATTCATGTCTCTTGGCTCATTTAATCAACGAATTCTGTTTTTGGCAATTGAAGACGGACTATATTTTAAAATATATTACACTATTACACTATTCAACAGCGTTTATGGCGCCGATGCGAAAGTTAAGCAGTAAAACCTAGAACAACACGACGCACGGACGCCTTGGTTGTGCTTACATTTGAAATTTCAAATGTTTTCGCTCAAAGCATTTTGTATTTGAGATGAGACTCTCTCGCCCGGGGAACTTATACTTTCTTGTTGTCGCACTCAAATAGCATGGTCAACATTTCACCTGTCACACGTATTTACCGATCTTAAAGTTTACGACAATAATTTTGAAATCGCACGTCAGGTTCATTCCTTTAAACTTCGTTAAATTAGCTTCTGAGTTCTCGAGTTCTTTATTTGCAAACGTGGAGAAATATAGCAGTCCTGATTTGGTTAACTTCAGCATCTATAAGTAACTTTGGTTGAGAGTGTCAAGAAGGAACGTACAGCAGGCTGGAAAAAAGTTTATTTTCGTCACTGAAAAACCGCACTCGGCCGCAGAAAAGGTTCTTAGGATCCAATAGTTTCGTAAACTGCGCTTGGTCTTGGTTAATCTTCGTTTAAGTGTCGACCGATTGTTTTTAGATTACAGAAGTGGATTCAGTTCGAAGTATATAGGAAGGAATTGCTTTGGAGGACAAGGGCAAAAAATATATATTCAGGAATCGAACTGATTACATTAAAACCGCCATTTCTTTTTTTACCAACCAATTACATTTATAAAATAACTAAGGTAGCACGCGCGCTCTGATTGGCCGAGAGGTGTGTTTGCATGAGAGTATGTAAACATGGCTGTGACGTCAAGATGTTTTGCCTTTTGCGCGCTAATCACGCAAGCACGAATTTGCAAAAGTTTTTGAGTTGAAAACTCGACAAGAGTTCTTTACTAGGGAGCTTAAGCAACTACGACGACGACCACAATGACGACTTCAAAAAAACCAGTAGGTTTAATGATCAAAACAACAGCTCTGCACGTGCATCACGCTTTTTAGTACATTTCTTTGACGTCCACTCCACGACTACGACGTGAAACCTCCTAATTTGACGTTTTATGGACGTGGACACACGACGACGAATTTTCCTTCCTCTTTTTGAGCCTGCATAATATCCTTAAGAATTCAACTTCAGAAAAGTCGCCTGCATTTGACATATTGAGAGGGTCCAAATAGACGCGATTAAGTCTGAAAGAACGCAAATTCATTTTTTTATCGACTTTTTCAGTGCCGTTGTCGTCGTCCTTACTTAAGGTCCCTATTTACCCATTCCCTCGTTGGCCTAAACTTGGAAAATCTTTACAAACTTTCCGTGTCATTTTAAGCGAGAAAAATCCGTATTTTAGAAGGCATCTTTTTTGCAAAACAAGAACTGATTACGCGGGCAAGACTTCTCTTTTACGCGGTTCCATAACAAAGAGTTTTGCGTTTTTTCTCGGGAAAGTTAATTTATAAAAGCAATAGAAATGTTTTTCCTGTATTTGCATAACTGTCGAGAATTTTCCCAACCCCTCAAGTGTTTCTATCAGGCTATGCGAACATGAAAAACGTTTTCTACTGCTTAAATCTTCAAAAATTTTCTACCCCCACTTATTCGATATCAGTCTGCATTTTGTTTGACCTTTACTACTGCAGCAAGGGTTCCCAGTTCTTTATTATTTTTGTTTTAGAGAATTTACAAGGCTAAAACCTTTGCAGAGAAATAAAACACATCATGTCTTTTCAGAACTAAAGGTATAAGAATGAAATACGTCCACTCTTCGAATAAAGTCGCTTATTTTCGCTCGCTTTGTGTCTCATTAGGATATTAATAGCGAAATTTAATGATACAAAATTATCAAAAATTGCATAAAAAAGGGAAGGCAAGTGAAATCTTTTTCTTTAGTGGAGCTTGCTATAGCACAGTAAGTCTCTAAAAGTGCAACCGCTTTTTTTTCGTCGGTCCGTCGCGAAAAGGGGGTAAGCTCCCAGGCGTTCTTAACGGAGACAGTGGAAACTGGGGATAAGAATCGTGACGACTTTCATTGTATGCAAATGAGTCTTGTGATGAGCATGCGATTTATTTTCGACATTGACTGATATGACGCATGTAAGTTGAACACGTTTTGGTAATGATGTAATTTTCCCCGAATCGAGAGGCCCTTGATTTTCGTGTAATTATGCACGTGTATTAAAAAGTAAATACCCCGAGCAGGGTGAGAAAATATTATTGCAGTGTATTGAAGCGTTACGTTTCTCAGAATATTGTGGCAATTACTGGAACTCTACGGTTAAATCGATTCACTTTGTTGTAGTTGTTAAGATGTGAAATTGCGTTGCTCTATATAAATCCTTGAGATATCAATGATTTTTAACCTTCGAGTACTACTGGAAGCAACTTCAACTACGTCTGACGTTACGTTTGTGTCATTGGTGTGGTCATACGGGTAGCTTTGTACTTGATTATCACACACTCTACTTGCGGCATTTCATGTCCACAGAATAGAAATCCCATATCGAGCTTTTCCGGAACGGGTCGGTCCACGAATTCTATCACTTGAAAGCGTTGATTACTTTGGAACAATTGATTACTTCAGTTGTCGAAAAAATGAACAATCTTAATGAGCAAAACTTAATAAACTTATAACTCAATAAATAGATCGTGGTGATGTGGGCCGCAGACTGTAGATAAATTTCACAAAACATAACCCCGTCTCTGTACTGAGCACTAAATTTCAGTAAACTACTCTGAGTCTGAGTGAGTCAGTGATTGTTTTGACGAGAAAGTGAAATTTTCCTGGAAAATGAAACGCTTTATCCTAGTGATACTGTAATAAAATGCACGCTGTGTACAGCTCTAAACATTGTACTCTGAGATCGCGTAAACATCAACTGTACGAAGATACTAAAAGCAGGTACTAAGCAGCCATGGAAAATGTAATTACTTTCACGCAATTTTGCTAGAGCAAGGGATGGCGCAGTGGTGTCACCGCTCGTCTCCCTCCAATGTGGCCCGGGTTCAAAATCCCGGCGTCGGCGCCATATGTGGGTTGAGTTTGTTGTTGGTTCTCTCCTTTGCTCCGAGAGGTTTTTCTCCGGGTACTCCGGTTTTCCCCTCTACTCTAAAACCAACATTTCTAAATTCCAATTCGACCCGGAATCAGGAAGACGAAGAACCTCTTTGTGGAGGTGCTACCTCCAAATCATTATTGTTATTATTTTATTATTGTATCTTAAAAAACGGACAACAAATTCAACAGGAATACGTGAAAACTGAATTAAGTGTCTGTTGTATAAGGTTCTGCTATACTTACACATTTTTCTTGTGCTGAACAAAAACTGTACCGAGCCGTATCTTGTTCGCTACGTAGAAGCTCTATATATTTATACTCAAATAAAAATCATCCTTCAATTTTTGAGTGTAAATCCCTCAAAGAGTTCTCCTCACTGGAGCAATATCAATATGCAGAAGGTTTTCAAAAGGAGGTACACTGTATTTATGTTTAACTTGTAAGTAGAATCCCTCAAAAGGAGTTTGGCATCTCTCAGAAGGAGGTACACTGTATTTATGTTTAACTTGTAAATAGAATCCCTGAAAAAGAGTTTGACATCCCTTAGAGGGAGGTGTTTGTGTTGAACTCGTAAATGGAATCCCGGGCCCAGAGGGATTTTGATATTACAGGATTTTTGTATCCCTTATGAAAATCTCTCAAATGGAGATGTCTTTTGCTGAGATATGGTTTCAAAATTAAGTAAGGCTGTGGTCTAATAAAAGTGAAAGGGTGCCCGATGAGCTGAAGCTGTGAAATCTAGGTTGCCCAGTAAAGAATTTCTGTGAAGAAAATAATATTTTCTTGTCACTCACCAACAAAAGTTTGGCACCATGGGCCACCGGGCACTGCTAGAGCACAGCTTTGTATTCTATAAGTTATTTCCACTTTTTTATTGTCTGTTTGACGCTACTATGCACTACAGCATGCAAGTAGACAATTCATTATAAATATATACTGTAGTTTGAAAGTCCATGGTACTCAGTGCATGTATAGAGCTGCAACTGAGCATTTAAGCTTTCAGTACTTAAGCTTAATTAAAGATTAAAGGCCAAAAAGGTGCACAATAAAACAGCTATATTGGAGTTTTGTTAGGCAAGTTCTTGGTAGATATGTTACAGGTCAAAATGAAATTCAGGTTAAACTTTTTTAACCTAGATTGATTCTTTGTCTCCTAGCCCTAATTTTTATGATTCTGATTGCTATAATTCTATTGAGAATCAATAATCTTGACCTATGACAAATACATGTAAATCCTTAAATATATGCAATTTAGCCACGTTGACGTACATTCCATTTACAAGTTATACATAAATACAGTATACCTCTTTTTGAGAGATGCCAAACTCCTTTTGAGGAATGCCATTAGTTTACAAGTTATACATATATGAAGTGTACCTCCTTCTAAGAGACGCCAAACTTGTCATGAGGGATTCCATTTACAAGTTATACATAAATACAGTGTACCTCCTTCTGAGGGATACCAAACTCCCTCTGAGGGATGCCAACGTCCTTCTGAGGGATTCCGTGTAAGCAATTCTGAGGTGTATGCTCCCTTACGCACTTATTATCGAACAATTCCTCATTTTTAAGGAACAGAGGAGTTTAAAGTAATCTCATATACATTTCCCTTGCCGTTCGAAGTTCTTTATCGTAAATTCTGCTAGTCCGACGACGTAAGTTGATCGCGAGATGCGCCGCCATATTGTCCCACCAGCCGAAGATCGCCGAAGCAACTGTCGTTTCTGGTCGTCCTCGATCACCTCCTTCTGAGAGCCACGACCTTTAGTATTCTATTTTAATAAACTCCAACTAGTGGTCTATTATCAATGCTGCGCTCTGATTGGTTAAGCTACTACTAGGTTATATGTTATAGCCCACTAGTAGCGAAAAGCGCCGGCTTTGAAAACCAAAACAGTGGCGGCTGAATCGCGTTTTGCTAGCTAAAGTTGTTTTGTCTCGATATTGTTTGCCAACTAGTTGGATTTTACTAAAACAATTATTCCTCTCACCCACATGGGCTATTGACTCAGAGCCCATTCGGGCTCAAGGAATAATTGTTAAATACACCAATCAACTTCACGTACAGTCTACATTCTTGTCAACGTAAGAAAAAAGCACAATCGCCAAAGAATTTAACCTTGATCGAGGTATCAGTGACAAGCTCATGCCTCCTAAAACTGAGAATTGTAAGTAAATTGATGGAACAATTTTTCTCGAATCACTAGATAAGATATGCTTCTTGTAAAACTATCAACAAATCGAATACCTCAAGTAAATCGAATTTTTAACAGATAAATCCCTCAAACGGACAGCCATAGTTGATACCTGGTACCATATGCATGTTGAACATAAGTTTGATAAAACGTCTGAAGATATTACCATGTTGTGTTAATATTAATTTTGTAAACTGAAAGAATAGTGCAAACGTGGGAGCAAACCCCATTTACATTGTAATAGTACTGGTCGAAGTAATCTCTAGAAGACATAAGAAGCTTTTTAGAATAGCTTAATGTTTTCATTAATTCATTTTTGTCAACATACTCCGTTAAGATAAAAATTGATCTTTTTGCTTGTTACTGAGCGAAAAACAAGCAAGCAGGCAAACAAATACGACCTTCTCATTAGCAAAGAAGGTTTTCGATCAAAACTATGGGTCGATATGCTTTTTCATATATTTCGGCAAACTGCTGCTGTTGTCCTTGTCAATTTTGTCGTCTTCGGTTTGGTTGTTTTTCTTCATTGTAACTATATCTCAACTTAAATTATATGCTACAAAGTTTAAATTCTGTGCATTAAAAAAATTACCCGTTAACATATGCGTTTTATTTACTATTAAAAGGGGATCAGTTCACTGTCAATTATGTCTGAAAAGAGCTTTGGTTGTCTTTTTTTCTTCGCTGACCCTTATTTAATAAAAGCAAAACGTAATGGGGCTAAAGTAATATGGAGAAATGAGAAAATTTCATTACTGGTCGATAGGTTTAAATGGAATATCCACGATAAGTAGTTTGATTGACAAATCGGCGCCTCATTTTACGGTTGGAACTACTTGTTTACTTTATTTTTCTTTTAATTGCCTCACTTGACACACAATATATTATATGTATTATATTTCTTATGTCCTGAGCCCAAGCTTATTACCAGGCAGCTGTTAGAACAATACGGTGGCTGAATTAACATAACTGACATGTACTTTAAATAAAAATATTTTTGAATTTTTGGCTGCTTCTTTCTACTCTGGCTTTTATTGAAGATGGATTGCTTATTTTCCTTTGGTGCAACAAAGATAAGCTTTATATCCCCCGGTTTGGGTTCAATAAAGTAAAACCACAATTAGCGTATTTGCTTTCCCAGTCGGCGATAAGCCGGGGGGCCTTCTTTTACATCTCTTGCCATATTCCATATGCTATGCTTAACATAATTAGTCAGGACCAGATGGTTCTATATTTTATCAGTTGAATGAGCTAATATAGCGGCACTGAAGTTTTTTGTTTTGCGCTAAAATGAAAACGTGGTTTTGGGTTTTCGGCTGGTTTCTTTCGATTCTGACGATAACTGGAAATGGATTCATTATCTTCCTTGTGTGCAAAAAACGACAACTCCGCACAAAAACCAACGCGTTTGTGGTTTCACTTGCAGTTGCAGACCTCTTTGTCGGGATAACTGTGTTTCCTGTGCTGTTTTCTCTCGAGATGACAAGAGATAGAAGCTATTCGCAAGAGTTATATAAAGGGATGTTGATTGTACGCTGGTTGTTTCAAGACACCTCTGTGGTGAACCTTTGTAGTCTAGTACTGGAGCGCTATTTTGCCATCGTGATGCCTTTCAAATACGTGACTTTTATGACTCGTCAGCGAGTTGTACAATTAATCTTCAGTCCTTGGGCATTAACAATTATTTTTATTTTGCTTGAAGCGTCACTCTGGATCGGTTTAAATTCATTTTTTATCTTGAAGATTTTTATTTGGCCTGCTATTATTTTCTTCCTGTTTCTTCCATCGTGTATGGTCAGTTTCTGCTTAATATCCATGCTCTGTATCGTGTATAAACACAATCGAGCATCGAGAATCTTAACTCGACAGTTACGTTTCAACCACCGTGTTTCACATAAACCCTATGAGAAGTCCCCAACTGTAATGATGGTAATTGTCTCAAGCTTCTTTCTTGTTCACAGTGTTGTTAATATACGCTGTGCTTTTTTAAGAATTTTAACCCAAGCTGAAGACTGTTATGATCTCGATTATAAAATACCTCTGTTAGTTTTAAATTCCGCTGTTAACCCTTTGGCTTATGCCGTGTTCAAAAGGGACATAAAAAAGGAATTGAAAAGACAGATCTGCACAGTGATTTTAAAAAATGAACACCGAAGGAAGACGCTCCATTTCAATAGGACAAATCGTATCACTGCATCTAGCACGAACTTGTAAGAAACGTTTAACCCTTCTTAATAGGGAAACCAAATAGACGGGTAAGTGTTTAGAGGGCTGTTTTCTTCGGGGAAAAAAGCCATCAGGAGAGGTGTCGTAAATTTGGATGCTTCCGTGAGGTCCGCCAGACGAATATTCTTATTCCATCAAAGATTACTTTTCATTCGAAAATGTCTATTTCTTGATATTATTAATTGTGTCTTTCTCTCTCCGCCGAAAACCAAATCCATAAATGCTGCTCTTGCCTGAGCTCTATTTACTGCGAAATAGAAATAAACACACTGAAGTTGGGAGCAATATGCGGGCTATGGAATATGAAACAAACAAAGCATGAATGAATTCTGTTATAATATGTTCGCCTAGCAAAGGTGCGGCTCAAGAAAAATGCCCAAAGCAAAGACACCGAAGGTGCATTGCTGCCCCACACCAGGCAAGAGCAGAAGCAAGGAGAAATGCATAGGAGGATCCTAAGACAACAAGCTATTAATGCTAATCAGCTCCACTAAAAAAGAAATCCTATGTTATTTATAGATGGTATACCAGCCGCCCTTGCAAGTACAGCACACCCAAAATGAATTACGTTAATCATACCACTAAGACAGGGTTTGCACAGTCTTGGAAAGTACTTGAATGTTACGGGAAGTCCTTGAAAAGTCCTTAAATTTCTGTGTAAATCCTTGAATTTTCTTCAACTTTGAATGCAGTAGCCTGGAAAGAGTTTTTGATACTTTTTGCTTGTCCGAGACAGAATATAAATCATAGCTCAGAGAATTTAAAGGTTATTTACATAGTGCTCTATGTAAAAAATGTGAAAAATGCAGAGAAGTTGGTGAAGCAAACAGTTAAAGCCTTTAAGTCTTATTAGAATGGACTGGAAATGTGCATTTTTGTACAAATTATATTCCTAGTAAGTGGTCCTTGAAAAGTCCTTGAAAAATGGTTGCAAGTTTTTGTATGAACCCTGTAAGTCTGCCTTGTGGGTAGATGAACCCGAATCATTAGATCGGTCACGACAAAAATGAAAACTAACTTCTGAAAAAGCTGCCCATGCAAACTAAGTCGGCAATTTAAAGAAACTAAATTGCAGCAGCCACACCAAGGGATACAAGATGGTAAGAATTGCCATTTGCCAGATGAATCCTTGGCAATAAGAGAAAATGAGATTAATAGAGTGAGAAACAACAAGGTGGGGCAGCCGCCCATGCCAACTGACCCTCTTTGTCAGTAAATATGATGACCCGCATTATTTGTTCAGGAACTGAGACTGGCAACCCTGATATTGCGCAGAAAGGCATTGGACTTCCAGCGTCCTAACATTCTGATCTAAGTATCAGAACATCCCCGATCTGCTGCATATGAAGCCGCACCAAGTCCAAAACTATGACGTTTATAGCGGGAAGGGTCTAAGCCACACAAGTGACAAACCCTTAGAGGCTGGTTGGAGAAAACTGATAATAAAACAGGCAACCCATCCTCTGAAAGGAAAATGGCCCCTTGTCTTGAGCCCCATAAGGTTAAATACTTGGACAACAATGCAACTGGACAGTTGGGCTGCCGGGAAAGAACCACGGAAAGGGGGGCGTGCATTGTAGCTTTGCTTAAAATCCCCAAAGGTGAGTTTAAAAGCCATCAATTCCCTAGACGGTGAAATCAATTTTGTGAGCTTTACTATTAAACTTAGCAGTCATTTCTTCCATACACAAAAAGACATAAAAGGCCAAAGAGCACATAGCCTGTAACTGACTCATTCGGCAGGTTGACTCCTGTAAAGATGGAGCTATCGTTAATAGCCGGTCCAAAGTAGGAAGTCTAATAGGAAGGCGGCTATCCAAACAAAAGCCCACCTCATTAAACTTTGGACGGATCAGGGAAACCTAAAAGCGTATGAGAATATCCCAAGGCAGAAATGTATGTTGTCACAGTAGATGGCGCATTGTGGAAATTGAATATATATGCCATTAACAGAGCCAGTGGTGATGGGAAAACGGGAAGAAAGCTAAAGGGTAAGTGAAAAACTGAATTGTGAAAGTTATAAAAAGCTTCCAAGCACGCCGATAGGTGAGAATGGAGGACGGTTGCAGGCTAGAACGCAGATGAAAGTAGGTCCCTGACGCCAACTTAGGTGCAAGAGATGAAGAGATTATTGAAAATTAATTCTAGGAACGATGCCCAATGTACAAGAAGTGGTCCTAAAATAGATCGCCATGGGAAACCAAATTTACGAGTTTCGGTTGAAGATATTACTTTGTTTACGCATTTTGAAAGATGATGCACCTAGGAATATTGCTACTCTCTCTCTCTCTCTCTCTCTGGGTGGGTTGCTTATCTATCGCATGGCTAACCCAAGCAGTAGAGACATTTAGCCCCGGCTTTTCCACTTTTCCGGTTGATTTTGAAAGTAATCGATGAAGTTGACCCACCGAAATCATCGGCAGATTTTCAGGAACTCTCTCTTAGCGTTGAATCCACTCCCCTTACCTTAACCTTGAAAATCTTTCTGGGAATTAGTGCACTCTCCGATCAGACGAGAAAAAAAAGCTATGCACCAATTCTTGCATCATTCATTTAGCGTTTTATCTTAAAAGAAAGGCTTTCTTTACTGAAATATATGGCGTTTTGCCTATCATTGTCTAGTATCGAGTACCCAGTAAATTTCTGCCTTTTTGAATGATTAAAAGGATTTTATTACATTTATATGATATACACTGGTCATTTAATTTTTAATTAAGAATAATTCAAGAATATTCAGCCTGCTCTGGAAAAACAGCATTCTTACATATAAAAAAGTGTAGCAAGTTTACGCTCACCATCGTAAAAGAAAAGTGGAAAATGTTTAAAAAATTAAATGCAGCGTCCACAGTTAGCCCTCAAGCTGAATGCCTTGCAGCTAAAACAATGCATGCTTTCTGCTTAGCCTTATTGCTTCTTCGCTTGTTAAGTACTTTTAAGTAGTACAGACGGTCACTTCAACTTTTGGTTTTTCGTAAGTATCATTCAATTGTGCTTCATTTTGAACTGTTCCATTCCATCGATGTATCTTACTTCGGTGGTGTTTTGTCAATTTGTACATCAGTTTGGTAATCTCCTTTTTTATGTCCCTTTTGAAAAAAGCATAAGCCAACGGATTAACGGCAGAGTTGCAAACAAACGTAGGTATCTTGTATGTCGAATCTAAACACCATTTGTTCAAAATATACAAAACGCCACAGCGTATATTAAGACTGTTGTAAGCAAGAAAGAAGCTTGATACGATTGTCATCAATATTACCCCGGACTTCTCATAAGGTTTATACGAAACGCGGTGGTTGAAACGTAACTGTCGAGTTAAAATATCGGCTGCTCGATTGTGTTTATATGCAACACGGAACATGGAAATTAGACAGAAGATAATCACGCAGCATGGGAGAAACTCATAAAAAAGAATAACAAACCAAATAAATATTTTCAGTATGGTGGTTGAATTTAAACCTATCCAAAGTGACGATTCTAGTAAAATAAAACTGACAGTTATTGTCCAAGGCACAAAAATCATTTGGACAACTCGCCGGCGAGTCATCAGAGTCACATATTTGAAAGGCTTCACGATGGCAATATAGCGCTCCAGTACTAAACTACACAGGCACACCACAGAGGCATCTTGAAACAACCAGCGTACAATCAATTCAGCCCTTTTTAAATCTTGCGAATAGCTGCGATCTCTTGTCACCTCGTATGAAAAGAGCAAAGGAACAGCAGTTATCCCAATGAAGAGGTCCGCCACTGCAAGTGAAACCACAAACGCGTTGGTTTTTGTACGAAGTTGTCGTTTTTTGCACACAAGGAATATAATAAATCCATTTCCAGTTATTGTCAGAATGGACAGAAACCAGCCAAGAACCCAAAACCAAGACTCCATTTTTCAGTTAAAAATTTTAGGTTATTTATCTCCGTTATATTATTGCAAGTGACGACATAATTAAAATTGTCCAATCATCTGTTTTGGACTTATTGACTTGTTTGCTATTGTAATTTGAATACGTGAGAGTCTTGTCTTATGCTCATAACGTAAGGAGAGATTAAGGCAACAGGCAATCTTGAGATTTAATTGGACATTTATTCAATTTGATCAGATAAAAACTGAGCAAATCAAGTCTCATGGATCAAGCCAAACATGCTTAGTTATCATGACAAACGACAAGTAATGGGAAAACTTGGTAACGTGGTGCAGATTGAAGTTTGCTGTTTGCCTTGAACGTGATTTTAAATCTCTCTTGTGACGCAAGAATAACAAAACAGAACTTCCGGCTCAAGTAAAGAGGCACGTTTGATGGGTATTGCAAGCTGAGCCTGCGTGAGAGATATTCGTAGACGTGTTCCCTTAAGGCGTCTTACATGCAGCCGAGAATATTTATTACTATGAAATTTACTCCATCAATTCTGCTGATAACAGCAAAATGTTGTGTTTTATTACCCCACCGACCAACACCACATTGAATCTTACGCATTGTTATCACCTTGGTGATTAGAAAAAATGCACGAATGCTTGATGCAGTGGTTTCAATAAAAAAAATGTCATTCCAATAAAATATATATATATAAACAAAAAGGCAAAAATAACAAGAAATAAAAAAATTAACAACAGCAGCGACAAAAAATAAAAATCTTCATCTTTATTGATCGTCATCATTAAGGGTGACAGCACGGCTATCTGCCGATATGTTAAACAGCTGAAAACAGCTGCCCTGTGCTGAACATATTCCATCTGCAAGGAATACAACGGTTTCATGCTTTCTATCGGGAATAAGAAATATTCAGAAAGAAAGAATGAGAAGAACATTCTCGCCTGATTTACTGTATTTGCAATTTTCCGTTACTTGAACATATGCCTTACTTCGCTGTCACGTGCGCTTTTTCTTTTTGTGCCCGCAAATTTGCAAGACATTAACACTGAAACGTTCTCATGAGATGAGAATGAGATGAGATGGTCCCTGCTTTAGTGATTTTAGTGCGACTTTTTACTACTTTCGACGAAACAGTTCTGAATTTGATTAAAAAGTTAGGTTTTATCGGCTTTTAATACCACGATATGAAAGGTAACATTAAGGAAAAGACGATAAAACTCAGTAACAGAATCCTTTTTAGCGGAATACATCGTTTATTCCTTTTCTTTGTGACATAGGTTGGGGTTCGACAATCTTCTAATTGAGTCAGTCCTTGTTTTAAAAGAGTAGAAGGTAGCACAGATGATTAGGTAAAGTTACGAAATAGTCAGTTTGAAATATGGTGCAGTATTTTAACAGTGTGAATTTCTTGTTCCTTTCCTTTTGCGTAATAACATATTACGTATCTACCATAAAACTCCTTTCAATCAGTACTATACTTGGTAAATTACAAAAAGAGTCGCATTGCTAGCGTTAGTATCAATTACCTAATGCGGGTCATCGCTCTTGGGGTTCTCCTAAAGAACTGAAAAATTAATATAAATCATTTAGCAGTGTTCTTTAGCCATTAAGTGGCGGCAATGTGCCGCGTCTTTAGCTGCCCGAATATTGTTGTCTCTGTTTTGAAATTGCAAATAGCAGTCGTAAACGCACGAAAATTATAATTGCAAAAAGAAGGTCAACGAGGTTTAGCGATTTTCTGTAATCAGCCAAATCGAACAAATTTGTGGTAGCTCTAAGGTAATGGTAAAATTTTATATTGAGAAAAAAAAAGCTAATGTTAACGCATCGGCTATAGAAGGTTATTTGGCTGCATTTGGTAAGGATAGAATGGATAAAAAGAAATCTGCCGTTTACTTGCATGCTTTTCGTTTGTTACTGGCTCTTTTTTGATATCAATTTTGGCCATGATCTTGTTTATTTCAAACATTAATTATCTTTTAAAATAGGGAACTTCAGTAAGCGACCAGGACGACAACAGCAAAGAAAACCTCACAAATAAAATTTAATGAATTCTTTCAAACTTCGTCGCGTTTATTCTGACTGGCTCATTTTGTCAGTTTTAATAGGTGAATTTTTCCTGGATTTGAATTCTAATTTTGGGAATGCGTACGAAAAATTCGTTGGTATGTGAAAATCAAATTTTACCTTTTTCGTCCCATTTTTATGCTTTGATATGGTCCTTAGAATTAAATGCCGGGGTAGATTGGCGACATTTGACAAATTTGACAAATTGAAATGTATATCGCGATGAAGTTTGACAGGCCGCAAATTCACTGTAAAAGTGACGTCAACGTCACTGTCGCGAGTCCAGAGCGAGTAAATAAGGAAGTTTTTAAAGTTATAAAACAGTACTCCCCTTTTTTATGTCAGGGATTACACTGAGTGTTCTTCACGGGATAAAAGTCACCAGAAAGACACTTGGCGGTTGATTACGCTGTATTTGGACAACACACAAGATGTGTTTGAGCACAAAAACAAACAGGACCTTTCAGAGGGTAGTCTATTGGGTAAGGAATCAATTTTACTTTACTATTGCGTTTCACTCGTCACATAGGACGGAAATGAGCAGATAAGCAGGGTAAAGCTTATGTCGTTGTGTTTGTTTGTGTTTACAGTGATCTATAATCTCTTACAAAAATCTTGAATTACTTGAAGTTAAATTTAACACTGGCCTCGCTTCCTTCTCTCTCCCCCTTACCCCGGGCCAACTAAAAATAGGTAGCTTACGCAACAACGACAGCGACGGTAACGAGAACGGCAAAACAGCCATAGGTTTGGACTGGGAAAGCAACAACTTTGCATCACGCTTTTTTGTACATTTCTTGGCCGTCAATGCACGACTACGACGTGATAATGCCACGATTTTTCGAGGGCTGAACACAAGACAACAACTTTCCTTTTCTTTTCCTGAACTTTGATGCAGTCCTTTGCAATTCAACTCCAAAAAAAAATTGCCAAAATTTGACGACTTAAACGAGATGGAATAAGCGCGAAAAAGTTTGAGGCAGCGCGAATTCACTTTTTAAGTGACGTTTTCGTAGCCGTTGCCGTCGTTGTTGCTTAAGCTCCCTAATGTTTTTTTGGCCATGCATTTGTGGAATTACATATATTAGGTTTTTCAAAGGCTTATGACGAGAATTTCAGTAGATATTGTTGTTATTGCAGTTATACAGTAGGGTTTATTGCGAAATACCAGGTGCAAAGCAGACACACAAAACCCAAAAAATATAAGAAAGAATACCGGGTATAGTTACCAGCAAAATGACAGAACTATTTGTGAAACGGTTAGCGTTGTTGATGGGTTACGATGACTGAGCAAAGCACAGCCTCATATTTCCAAACTCAATTGATGGCAAAAACTGTGGTGTTGTGTGCTTATTTTGTGTCTGATTTCTTGTTATTTTGTTTTGTTTAGTGGCTATTTCCTTTTTGAAGATAAAGGAAGTAGTCTGAACAGATCATGTTGGTTTTGCTCCACACCTTATCTTCTTTAAAGTAATCAGCTTTTTGGATACTGGTTTTAGGCTCTTTCTTAATGATTTAAGCCCCTTTTCGCGTGCGGTTCTAGCGTGACTTCTCGCGAATCCCGCAAATGGAGAGGTTGCTCGCAGGCTAAAATAATGTTTGAAAACGTACCCATATAATAGCATTCCCACTATTTAAACAGTGCGCTGTATTTTATTATCGCGATATCTGTTGCTCTAGCTAACTGTGCATAGGGTTAGAATCTTTATTCTGTGTTTTCACTCGCGTGGCCAGCGTCTATGCAAATTTATTGGAACAAAAGAAAGCGTTTACGTAAGAAAAGAGTTCAACTCCCACAGGACTGGTTTGGGACACAAACGTGGCCGCCGTTTCATTGTTTTGGGACACAAATATGGCCGCCATGCCGTCATGTGAAAACACACAATACCTTATGATCATGGGGTATAAAGATTCTAACCCCACAGTTAGCTAGAGAAACAGATACACAATAGTCATAAACAGATAGTCATAAATCAGCTTATCACTTTAGTTTCTATTGGTTGTAATTTCAGCTGACGGATTTCAGTTCCTTTTCCGCTACTGTCGTGACAACGAACTACGATACTTACTAATGTTTGTGCAAACAACTCTCGCTTCAGTAACGTAAGTTGAACCAAATTTTCTTGTTCGCTCAAATTCAGCCACAAATTTGTGGAAACCTCATTATGTTTGCAATATATGTGGTGGTTTTTATTTTTCTTTAGTCCTTTTTTTTTCTGGCGCAAATTATGTTTATGGCTCTTAACAAAGAGAAAACAAACCTAAACTCGTTTACTCCAGTTCACCAAAGAACGCTTTGAACCACAATTTGTCCATATATTTTTCAACTATTTTAAAAATTACTCTCTGAATTGCTTAAAATAACCCTAGGTGGCTCGTTTCTCCCATTTAACTTTAACTCTGTTGCGTTTGTTGAGTCACCATTTCATTTTATCGCCAGTTTGATTGTTATGGTGATGTCTATTTCATTTTCCTTTTCCATTATTAAGACAAAATTCCAGAAGAAAAGCAGACTCATCAGGTAAGTTAATGTGAGGCTTTGTAGTAGTCTTTCACATCATTCTAAAAGAAGGAGTACTGTAAAAACCCGCGTATAAGAACCTAGATTTTAAGAGCCTGTTAGACTAAGATTGTCCATGTAGACCCCTTTTACATAAGAACCTGCTTTAGCCTCCATTTTTGAAACAGGTTCTTATTTCGAGAAATTCAGTCAAACACTGATGAATGCACAAATTTGATATAACATGCTCTACCAGTCAGTAAAATGAAGATAAAACCCTGGCAAGAAGACAATTGACATGTAGATCTATATAACCTTGTACTTTGGTTCTGTTTAACTTGCATAGCTTTGTATAAAATTCATAAATGGCTTTAACATACTTGGTTTAAAGGGAGTTTTATAACATATTATGCACGCAATACCAAAAATAGGCCCAATAAGGGCCACACCCACCAATGACAAACACCTTATTTAGTTTTAAAAATAAGAACTTGTTGAAGAACCTGAGTGGCCTAATTTTCCAGTTAGCACCATTTTTATAAGAATCTTCTTAGCCTAGCTTGGAAAAACGTAGGTTCTTATACGCGGGTTTTTACTGTAAATTAACCGCGTAAAACATTTCAGCTGAAAAGGCACTCTGAAATAGACCCTATCAGTTTTAAAATTCGTTGGAATTCTGTTGACCTTCTACAATGAAGCGTTGGCTTAGATAATTGAACAATTGTTGACAACATTGCCGAAGAGGGAGAGGACGGGATTAATTTGAAACCGGACAATGTTATGTAGTTTTCCTCTGATTAACTAAGTGTGTTTACTGTCACGTAAGGTTCTTTTTCTTACGTATTGACCCTTTGGATTCTAGGTTCATTTTTGTAGACCTGTTGTGTCCTTGTAAACTGTTGTTTGTAAAGGAAATCCGGTGCTGTAGGTTATATTCAAAGTAAGCTCCTTTGATGGATGTTTTGCGTGGATCAGTTGTTTTTCTTGTCTGGTGCAAACGGACATTTTGAAAAAAAAAGCAGTTTCATGAGTTTCTTCCACTGGACATTCGTTATGAATCGTCTATTGCCAGACAGGGAAGACCAAAAGGGCTGTAAACGGAGACATAAAACCAACGTGTGTTAGTATAACACAGTTTTACAATAACTAACCTCCTGTGATACATAGCAATGTACTATATGACATTGAATGATCAACCCAAAGTGATTTCGTACTGAAGGTATCACAGCACACCATTTTCAGTGGCTAATACTACTCATCTCACAAGCTTCATCTCTTTCCCTTAGACGCTGCCAGAGGCATGTGGAAACACTTGTTTAGTCACGTGAGAAGCCTGGTGTATGATACACAGTGTATCCAGACCTTGCCCAGTCCCTTGGCGGACACGCTTGCTGCTTTTACGCTCTCGGCCCTTGAAAGGTAACATGTAGCCTAAATTTCAGCCGTCCCTTAATTCGAGTCGCATCCTCACGAAAGGGAAGTCTGAATCAACGAGCCTCTAATGCCGTCCAGTGACGATCAAGTAGTGATTTTGATTGGATAATTGGCCAAATATTCGCATAGTTATGTATGATTATGAGTAATTTGAGCGCGACTGTCATTTCATATTCAGCGGATCGCAGGCTTGCGTGGAATGCAAAATGTCGGCAATCGATATCGTGAACAGCAAAATATCCCTCGTCTTCGAAAGTATGACTTGTTAAATTGAACGACGAATGAAAAATCAATGCGGAAAGTAGGTAGGTTTTCATTTAAAGCCGCTTTGTGGTTGCGGTAGTGATTAACTTTATGGGAAGCATAACTTATAATCAGTGATCGAACTAGCAAACTTTCGAACTTCCTGCCACTTCCACTGTCAAGTGTTATTATTCTCTAGATTTTTGCTTTCTTGTTTTTTTTGCTTCCTTTTCTACGTTAAGGGCCAAATAGCTTCTTTCAAATTAAAGCTAATTGAAGGAAGTGTCCCGTGTGTATTTCATTCTTGCGTGGCCGCGATCGAGTTTGATTGTTGAATTATAGGACCATACAAGCACGATTTGTTCAGAATACTGCATTTAGTTAACAGTTTGAATGCCTAACATTAATTTCGATTTACGAGTAAAACAATTCTATACCGGGTAGACATTTCCGGGCGACATTTCTTTCTTCGCCAGTTGAAAATCGTGCTTTACTTTTTGCATGAATTAAAGTAAAGGAGACGGACGGCGTTAGCAGCTCGATGATTCAGACGTCCCTTTCGGGAGTTTGCGACTCGAGGGGACGGCTGAAATTAAGGCTAGGTACAAATAGGCATGCAATAAGACATATAAAGGTTTACTTTATTAAGATCCACCCTTAGGGGAAGTCATCAAGTGACATTCATGATCGAAACCCTAATGATTTTTCCTACCTAAAGTACGCTACTTGACGCTAGAAACTCAAGGCTTGAAGTTTGTATGAATTAGAAAAAAAAAGTCCCACGAAATAGACAAAACAAAACAAAATAATAACGAAAGCTTGTCCGGTTTATTATTTAGTAGTTTTGTGTTGTATTGTTTAATGCTGTGGCTCCTTTAATTCGATTGCTTTTTAGTCACCCTGGAGAAGTAAAGGAGCTAGCGGGTGTGTCATTCTCCAGTCTTTTCCAGGAGCTTGGAGTTCAGGATGAAGTATCGGCAAGGTTTGGAATTTACATCTTTATATTTAACCATCCTCAACAACTTTATGCAGCGACACACCTGTTTTTTTAAGTTTCATTTTGTCTGCATGCAGTGACTTTCCTTAGCGACGAGCATGTTAATAGTTATTTTTTTAGTGCTTTACCATCATAATTGGCTAGGATCTTAGAACAATCAAAATCTATTCGCCTTTTCTACCCATTTGAAGAAACACTTTGCTTTTTATGTAGTTTCCCTTGAACTTCGTTGTACTCAGTCCTCATTTGCCTGAGCAAACTGTTTAGCTCAGGTAGTCAGTATTTTACTAATAGTATTATCTGCCTCTTGCAGCTTTTGCTGTCGATTTTTGTGCCATATTTTGCCATGCTCAGAGGCAATGACAGCTATTCAAGCACAGAACCTACAAGGAAATGTTATTCACACTTGGTTCAGATGTTTATTAAAGCTCCCTCCTTCTCACGAGGGAGTAGCTGAATTCACGAGGTATTTTCTCCTTTTCCTCCAAGCATGGATGTTCGCAGATACTTTTTCACTCCTCTCAAATTCACATCAATGCCAGGACTTATGCCTGGTTTACATAGGATCTCGTGAGGGTCTGCAACAGTCTGGGACTCCCCTACATCTCTCTATTTAAAGACATAGGCCTACGTGGATTATTTGACTAGATTATATTCAAAGGTTTACATTAAAATGCCCATCCCAGCCTTCAATTACACTGTCAATTACACTGTTACTTATTACATGATTTAAACCCATTTGGTAAATAAGTGTTCTTGCTTTTCATCTATAAACTCATTCTCAGGAAAATAACCACTATGTACCATGCAACGATAGGCAAATTGAGCTTGATGATAAACTTAATGACCTGTCCCAAGGGAAGCGGGTATCTGTCAGTTCTCGGGAATCTTAATGTTTCCCGAGGCGGAGCCGAAAATGCCCTTTGATATTTATTGTTGAAAGTCGCGTGACCTTGGGTTGACCAATGAGACTTTGTGCTGTTGTTGAAAATGTGTCCAGCTATAATGTAAGGTGTGTTTCTTTACAGGGCCGTTGCCAAGTTACCTGAAATGGAGGTGATTTTGAGGAATCAGGTATTGGAAGATCAGATTGTTTTTATGATCACGATAAGATTCTGGGAAACTGCCCACCTACCCCTCCCCTATGCCAACATCCTGCCCTAAGTGAGAAGTCGGTGTTAACGATGGGTTGCGCGACGGATGGGGTGGGGTGGGGTGGTGTACAGTTTCCTACAATGTGGGAAACAAGCCTTTTGGCCTTCATAGGCGAAGTACCTGTTGTAGTTTGTCAGACAGTGAACACGGAAGCAACCTTTTCTACCATTTCGACATGGCTGTTGTGCAGAGAAAGTTGTTTTAAATGCATTTTCCGGTCAATGATATGTTGGCCATTGTCTTTTAGTCCCGTCATTTTGAGGTGACAGTAGGTTGGTGAGTGCACCGAACAAAATTCCATTGCGTAGGTTTGGCGGTTAGCTAAGGTTTGAATGTACGTAGCAAGAACCCATAAACCTGAGCCTGCAACTTCCATGTACTCACTGCGTTTTCACCGATCGGTTAATTTTTAGGATTTTTGCGCGAATTTAGAATATCTTGTAAGTCGAATAAACCAGTCAGCAGAACCTACAGACTTGAAAATGGTATTTTTCACCTTTTAATGACGTTTAGTTTTCCATTTTCATATCTTATCCTTCACACTCATTGACGGAGCGAAGCCTTGAGTTCGCGGGAAACGGTGCTATGAAAATGTGTCTAAAAATAAACCGGTCCGTGAAAACGCCGTGACATAGGCCTAGCATGGAGGTTGTTCTTTTCGGCTCATGGGCTCCTGACATAGAATACGTTCATTATTACCGACCTCTTCTTTCGACTTTTATAGAACGGATTTGGGACAGGTGAGAGCAGTGAAACATCCCTACAACTGTTTATTGCTTCAATTGGGCGTTACCATTCCTCATTGGTAAGTACATGTACGAGTGCATGTTGTAGTAACAGAGATATGGTTTACAATAAATTTGATGGTAGCAGCATATTTTTGCACTTATGTCGTTTTCTCTAACAGTTACCCTCAGGGTTCGTGCGCACCCTGAAAGCCCTTGACTTTTAGGAGTCTGACTCCAAGGCCTTGACATTGGTTTTTGGTCCTTGAAAGTCCTTGATTTTTTTATCGAAGAAAATCTAAATTATTAACGCTTTAAAATGTGCTGAGTTTAAATTAGAGAGTGTAATTGCAGAAAGAATAAATGCTCGTGAAATACGTATAAAACCCGTTCATTCGTTTCCTATTACTCTCGCGCACATGTACATCAAGCTACAAGGGACCCGGCGCACTCTCAAGAAAAAGTCCTTGAAATTTCAAAGATTGGCCCTGGAAAGTCCTTCAATGTTTGGCTTGAAAAGGTGTATGATCCCTGTACTATATTCATGCTCAAAACTCCTGATACTCACAACCATTTGCCCAAGCGCGCAGGGGCCAGTTGCATACAACCTAGCGTCAGACGTAATCGCGCACGTGTTGCGTTCATACAAGAGTTTGACTGGGTTGTTGATCAGGCGTTAGCCTTTACGTCCGGCGTCAAGTATTATGCGAGCAGTTTCACCAAGATGGGTCCCTCACACCAAATTTTCCTTCAACATTTTGTTTAGTTTTTAACGCTAAATCTAGCCGTCACAAAGCAACTATTTGATTTTCACTTTTGTCGTATTAGGAGTGATTTTAACATGGGTTATCATTTCCCTTTTTTTATCAAAATTCAGTGATTTCTTTCCCGATTATCAAGCCATCACTCCATTTCATGAAAAGCTCATTTGACATATTTTTCAGACCACGTTTGACGAGTCAATCCAGTTCCGAGAGAAGGTACAACGATACCTGGGTGATGTCATGAAATATGTTGATCACGTGCTTAAAAATGCTGGGCCTCCCGACCTGCTACGGTACGTCGAATTGGACCATTGCTACATGAGAAACAGCGAAACAGGAAAGCGCCACATAGGTTTTTTTACTTTAAACCTCGATGTACATGCAAGACAGAAGGCATACCCACACAGTGGCACAAAGGCGTGACTGGAGCCCCCGTTTTAGATTTTTCATTTTTTCCCCTAAAAATGTAAAGTTTTTTTCTCAGAAATACCCTTTACCACAGCTTTTTGCATCATTATGTTTCTTTTCAACTACTGGTACGTAGGAGATGGACTCCGAACGGTAGATTAGTAGCACTGACATTTCATGGAATGGTATCCTGTATTAAAAGCACTGAAAACTACAAAAGTGAGCACGAAACTGACTGAATATATGTCTTTGAATGTTCTTTTCTCTAAATTTATTGATTTTCTCTCACGTTTTTTTCGATTTAGGTTGGCTTATCATGTGGCAGGACTGCTGACCAAACACTGTTATAGAATTATATACAGCAAGGTAGGGGATTTGCTTTATGGGAAAACCAGAAAGGCTATTTTTAAAAAAGACGAATCCTAAAGAGAATACGTCTTTGTTTCCTTAATTTATTCTACAAAACTTGGCCAGATGTCAAAGATAGTAAAACTTCGACTAAGTGAGCGTTATTTTTTATTATTTATTTCAAGCCTATTTTTTGAAAAGGAATCTACCGAAATTTGCAGCCTTTTGAGTGAAAAGGGGGTTTTTTGCTCCTGATAAGCTCAAAAATCACACTAACGAAGAAAGAGCGAGGAGGAAGAAAGGAGGAAAAAAGAAAAAAGCAATGGTTATACTCTTATCTTTTATATTTCCTACTTTGGAGGTAGGTTTTGGCCGGGAAAAAACTGCTTGACGAAAGACGTTTATTTGGCCGTAGTCTACGTAACGTTTTTAAAAATCCGTAAATTTATTTTTCCTTATGTGTTATCGTTATTTTCCAGACGCAGCCCCGTTGTCTCTTCCCTCGCTTAGTAGATCAATTTGCTCTTCCATTACCGAACAGCAAAAAGCCAGTAGCACCTCTTGTGATGCAGTCCATCAAGACTCACCTACATCAGGTATCTAGTCAAACTAACCACGACAGTTAATTGCTCTGTCTTAGGTGTCCTATATAGATAACTTGTTCTAAACGTAAGAGTCGTTTACTGCTCAGGGAAATTAAGGCGTTTCAAATGGTGCGACCAACCAATGGCGTAACACAGAACATTGATAAAACACAGGTCAATACCCAAGCCACCACTTAATAGATCGCTTTCACTCACGTGGTCAGCAGCTATTCAACTTTCTTGGAAAAAATAAAGTTTTTACATGAGAAGACCGTTCAACTCCCACACCAAGGTGACCTCCGTTTCATTGTTTTGTACACCAATATGGCCGCCGTGACGTCATGTGAAAACAATCTATAGTTCCTGCAACATAAAAAAACTAGCCTGCAAAGCAGGCGTATTTTGCAGCGCGATCCATAAATTTTTTCGGGGATATTGCTATCCCGCCATCTTGCACGTTAAAGCTGCCAGATATAGACAGTCAAAAAGTGTTATGTCTGACGTTAGGTTTCCCGTAACTGGACTCAGTTCACTACAAACTATAACTCTGTAATTTGTTTGAATTTAGTTTCTACAGGGTCTCGCTTGCTTAGACTTCAAGCGAGACGAGTTTATTAGAAGAAAAATCAAGCAAATGTTTACCACGTACTTTCGTCTTTTTAACCAGGTAAACATGTTTTAATAGCTTTCCCTGACTGATAGCGCTATATGTTGCTGTTTATTGCATGGACTACCTTTTGTGTGTAAAGTCATATAAAGTTTAGCTAAGTAATTGAATTAGTTTTGTAAAAATTTTGGGATGACTAAAAATCATACCCTTCTTTCTCAACCAATAAGGAGCTACAACCGAAACCACGAGAGGCTTGCCTGCTCTTGCTTTTCCCGCGCTTGGAGTTGGCGGCATGTGTTTGTTTTCAGTTCTGATTGGCTAAAATGTATAGTTTTCTCCAATTGTTGCAATTAACCTTTCCCGCACTCCGCTCCAGTAGGAAGCGGCAGCGAACAGAGTGACCGAGTGGAGGAGAGAGCATGGGGCAAATCCACGTTTGAAAGGCGGGAAAATGAATTTAAATTTGCAATGAAACGAAGTCGGGGCCTGGGTGGACAGGTTCACACAGATCTTCGTATGTTGACACCATAAGCTTAGAGCTAGCGCCTTTGTTGGGGGTACGAGTAAAAATCTATTTATAATATTGTTTTAAATTCTCCCAAGCGTAGGTGAATAGAATAAAGTCACCATGAGTTTCCTTTTCCTAGATGCTGCAAACAGCTTCCCAGTCGTCCAATATTACAACAAAGAATCCATTTATGGTATGAAGCATAATATTTAGATATAATTTCAAGCGTCCTCGACCTACAAATTAAGGACTGAAATCCTAAATGAGACTCTGAAAACACAGAGAAGACAGGATTTATTCTCTGTTAATCGCCACTGGTGAATAATTCTGCGATCATTGCTTTATGTGGCTTTTTACAACTTTACTACAGTCGAGCTTGCACATAATAGTGACTAATACAAATACACTATTTCTTAATTTATTAATTTTTCTTTTTCCTGTCTGCAAGGTTGTATTGAAAGGTTCTTGTTTAGCCAGTCCAACTCCTGAGAGCAGGTTTGTCCGTGGAGCTAAATATTCAAACCAGTTAGATAACTAGAATTCCCTCTGTCTGCTATAGTCCTCTTTTCTCCTTTCTGCTCTCCAAAGTTAGGTTTCCCATACTATATTTCGAAAAAATAATGAAACGCGAACGAAAGAAACACGTTATTTATTGATATCTTTATTTAGTTTCATGCGAAAATGGAAAGATTACTTCTTTTATGTTAATGCGTAACAAAATAATTTTGAATTTTTTTTTTCGGGAAAATATATTTAAAAGGCGTTGTTGAAAAAAGAAAGAGATGTGCAAAGTTTTGACACCCGCTTAGTACGCCATCGCATTGCTTTTAGTTTAAGCTGTTGAGATCCTTCTCTATTTTACTTTCCGTAGTGACTTTCGTCAGTTCGCTATAGAGATCGTTCGCGAGTCTTTCCTTCACCTACCTCAGCCGCCTGCAAACCTCACGTCGGTAAGTCTTCTTAACTTCCTATTCAATAAATAGACAGCAATTTTTCATGGTCTACCGTGGACACTCTCGTAGACCATATCTCTCGACCAATTAGCGCGGGAGAAGTCACCCAGTTATTGTAAAACATAGTTTTTAATGGAAGTTGAAATGGAAACTATCTCATTGTCTCGAGCAGTCACTCTAGAGGTGATGTTATATGAGACGACTCGCAACAACGATTGTTAGCGCAACACAGCGTTGCAACATTGTTGCGACATTGTTTTTAGTAGTTACAACATTGTTCCAACATTGCAACGCTTTGTTGCGCTAAAAATCGTCGCTGCGAATCGTCCCCTGTAACATCACCTTAAGACTCGTAACTGCTAAGTGCCCGTCTTAGATGCCGTGTTTACACGATCGGAAAAACCCCACGCTCGAAGAAACGCTGCGCCCAATCAGAAGAATGTAGCGTTTATTCGAGGATTATAGCAAAAAGAGAATAACAAGTAGGGTACAACTGATAGTTTACCACAAGCCAGACCGTTACGAATCTCTCTCAGCTACAAAGTTAGCATAGGACTTTGAAATACAATGTAAACGCTGCTCCAGAAATGCCATTGCGCAGAATGTAAAAAATTCACAACGCCGCGGCCTCTAATCAAGTAAGAGTGTTCGAAGGGCGAGAAATATTACTGAAAATTGAGAAAAATAAAAGATGAGCGGAATGCGCTGATCAAAAATATGTAAACAACTTAATGTTTGGCGCGACAAACTTTAAATGTTTGGCAGCAAAACACGTCATGTCTGGCAACCTATGAGAACATTTTTTTTTTGTCTCGTGTCTACGCTTAGATGCAACCGACGGTATTTACCGGTAGTTCATTTGCAGTAGCTAATCGTTTTACTCAAGGGTGGGAGATTCAACGAATTATTTGCTGCTTTCCATTTGCAGACACTTTACTTCTTGGAACAACTGTTCAAGAAGACACTTTCTTCTTCCGAAACAGCAAGGTGAGAACAGCGAAACCTTGACCTTACACACCGAGACGCTTAATTACAGTAAGCGTGAACTCAAGCTCGCCATGTTAAATGCTAGGGATTCGCAAAAAAACAACAAATTAAAAGAGATGTGCTTTTTGTGTAACTTAACACTTTGATACTGCTATTAGCCTGTAAACCCGCGGAATGGCGGATGGGGGAAGATACAATATCTCGAGTACCCTTTCACTCCTCCACTAGCAGCGACGTGGTTTCCATGACAACAAACATCCGGGGAATTTTTTGCACATCGATCAATCGTTGGAGTCGATAAGGTCGACTGATAAATCGCGGAATGGCTCTGAAATATCCATTCGTAATGCAAAGATATGAGCAAGCTGAGACAGAGGATGCCGAGTTCCTTCCGTCTTCTCTACTCTCACTTCATTCACAGAAAAGCCTCAGTTGGGGCTATTCAACGTTGTAGGAAAAAGATGTTTTTCTTTTCCCAGACTAAGCAATGTGAGCTGAGAAACTGGATAGAGGAAAACCGGCGAATGAAGGTTTTAATACGCTTTGCTTTTGCGCTGCTTTCTTGCCAAGATCATTAACCGGCGAAAGTTCATTAAATAAATTATGCAAAACAATTAACAAACTAGGGCCTTCTTTTGCAGGAACACCCCCGTACTGCTTACGGCCATAACTGGCTGCCTGCTGGCGTGTAACCAGTTTACTCCGGGAAATGAACCACCCGAAATAAGAAGACAAGGTACATATTTTACAAAGAATGCTTTTATTGTTGTAGCTCTGTCCTGTCCTTTCTTTCTGCTAGCGCCTCTGTTTGTTTCCTCCAGAAAAGGAATGATATTTTCTCCAGGCGAAAACTCGAACTGTTAGAGTTATCTTAAAGATCCAATCTATTTCATTGAAGCTTCAATATTCTGAATGGAAACCGTCATCTTTAAAAAGTACTAGTTCAATAGCCCTTATGTGTGTTTACGCGAGGCAAGTAAATTTCACCACTATGCCTCGTTTTGAAGTTGTAAAGTTGCGGGGTTTTACAGAAATGAATTCCCAAGGCAGTAGAGTTGAAAAGAATACCCGTGCACACGGAACGTAGAAGAGTTTTGCTGAGCAAACGTACCCTGGGTGCCAGAGACTTTTCTAGCGCGGTTTCCGGTTTCTGTCAGTCTTTATATTGATCCGCGCGTTTTTTCTCTCGGCTTCGACCTTCGGCCTTCGGCCGACACCGAAAATTCCCGCCGCAGGCCAGAAAAACCTCTGGTACCCAGGGTGGTACAAACGAGGCTTGGTGGTGAAATTTGTTCGTCTGACGTAATCATGCCTAGGGCCATTTGGACTGATTATATGCCCCTTTATGTGATCATAATGCTTAGTTTTATAATTTTTCGCTTCAGCGAGTGAAATCCTCCGCATGATGCTTAAAGCCTGCCGAACGGCACCAGAAATAAACTCAAGGTATAAGAGAACAAGCTCAAGTTGTCCAAAAGGTTGATAACGCTATCCACTGGATAAATCTCTTTCCGAGGGATAACTCAATTGGTTTCCTTAATACTTACACACTGGATAGGGATAGCGCTATCCAACGTTTCAATAACCGGAGCCAGACCTCTGACTTTCAAGTTATGTTTTCATCAGTTTTTGGTGGTCGAAGTGGAAATCTAACCTCGTTTCAGAGTTAACCCTGGGAATGAGATTGGTGGAGATATGGGAGAGCGAGAGATTATGGCCTCGGCTCCCTCTGATATTTTCCCTCCCGGCCAGCCGAGTACGCTCGCAACACTGAACAATGTAAATTTGTAGCATCTCCTGAAAAAAAAGGAGAGGTAATGGTCCTTGAAGTGAAAAAAAAAAAAACGTTTTCGAGTTCTCTCGTCTTCACTACAACCTGACCATCTAATCCCATGGTAACTCAAATCTTTCTTTGTCAAAAATGTCCCGTCATCCTTCCTATCCACATTGCCAATGAAATCTGAAACTTACCATTGAAAACTTGCGTGTGTGAATAATCTTTTTTTTTTGTTCGTTAGAGATATTCTCCTTCCTCACTTGAGAGATTTCTTGTACAGCAACATTACACGAGCCCAGGTAGGAGGCGTTCGGCTTGTACCCTCTTGTTCCATCTGTTGAATTTCTCAAATGTTGGCCAATTTCCCTGGGGGTTTGAATTCTGGGGGGCAATATCTAAAGAAAAAATGAAATTTTTTTCTTGTGGTCACGTCCTGCATAATAAAACGTGATTTTTTTAGGCACTTTCAGGTCATAGTCGTTCAATGGCTGCAAAGAAATGCGCAAAAAGGTGTTGTTCGTGCAAACATGTTGTTTTGCTGATCTAAACTTAATTTTGCCGTTTTTGTTGCCGTTGCCATCGTCGTCGAGACTAGTGGCCAGCCAAAGAAAAACTCGAGAAAGAGGAAATAATGCGGACTTTTCAAGTGATAGTTGATTGTACTATGTTTTCTTTGCTCTTTCCAGGGTTTGGTGTTCAAAACCTTTGAAACACTAGCCACATTCGATCCAGACCTCATGGCAGGGTTAATTCAAGCAGGAAAACAAGCCTTGATTCAGCTCGAACAAAAAAGGGGTGTGGGAGCAGATATGCAGTTGAGGTCAGTTTTTCGAATAAAATCTGTCGTGTTTGTTAGACTCCGGTATTTACGGGCTCGTGCCATCGCAAATAGGAGTCGTAAACTATGTTTGCTGTGGGAGATTCTTCGTCCGTCGCGTTGTTTTTTGGACAAAACGTGTTTTTTGCTCACTTGTCCTGGACAGAGTTATGTCACTTTAACTTTTCTAACTAGCAAATCAATCTCAAAATCAATCAATGACGTCAGTTGTTTGTCTTTTGGTGAAGTGCAGTGTAAAAATCACCAGTTCATGCATTTTCGGGCATTCATCTTCTCACCTCATGAGAAACGTGGGGCATGTATTTTGTTTCCATAGTGCTACGCCTCATTTTACCGTTTTGTAATTGTAATTTGTTTAAACACGGAGCACTTAGTATACGTTTCAGATCGAATTGGAATTTCGAAGAGTTGGTTTTTATGGAGAGGGAAAAGCGGAGTACCCGGAGAAAAACCTCTGGGAGTAAGGGAGAGAACCAACAACAAACTCTACCCACATATGGCGTTGACGCCGGGATTTGAACCCAGGCCACATTGGTGGGAGGCGAGTGCTTTCACCACTCTGCCACCCTTGCTCCCCCAGTAAGTCCCACTATCCAAATACTAATTCTCCAGACTGATCTCCATACATTTCCTTTGAGAATATTTGAGAAAATTTGATAAAAGATCAAAATATTTTCCCTTTGATGGTCATTTTTAATTATTAGTTCTCGTAACCTTTTCTCTTGGCAATGTATTGAAATTGTTTGAAAAAAATGGATGTTGGTGACTCATGGGACTTGACGAGTTAAGACGAAATTGTCCTCTCATAGTACTGAGACCATTTTTTGATCGTCCGTTTTAGGTCATCATTCAAGTCATTCCTGAGTAAACTTGGACATAGTGGCGAAGTGGCCATTAAGGCAGTGGAGGAGAAAGACACTGCAATGCAATATTGACTGATGCATCTGCGTGTGTATTTACCCGCTAAGCCAGACAGGCTAGGGATAGTTTCAAATTCATTTGTGTCAATGATTCGACGCGTAGTGCCTTTCAGGTCGCCCTACACGAGCTGAGTTTTCTCTTCCTAGCGACCTTCAATGTATCGCAGGGACAAATTGCCGGTAAAGTACCCCGTGACTTTCCTAGGAGTGTCCAGAGAAGGCCAGTATTCCCGCGTGTCATCATCGCGACTGTTACCTTACACATAATTCCAATACTATACTATATGAACAATTCAGTAAAGGAACTTTGCTTAGGTTAGGGTATGTTATATTTAAAAATGTTATTGCTGCCGCAGTTAGCGAACCTGAAGCGAACGAACGAGGCAGCTCTCTAATCGGCAAAAAATTACATTGTAGGGGCATTCAATCACTTTTTTCTCACCGGTGCAGCGCTCTGCCAATTAAGCTAACAAGCCAACTAGGAGCAGGTCGTTGAATTGGTTCGTTATAAACCCGTGAAAGGATGATGATGAAGTTATGAATATATACCAGATATACTGAATATATACTAATAAAGAAAACAAGAACTCTGTACTTGCTCATGTGTTCTGGTACAACAAATGAAACACTAAGAACACACTTGAAACTTTCTTTTGTCTTCCTATATTTCTTCTGACTACGACGTGAAAGTTCCTAATGCATTTAGTCAATTTTTCCTGTTCCCATTTCCCGTGAAAATACGGAGCATTTGGCGTCTTGCCGGTCCCGAGGCTGGGGCAGCAGCAGACTTAGCGCTGCCCGACGGTCCAGCATTTGGCTAACTTCAAAAATGGAAGGACCACGGGGACAAACAGCGGCGAAGACAAGGCGGATCATGGACAGAATGCTGTTTAGCTCGATCAGTGTCCAATCATCATTATATTATTTTGGTTCGCTCCGACCGCCGGGAATTTGATATGAATCCAAGAAGAAGAAAAAGAAGAAAGTAGAAGCAGCCTAAATGTGTCATCAGTGAAAATGCATATTATTTAGCCTTATTAAAGCTTAATATAAGAGTACGAGTTCTAAGATTTTATAAGTTCTGCGTGTGCTGCAGTTTCAATGTGTTCGCCAGGATGTTTGCGTGATGTGCTACAAATGTTGCGTGACTGAGCTAATTACCTATGCACCATGCATCAACTCGTTCACAGTGACGGTGACGTTTAACGTATTTATATTTGAAGAGTGCAAATAGTCGAGTTGCTGGCAGAACATTTTCGTTACTGCGTTGAATATGGGTCATTATTCAAAGGGATCTGAAAAGCCACCCTTTAAAGACGATCGCCTTCGTCTGTACAGCATGCGATTCTGTCCATATGCTCAGGTCAGTGGAGCACTTTCGTTGTTCCATTCATTCTTAACACCCCGATGTTCGCTCGCAGCGGTAGGCATGAGTTACAAAATCAGCAACACAAACGCGTCCCGTGAAGAAAAGTAGAATGAATCAAACGAAAGGAAGAAGTTGTGACCCTTTACTCGATCCATGAAACTGCTGTTAAAAAAAAATCTGCAAAGCGTGACGAAAAATATGCGTGATTAATTGCTATTAATACTTTTAACCAACGCTATTTCTCGTTCTTCCACGTACATTGTACTCCGTTGTTATTTTTCTTGAAAAACTCTCCACAATCCTTGGTGCGGTCTCCTTCAATGATAAGGTATTGCAACGAATAATGTTATAAAATTCGCGTTCTTTTATAATCTGTTTACAGAGACCTCGTCTCGTTCTAGCCGCTAAAGGTATTGATTACGAGTGCGTAAACGTCAACTTAAAGGACAAACCAGATTGGTTCCTCGATTTAAACCCTGGTGGAACAGTTCCAGTGATCGAACAACCTGATGGGGCCGTTATATATGAGTCAGCGATATGCTGTGGTAGGTACATGTAGCTCGTTCTGTAGCGTGCCCAGGGGGGACGCATGCACGCAACACTTTTAACTCTTCTCCTGTTTAATTTCACTTCTGGTAGTAGCTGATTAAAGTAAAAAAAATTCAGGGAAAAAAATCACAATTTTTTGCTTTAAGTAATTTTATCTATGTGTATAATCTCAAACAGAAGATGGCTGGGTACAAGCCCGTGTATTATGAGATAACCAACACGAGACGTGACCCACAGCACATAGCCATGGATTCACCGGCGAAAAATGTCTGATTGGTCGTCGCGCGACCACGTGACGTTGCCAAATTCAAAATGGCGGCAACACCTCCAAAGTTTGTTTATTCCAGTGGAAAGAAGGTTAATAGGGGCTTTATATGAGTTGCAAATGCATGTCGGATATTTTTAGAATAGCCTAGACTTTTTATTATCCTTTTTCACCTATTCCTGTGGGATTCGTTTCCTGCGATGCTCGCGATTTCGCCGGTTTACAGGATTCAACTTTGGATCACGAAGGAGTACACTGTTTCTGAAAAAAGCAGAGTCACTAGAACGAACGGCCTTTGTTCACAGCTCAATGCAGCAGATAAATAAGACACTATGGGTTTATTGTTATTGTTATTTTTTTACCGAAAAGGTAGCAAAAATATTTTTCCTCCAGCAACACTTTCCAATTTATAAAAAAAGCTTGAACATGAGCTAAATGAACTTTAGTGTCTGCATTCAGTCTTTTCTTTGAGAACGGGTGCAATTTTAATATCAAAACTTTAAAGCCGTCTTTGACCGAGCAAGGTTTTTTTTCTTTTTTTTTTTTTCAGTGGTTACTGTGCTTGATGTGAATAACATAATGGGATTTATAAAATTAGCGGAACACTATATTTAAAAGAAGAGAACTTACTTAGTTCGAAAAAATACTGATTATACTTTTTAGTATATAAAGGTTAAAAAAGTGATGCATATAGTCTAAAGTGCTACAAAGGAGTAAAAACCCAGATCTTTCCATTAGTAACTTTTATTGTCACTGTCAGGGACATATGCTTTCCTTGAGTACACATTTGTTCGTTAAAAATCTTGTTTGTGAGGCTGCACTTTGTTTGATTCAGGATCAATAAATCTTTTCTGAAGAGAAGTGAAAAGTAAATAATGTTAACATGTCAGATAATTCAGCACTGCCTTAGCCAACAACTAAGAAGAAACTGAACTTCATATCAAAAAACAAAGTGAAAACTACTTCACTGTGAAACAACAACCCCTTCAAATATATATCACATTAAATTCATGCAAAATGTAGACCTGATGAGAAGTTTATAGGAACAGAAACAAACGATAATTACGATGAAACTATAATGTTTGAATGAGATCTGTAAGTGTTCTCTCATAATTCGGACAGAAGATCAAAATCATGGAAACTGCACATCCTACACAACATGATCCAACGAAAATTTCATTAAGACTCAAAGTTTACTCCAAACTTTATACTCCTGATTATTTTTTTTATCCTGTTCATCTCCTTCCAGGATCCAATTTTCAAGCAAAGAAGCACCCCCCACAGAAAGCCTTGTGTGCAAAAAGTTTGCACTGAAAAATTGTACACGGGAGAAATCATGTCCGTAAGTGCAGTTCCTAACGCGGAAAGTAACAAGGACCTCTTTGTGGATAATCCCAAGCCAAATTTATGAGCAAAATAATTTAAACTTCCATCCTTCAATTATACCATTGCCAGCCTAAATGTACAGCAGCTGTACACATTGTAAACAGAATATTTTTTACAAATCAAATGTTGCTGGACCTATCGAACTGTGGCTCCAAGACGGTATTAGCGTTTTAATGAAAACACTCACATTTTCTCATTCGACAGTTCGGATAAAACTCAAATTTCTGTAACATACAAAGCTGTACTAATGTACAACAACAATGAAATGTGGATCGATGGACAAAACACGTTTCGAACTACGCACTTTAACTTTCGATCCACTTTTTTTGAGCTACAAGACAATTTACACACCAAGACAATGGCTAAGAGTAATTCTTTACCTTATTTATAATTTCCCTTTGTACCGAGTGACACGAGATTAAGTTGAACCAAGCGTAAGCTTATTTTTCTGCCATAAACAGTGTAAACATGCGGAGATTAATATGAGAGACTGGGCCGAGCGTCATGGCGGAAGGCCACGCGGTGTGAAGAGCAACTTCAAGAAGGGAAAACCTCGGTTATTTTGAATCAGAATTATGACTAAATCCAAAAGGGGAGAAAGAGGCTCCAGCTCTAGTTCTGTTTCATCCAACACCGAATTAAAAAAAGCAAGGATGCACGAAGAAGAAGAGGAAACAAATTCACTCAGGGACTTAATTCAAAACTTAACGGCGAATATGGAAAGCAACTTTGCGAAGCTGCACGAAGAATTATGTGGCCTGAGGCAGGAAATGAAGGAAGAAATTGATATGTTGAAGAGCAATATTAAAGGCGTGGAAAAAAGTGTAGATGAAATATGGGCGACCATTGAAGATATGAAAGAGGCAACCAAAGCTCTGAAAGACTCTAAAACGGTACAGGAGGACGAGATGCAAGAACTGCGAGCGCTTCTTACAAAAACCAAAGCTGAGCTAAAGGAGGAAAGAGAGAAAGCTATAGAGCTGGAAGATCAGTATACTCGGCGCGAGAATCTAAAATTTCATAATATCCCAGAATCAGATGAAGAAGGTGTTAACCACTCGCCGAAACAAGTTATTCTCAGCATTTTGCAAAAGGAGTTGCAAATGGACACTGCACAAATTCGATTTCACGCAGTGCATCGAATTGGCAAGCGAAAAGAAAACAAACACAGACCGATCATTGCTCGCTTCGTTTGCCGAGAAGACAGAGACCAGGTTTTTGCCAGGAAGAAGGGAGTTAAAGAGAGCACAAGGTTCAAGGACGCTTACATAACCGAGGATTATGCAAAAGCTATACAAGATGAACGAAGGAAGCTAATAAAGGCGATGTTCAAGGCAAAGGAGCAAGGTTCAGAGGCCAAAGTGGTTGGTAGATATCTGTACATAGGAGAACTAAAGTATGATGTAACAAATATCCCTGAGGATTTTAAGTAGATCAAAGAACGAACATAGATCTGTTCAACTAATTTACAGTACTGCTGGTGCAATACAACAACTTCTTTAAGTCAGATTGAAGCTAATTAGATTCTGAAAAACACAATATTTAAATTTGTCGAAAGGTCAGTACCTTCTTAAAATACTTCATTTGAGTATCTCAAGGGAGTATGTTTCGGCTAGTGTTTTGGTGGTTAACGTGTGTCCCTGTATTATTTTCTTTTTCTTATCTGTTAGTGTTGTATTTGAGATTTTTTCGAGTGTTTTTCTATTCTAATTTTCGCTTACTGTGTTTCTTTACTAATTTTATCTATGCACAATCAGTATCCTTTACTTGCTTTCAAAGTATGTCTACATTCACGCCTTCGTTTGGTCAATTACACGTCCGGCTCTTTTGTTTTCAGCTATGCAGTCCCACAATTTACATACAGTGACATTAGTTGTTCAGTGCTTTTAAACTAATATCGCTTAATGTGAAGGGCTTAAGTAATTTCCGCAAAAGAAAAACCATCTTTCTCTGGTGTCGTAAACGTAAAGCAGACCTTGTTTTTTTACAAGAGACGCACTCGATCGCTGCAACAGAGAATCAATGGAGAAATGATTGGGGTGCAGAGATGATATCTTCCCACGGTAGTTCTAATTCGCGAGGTGTTGCGATTTTGTTTAAAAATGGTATTGATTGCAGCATTACTCATAAAATTGTAGACCCCGAGGGGCGTTATATTATTTTAAAAGCTTGCATCCAAGATAAAGACTATGTGCTGATTAATGTTTATGCGCCGAACAAAGATAAAGACCAAGTGAATTTTTTCAACAACCTACTTTCAATTTTGCAAAATGAAAATCTGGATTCTTTGGATAACATCATACTAGGAGGAGATCTAAATTGTCCACTCGATCCATTACTCGACAAAAAAGGCGGAGCAAGTACAAAAAGGAAGTCAGTTATCTCTTGTGTCGAAGATTTCAAAAGTAAATTAGATTTAGTGGATATCTGGAGATCCAAAAATCCAGAGGCAAAAAGTTTTACGTGGAGTCAAAAATTTCCCCCTGTGTTTTGTCGTCTCGATTACTGGTTGATATCTAACAACCTGAGCGATTTTGTTGAATTGACCGAAATAATCCCGGCTGTACGAACAGATCATGATGCAATTTCTTTAGAACTCGGAAAGCTAGAGGACGAATTGAAAGGGCCAGGAAACTGGAAAATGAACTGCTCTCTGTTAGATGATGAAGATTACGAAGAAGATATAGCCAGGATGATTCCACTTTGGGTAGCGGAAGGACAGAAAGAATTTACAGATAATCGAATGATATGGGATTGGATTAAATATAACATAAGAGCTCATGCTATTCAATACTCTAAAAGAAAGGCAAAAGAAAGGGGGAAAAAGGAACTTGACCTTCAGGAGAAATTAACTAAAGCAAAAAGTAAACTTGAAAATAATCCAAACGACCATAACAAAACCTATTATAACGTAGTTCAGGAGAAGTTGGAGTCATTTTACGAAGAAAAAACCAAAGGCGTAATAATACGAGCACGTGCTAGATGGCATGAACATGGAGAGAAAAGCACAAAATATTTTTTAAACTTAGAAAAAAGGAACCACGTTAAGAAGCATATAAGAAAACTGTGCATAAATGGTAAAATTACAACGGATCCGCACTGTATACTAAAAGAACAAGAGCGTTTTTACAGAGAATTGTACAAAAGCAGCATTAAGAGTCCCAATACAGGAGAGAAAATATCTTCATTTTTGAACGATGTGAATATTCCCCAACTTTCAGAGGAGGAAAAAAATTCCTGTGAAGGATTAATTTCTCCAGAAGAATGTTCTGGACTCTTGGATAGCTTTCAGAGTAATAAATCCCCTGGAAATGATGGCATTCCAGCTGAATTCTATAGAAAATTTTGGCCTTTAATAAGCGAAAGTTTTATCAGGTGTGCAAATGAATGCTTCGAAAAAGGGGAAATGTCATGCTCACAAAAACAGGCTGTAATTACTCTGCTTGAGAAAAGCGGAAAAGATCGCACTCTCCTCGAAAACTGGCGGCCAATATCTCTTGTTAATGTAGATACGAAAATTATGTCCAAGGTGATCGCAGCAAGGGTTAAAAAGGTGTTACCCAGTATCATTCACTACAACCAGACTGGTTATGTTAAAGATCGTTTCATTGGTGAAGCAATACGTTCTATTTTCGATATTATGGACTTCACAGCTAAGGAAAACATCCCAGGTTTACTGCTGTTTATAGATTTTCAAAAAGCTTTTGATAGTGTGGAATGGGAATTTCTCATTGAGAGTCTTAAAAAGTTTAACTTTGGTCGAGATTTCCTTCAATGGGTGAAAACCTTTTATAAGAGCATTCAAAGCTGTGTTATAAACAATGGCGTTAGTTCTAACTTTTTTACTCTGGAACGCGGTGTTAGGCAGGGTGATCCACTCTCTCCTTACTTATTTATAATTGCTGTAGAAACTTTAGCAATTGCTATAAGGCAAAAAGAGTCAATTAAAGGAATCACAATAGGAACTGAGGAAACTAAGCTTCTACAGTTTGCAGACGATACAACCGCTGTGTTAGCTGACACAAGCTCGGCCGCAAGATTATTTGAACTACTTAACAAATTCGAAATTCTCTCTGGACTCAAGATTAACTGTTCAAAAACTGAAGGTATGTGGATTGGATCTAAGAGACATTATAAAGAAAAACCATTCGGTATTAAATGGCCGGACGAGCCAATAAAAGCTCTAGGTGTATATTTTACTTATGACCAAAAATTGCTTAAAGAAAAGAATTTTATAGAACGACTGGATTCAATTAAAGAACTTATTAATATATGGTCCGCTAGAGGCCTGTCGATATACGGTAAGGTGACAATAATCAAATCTTTTCTTATCCCTAAGTACATTTACATTTGTTCGATCCTTCCAACTCCCAAGAAATTACTAAAAGAATTGAATAAAATACTGTTTAAATTTCTCTGGAAAGGTGTAGATAAGGTAACAAGAGCTTCAGTTATAAACGAATACGAAGAGGGGAGGGCTAAGAATGGTTGATCTCGAGTGCATGGTTAAGTCATTGAGATTAGCTTGGTTAAAACGTATCTTCAGTGGGACTAATGGAACTTGGAAAAGCTACCTACAACACATACTGAGCTCCGTTGGGGGATTGTTCTTTTTTAACTGCAACTACAATATCTCGGATTACACAATTCCTTCTCAATTTTATCAGGAACTTTTGTTATGGTGGTCGCAATTTCGTGAAACGTTTGCCACTGAAGAAGATTGGAAAACGATAATCTGGAATAACAAAGAAATAAAAGTAGAAAACAAGCCGGTTTATTATAAACATTATGTTAATGCGAGTGTCATTTGCATTCAGGATCTTTTATTTAGTCTGAACAGTACTGATTCTTATAATCAACTGTCTAAAAAAAATATGCAAAACAAATATTTTAGAATGGGCTGGCTTACGCAGGTCCATTCCATTATCGTTAAGAAGTTATGACAGGTATCCTTCCATAAACTCACCAACATTTGTGGTGGGTGACAATAATTTTGATGTTACGAAAGGGAAATCAAAGGATTACTACAACCTACTCATCAGAGAAAAAGCTAAACCGCCCAATATTATTCAAAAATTACAGAGTAACTTTAATTTTAACAGCGACAATCTGAAGCAAATATTTAAGCTGCCACACTCTATCGCTGTCGAATCGTATGTTAAAAAAGCCTTCCAGTACAAAGTAATTAACTCAATTCTTTACACAAATACAAAGTTGTATAAAATAGGTTATAGGACAAATGATTTATGTACTTTCTGTGACAATCAACCTGAATCATTAACGCATTTGTTCTATCACTGCTCACGCTCTAAACAGTTTTGGATTGAATTTGAACTATATTGGTGCCTTATTTCGAATCAACGAATTCGTCTCTGCTTGGAAAATGTGCTCTTTGGAATTTTGACGGAAAATGCTCGCCCTTTACTTCAATTGCTGAACTATTTTATAATTATTGGAAAACTCTATTTGTGGGACTGCAGGAGCAAACAAATCCTTCCAAACATTTGTGGATTTAAAGCCAAGATCATCGCTAAATATGAAACAGAAGAAAAAATCAGCAACAAAGAATTCTTTAAAAGAAAGTGGATACTGACGCCTTATTTAAGTTAACTGTATTACCTCCGTATTATTTCATTGCCCTGTTGTACTTTTTTTACAATTTCTTTTAGCCCTGTAACACCTCCTGTAATAATTTGACAATTTTTTTTTTGTGTGTGTGTGTGTGTTTTGTAAATGTAATTATTTAATGTGATTATCAATAAACATATTAAAAAAAAAAAAAAAGCTACTAAATACAGTTTTTCCAGTAACAAAGTACACGCTAAGTCATAACAAAACAAAGCCCCAAAATGTCTGTCCCTCTGCTTTTTTTTGTTGAATCTGTGATAAGAAACTTGAAGTAAACAACAAAAACATTTTGGGTAGCATTGTAATACGCTCGTCGATCAACAGTTGAGATTAAATTCATGCTCACAATCAAAGTCGAATTTTGACACAAAAACGGGATACACATTTAACAAAACTGTCGCTTCCGTGCAACTCGGTACAAGCTAATTTATATACCAAAAGAAAGCCCAATAATTTTTCTTCCACTACTTTATAATTTCTTTTTGTACCGAGTTGCACGGAACATGCAGTAAACAAAAAGAGCAAAAATTACCTACCTTTTCGGCATGTCTTCCAAATGCAAACCAGCGATCTCAACGTCAATAACAGTGGATCAGACCATGCCAATGCGATTTTTCGCCAGTTTCAGGACGCTGTATTCTCTAGAGAACACAATTACGTCAAAACTTTGACCAAATAATTTTTGATCTCTTACAGTGGTAAGAAATTTGCAACGCTGTCACTGCCAAAAAAAGCTGCCATCGCTACTTTCATCTGAACAACATTTCGCGGGCATTGTCGCCTCGGAGCCAATGATATTACCCGAAATTGATCAGGTGTCATTTTTTGCAGAGCATGCGTAGACATTTTCGCCGGTGAATAGCCATGGGCAGTTTTACGGTTTAGCGAATGCTCATTAATCAAAATGCTGTTTTTCTGCCGGGACATGTTGTATCATCTGTGCAAGCAATATGATCGTGTCACAATGTTGTCAAAGAACCAATCTGCACTCTCCCCTGGCAGTCATTTGATCAAATTATGTCCAAATACCTGTAAATTCATCAACCATGGAAGAAAACCTTCCGGTCAGCAATACATTCAACGTTGGTAGTGTTGGCATATTCCACTAATTTGTTCTACGATGTTAGTTCTCCTCCATCCTAGTTCAGGTTACTCTGAAATACACTTCTACTTTGAAATATACTCTGAGATCGCTGAGATACATGTGCGTGGGATTAAGTTATTAACGGACAGAATTAATAATACATTGGAAAAAAGTAATTTGATTAATGAGCATGCGCTTAACCGTGAACCTGTCCCTTTAATTGTGCCAATATTGAGCAAAATACAGCTGTTTAGAAACAATTAATTTGATAATTTTTGTATTCCCAGCAGTTTCATTTTGTCACACCTAGCCTGTGTAGCAACCCGGAAACGCTTCAGTGCTTTGCTGGTTAAACACCTGATTGACTTATTTTCTGCTTCACGGACATTCCACAAATATTTCTAATGTCTTTTTTTTTCACTTATTATTGTTTTTTTTTTCAGATTACCTGGAAGAAGCTTTTCCTGATATACCTCAGCTTTATCCTAGCGATCCAGTCAAAAAATCTCAGCAGAAGATTATTGTGGAAACAATGGGAAAGGCGGTAGGGACCCATTTTTTCTGCTATCTTACTATATTTCTGGCGATATAATATAGCCCAGTTTCAAACAAGCAAAATTCATACTGGGCTTTGAGGCTGGCGGGGGGATAAAACAAAATAAATGAATTATTGCCAACGAGCCATCTGAGCGAAGACGCGAGGATGGCGAGGCGGCAGCAGAATAGAGCCGCCCAAGACTGGGCAACAGGCAGAAAAATTCTCGATCGAGCTTTAAAACGTGTAACCTGATGTAATGTAGATTCCCCTGAGACCAAGTGGTGTGACGGTTGTCAATCAATCATAAGGCGGTACCTGGCGCACATGTGTTCTAATTCCCCAGGGGGGCAAGGGCTGAAGTTGAATGTGGTACGCTTTTAAAAATACAAAATTTTACACAAGCTTACGCGCGTAGTTCCCGCCGACGCGACTTCCTGTGTTTATTTACCCAAATTTATTTGTCAAACCTGGCCCCGGAAATCAAGAAAAATGAGTGCTTGATGCATTGTATTGATTTGGGGGGCCATTAATGTAAAGTTTTCACGAAGAGAAGCTTGTAAAACAACAGTTTGTTAAAGCAAAGAAGAGTGTTCCATGTGAAACAAGACGCTGTGAGAGCGTATATTTGGTCGTCGATGTACTAGGTGTGTGTGAACTTTTCTGTGTATTAGGGATGTGTATGTTGTGCAGTAGCGTTGCATATTTTAGGGGTTGGTTAAGATGCGTTAAGTGGAAGGCGTGGAGATATATTGAACGCGAAATGGTAAGATAATGCATGGCTGTAGTTTGTTAATCAGTGAAACTTGTTTCTTGTAGAATTTAGTATGAAGTGACAAAAAATAATTATTTGGGGAGGTAAAAGTGATTTTAGGTGTTGCAGTGAGGTAGTTGTGGAAGTGCTAATTTGGTCTTGAAGGAATAGTGTTGTTACAGTTGTTTAATTGAAGTGGTGGTTGTGAAAAGTCTTCATACTTGTACTTATTTTAAACGTTGAGTTTTTTGTTTAGGATTGTTTTTCGCTTATTTTTGATAACATTTGTACCGAGAGAACATGGATTAGGCCAAAAGTTCATTTGATGCAGATAAGGGGGTATGAAGATGAAGCCAAGTATGAATTTTGATAATTCGAAACTGGTGTTTTGCTGATCTGACCTTTGTTGTCTGAAATAATTGTCTAGAAATGTTATAAATTGTCAGTAAAACTGTTGCATAGAGCCTTAATTTGTGGACAGAGTTCTCAGAGTTCTTTAACCAATAAAAACACATTTCTTGACCCCCTAATAAATGTTTAGTGCTTGGGTTATTCTGAGCCATTGTTAATTTTTGCAAATAACAAAAATAATAGTCTGTATAACTGTGTAGCCATGCAACTGGTGACTGGCAAACCTTGGCTAAATATTTAGCCTTTAGCAGTTCTTTTGGGAATTGGCACATGGACAATCCCAATTGGGCAAGATTTAGCCAATCTCTCTCAAGATTTTGCTTGATTTTTTGCGGTATGCGGTCTTCAGTCTGCAATCTGCACATGTTATGCTTCACCAGGAACCCATAAGCTAGACTGTTAACAGTCCCCTATTTTTCTGTAAGATCGTCGAGATCGTGCGCTTTGCGTTACGGGCAGCCATCGTGGGTCCGCCATTAACTGTAAGACGCGCTCGTTCTCGACGATCTCACGGAAAAATAGGGGACTGTGAACAGTCTACCCATAAGCCGGAGCGAGTAACTTTTATATACCCGTGTCACGGCGATTTCACTAACCAGTTTATTATAAGAACGGTTTTGGCGCGAATTTTGAATATCTTGTAAATCCCGCAAATCAGTCGGCAAAACATACAGACCTTAGAATGGCATTTTTGACCTTTTAATGACGTTTAGTTGTTCTTATTCATATATTGTAGTTGAATGGGCTCACATACGGAGCGGAGCTTCTACTTTTGCGGGAAAAACTTCCCCGAAATGTATCTAAAAGTAAACCAGTCCGTCAAAAAGCCGTGACATAGGCCTATTATGGGTGTTTCTCTCTTCCTGGTTATGTGCTCTTGACACCGCTGGGCAGTTCCAACAGTTTCTGTTTAAGGGAGAGCTCTCTCATGTGACATGATGTCCTTGATTGTTCTTTGCAGTTTTTGACTGCATTTTTCAAAACCCTTTATGCTGTTGGTGAGGAAGAACCCAAGGAAGAACTGAAAAAACGATTGTCAGCATTTGACAAATATTTCCAACAAAATGACAAATATCTTGGAGGTGAGCCAATTTTGCTACTCAGGCAGAGGGAAGAAAAAGCAAGAATGTCTTTTTTTCCAGGTTGAGCACTTAAGAGTTTGGTTCTTTATACAAACCAAATTATTGCTTCCCAACTTCAAGTGTGTTCAAAAGGCAAGGACGATTCCGGACAAAAAAAAATCACATGGCCCCTCGACTTTCACCTATCACTTCTTCTCTTTCACCTAACTTTTCTTTACCCTTTTATTCCACTTTTTTGGATGCGCATTTGCTGTCCGGCGTCCATTAAGTTTACGCAAATCAAGAGGATGGCTGGTCTCCCCATGAAAATCTATATATTCCCCTTCCCCCCTCAATTATGAAGCCTTTGAAAGCTGCACAAGTTTATAGGTGTTATAGTTGATCGTTAAAATTGATTGAACACGCCCAGTTGAGGTGTAATTGTGCTCTAAAATACAAAGACAAACCGAGTGTAAACTTTCCTCCCCCCCCCCCCTTCACCATTACCGTGATTTCCTCTTGCCTTTCTCCCTCCCATCCTTGGTTTGTGCTTGATACTTAAGATTTTTTAGTATTTATTCAAAATATTTCCTCCATTCTGATGGGCTAAAACCACACGCATAATTCACCATAACCAGTTACTTATCACCAAATTTGGAAGAATTTTATGTTTAATGAGGAAATGACGTCAAAAATGCAGCGTTCTTGCAGGTTAATGCATCGTTAACAGAGAAGACCTGGGGACGAGGTTGAGTTGTCTTGGTTGTGAAAACAAAAAGTGGTGAACATTTCACTCGTTTCAAGAGAAAGAACTAGGCGAAATTATAGCTAAAAACATGGCAAGAACAGCAAGAACACAACTCGAAGGGCGAGATCTGCTATTTGGAGAATATTTGCGGATCTGAACAACCCTAAACGTGCACTAAACATCGATGGAGGTAAGCATGTTTTAGCTTTGCTTTTAAACTAGGAATTATTTTGAATGAATAATAAAACAATTATTGAATTCGGCTTTCCTATCATAATACCTCTTATGAAGAATTATGGAGATCTCGGAGGGTGTTATCCGTCGAGGCCGTAACACCCTCCTCGATCTCCATAATTCTTCATAAGATACTCAGCCTCATTCATTAATTGTTAAATATTTTCTTCAAAAGGCGATAAACCCGGAATGGGAGATTTCCTAATATGGCCATTTTTTGAACGCCTCCTTGTGTGGCAAGCGTTGATTGGATTAGACCTGACCCAGTTCCCAGCTGTCTCTGCATGGTGCGCGGCCATGAATGAAGTGCCTGCAGTAAAGGAATGCACTTATCCGGCAGAAATGTACTTAAAGTACTACGATGGCCTCAAGAGTGGTGATCCAGAAGCACAGCTCATCGGCATTGATCAGAAACCATAATGTAAAAGAGTAACTGCAACAACAACGGTTTTATTTCGTTGTTATACGCGTATGTGTTGTAGACTAGATCAGAAGTACATCATCGGTGGAAACAGCAAACGTACCTGTCAGTAAATGGCCTTAAGTCCTTTAATACATGTATTTCAAACAGTATTTCAATGTTAGTTCTCGCTTTTTCAACTACTTAGGTTGACTACAAACAGCGTAATAAATGGATTGAGCCAAAAGCTAAAAGCGAAGCTTTGTTTACACATTTAATATTTGATTTATTGATTGTTGAGGTGAAATGAGAGGGTTTCCATAGTCACTCTCTGTTCAAAAAACGGTCTCTTTTAGATTTTTCCAGTGGTACCCTACCCTCTCTCCTTACAGTAATATGCTCTTAGTTGCTCTATTCGGTTACCTTAAAATGCCATCTTGAGTTAGTGACATGTCAGTCGTCAATTCACAAATGAGGTTTTTCTTCCAAAGATACATTTGAGCATAAAAATCAATTAAACAGGAAATCGCTGCACCATGTCTCCAAAAACCGTTCTGAAATCCGTTTAGGCTATAGGTCTACATGTCATGAGTGCAAAGCTAAATGACACGATCATTGTCAATTCCTTTGTTTGAGTCACGAGTGACTCTATTCTAGGTGGCATGGATCGCCGTTTGCGACAAAGAAAATCTCGCGTCAGATATGATTATAGATGCTTTTCCGACAAGACTCCCCAACTCCTGAGGAATACCTATTACAGCAGGCCAAAAGGCATCAACTTCAATTTGACGTCTGCCTTTTCTAACAACTTGATTCTGGAGTAATGGTGGTAAACTGTCTATCAAGATAAGACTTAATACATAGAAGAGCTATAAAACTGATACAACTAAAACAAAACCTTACCTCTTATTTAGCCTATTCACTTACTCACTTTTGGCTCCAGTTATAGAGCAAAGGAAACCACTTCATCTTTACCTATCTTTTGGTTTTCTCTGAAGCTCATTCATTTGCACTATATTCGATATATCTTTCCAGGTTTTCATTATTCCAAACAATTCCCTTTCAATGGTTTCTTACACTAACAGTCTTGTATACTAGTACCACTGTTCAGTCTAGTTCAGATGTTTGGTGCTACTTTGTTTTTTTGCCATTTATAGCCAGCTTGTACCGGCATCAGTCTTATTAATTCCTTCTTTATGTCCCTTTTGAAAGATGCATAAGCCAACGGATTAACGGCGGAGTTAATAACCAACATAGGTATTTTGTATCTAGTATCTGAACACCCTTTGTTCAACAGAAAAAACAGAATGCCACAGCGTATAGCAAGAACATTGTAAGCAAGAAAGAAACCCGAAACAACTGACATCAATATAACGGCAGACTTCTCGTAGGTTTTATACGAAACACGATAATTAAAACGTAATTGTCGTGTTAAAATATGAAATTGTTGGTTGTGTTTATGTACAACAAACAGTATTGAAACCAAGCAAAAAATAACCATGCAACATGGCAAAAACGCAAAGAAAATAATGGCAAACCACATGAAAATTTTCCAGTTAAATGAATTTAAACTGATCAAGAGTGAAGATTCAAGCGAAATAAAAATAACTGTTATCGTCCAAGGAAGCGCAATCATTTGTATGACGCGCCGACGGGTCATAAAAGTTACATATTTGTAAGGCATCACGATGGCAATATACCGCTCCAATACTAAACTGCACAGGCACACCACAGAGGCATCTTGAAAAAACCAGCGCACTATGAATGTAGCCTTTTCTAAATCTTGCCAATAGCTGCGATCTCTCGTCATCTCGTGCAAAAACAGCAAAGGAAACACACATATCCCAACACAGAGATCTGCAACTGCGAGTGAAACCACAAACGCGTTGGTTTTGGTGCGAAGTTGTCGTTTGTTGCACACAAGGAATATAATAAATCCATTTCCAATAATCGTCAGAATGGAAAGAAACCAGCCAAGAACCAAAAACCACGTTTCCATTTTGCAGTCAGAGGTCTTCGTCACAGTTAATTCAGCTCCGCCAATATTCAGTTACTTATACAAACACCTGATCTCGAGTTAAAAGCTTGCATACAGGAAATATAATATATAATCGAAGCTGTCCTTGCGACCGCTCTCGTAACAACCAACCCCGTTTGATCTGCGACTCAAACTTTGTAATGAAAAGCTCTCTTAAGCGACCGCTCCCGTAAGCGACAGTGGCCACTTTTCGGATTACCCAACTGGACTTTTCCTTTACTTTAAAGCTCTCATAGGCGACCACTCAGAGTCTGTACTGTCGCAATTTGTAATAATCATCGCACTTTGTAATACCTGTCGCAATCTGTAATAAATCCATCGCACTTTGTAATACCTGTCGCAATTTGTAATATACCATGTCGCACTTTGTAATAAAAAAGGTGTCGCAATTTGTAATAACAGTCCATCGCACTTTGTAATAAACTAAGCTGTCGCAATTTGTAATAATTCCATCGCACTTTGTAATAATTTTTTGAGAGTGATTCAACTTAATTCGTCAACATTAATATAATGCCAAAATATGCATGGTACTTCATAAACAAAGATGATGACGTCTGCTAGCATGTAACATGTCCGTAACATTTTCTTTGGTCAAACATTCATTTCTTCCGCTATAAATTTTTCTGCCTTGATTAATCACGTGACTAACTAGAAACGCTTTTATGAAAGACATGTAACTTCCTGCGACATATCACTAAAAAGATATGAATCACGTTTAAATTCAAAAATATTTAAATAAGAAAGGCAACATTTAACAACAGAAAATTCATGAATAACCTGGCATTCGTCGTCCAAATCCCTGCTTGCTTGCCACGTTACACGTGAAGTCTTCGGCGGGGGTGGGAGGATAATCCCATATATGGATGGGCTAGATAGGTAAGTATCGCCTGATAGGGTATGGTTTTTGAGGATCTCGAGCCTTTAATAGGGTATCATTTTTTGCGTTGTTGGCCTTGTGTCTTTGGTTTGATCCTTAGATAGGGTAACTCAAGTAGTAATGGATGGTTTATTCCATCCTTTCCATTTTGTAGAAAAACAGTAATCCAGAACACGCTCGGAAGAATTGCAAGGTCTTACGAGTTGTATATACGCAGGGAAGGATAATTTTTTACCATCCCCATGGTATTTGCTTTAGAGGACTCCTTACAGAAAACAATTGTTTTAAGATGGAATGAGTACTCCTTTTGTTCCTATATGGGACCAAATCAAGTGAGAATAATGGACCAAATGCCCAGCCGGCTCACTGTAAGACCCCAAGTGAGTGTTATAAAAACAGGTACATACGACGGTATTGGCCAGCGACTAATTGGATTTTGTGTTTAGGTTTCTGTTGTGGTTCGAAGGTTTGCCACTGGTGACGTTTTTTTTTATTTGCAGTAAACATTTTGAATCTTTCCAGGCCTCGTTTGATTTAGTTGGCCAAAATGTGGAAGCCACTATTAATTCTTTAAGATTGTTCGTTAGACAAGAACGGTGCACCACGTGATGTGTCAACCTGTTATAAGATCTAACAAGGAAAACTTGAACTCTCCTGGTGTCCTTATTCGAATGATGTAGGATGATTGTTACGATTAGCGGAAATTAAATGCTTTTTAAGAATGGCTTGTTTGTGTCTAGTGTGTCTAGCTCTGTCTAGATCCTCTACTCTGGCAATGCTCTGTCCAGAGACACATCCCCGTATTGGCCATATAAGGAAGTACACCCGCCAGGTAACCATTGAGTGCAAGCCACCTAGTACAATAGCAAGGTTCAAGAATACAGCATTTCGTAAGTCAGATAACTAATCAACATTAATCTAAAAAAATGTTTAGGACTGTGAATAAAGTTAAATGTTTGAATGAGAGAGGAGATGTTACGTGCTAGCAGACGTCATCTCCATCTTTGTTTATGAAGTACCATGCATATTTTGGCGTTACATTAATGTTGACGAAGTAAGTTTAATTACTCTCAAAACGTTATTACAAAGTGCGATGGAATTATTACAAATTGCGACAGCTTAGTTTATTACAAAGTGCGATGGACAGTTGTTACAAATTGCGACAGCTTTTTTATTACAAAGTGCGACACGGTTTATTACAAATTGCGACAGGTATTACAAAGTGCGATGGATTTATTACAAATCGCGACAGGTATTACAAAGTGCGATGATTATTACAAATTGCGACAGTACAGAGTCTTATTCATATAAATCAACACTTTAATGAAACAGCACACTGCGCCAATGGTTCCTACACCTGTTTTTTCTTTATGAATTACAATGAGTATCTGATGCTCTCGACTCTCGTAAGCGACCACACTCTATTGTTTAGCCATGGGGTTGCTTATGAGAGCTTATTCTCGTGAGCGACCAGCTCTAGTTACGACCACTAGTGGTGGTGTTTAGGAGAATTAGCAATTTTTTGGGGGAGTAAAAGTGGGGAGTAAAATTTAATGTAGCGAGTAGCAAAAATTAATAAATCGTCCTTGAAAAAGATGCGCGGGAAACTTGTTAATTTATGCTAACCATGTTTAGGCAAGTACTAGTAATGACGTTACAACACCATAAGGTCCATTTGACAGGTTAGCAAGGCCATTAGACAAATGGAGGATGGAATAAAAAAATTGAGAAAGGAAAATAACAAAATCGTGGAGGAGGAGGAAAAGAAAAATGAAAAGGACAGGTGTCAGCCGAGTAAAACATTGTGCGCAGTTTAAAAAAAAGATAGCTTGCCTTCTTTGACTATTTTAATAGGATATTTAATCGAAGTCTTTTTTTGGCAATTATTTGAAAGGGTCATAAAGTTGATTTATTGTGTCTTAAGAAACGTGTCTGTTTTTATTGGAAGTGTTTATTGATTAGTTGCGTATTTCAATTGATCCTTGATGAGCTCAACTAATTTGTATGCAAATGTGGGCTTGTTAACTCGCATAATTAACTGACCAACGGCGCGTGAAACGATGAGTCTTCAATAGTTAGTCGTTTCCTTGAGATAGAAAGGAGAAAACCGTTTTGTAATAGTCAGACAAAATTGAGACAAATATTTTTCAGCTCCCTTTTTGTGTATGTGTGTGTTTTGTCTATATATATTCGATATTTAGCGGTAAATAGAAGACATTAGCCGTTTCTAATGGGCTTGCTAAACTGTCAACTGGACCTTATGGTGTTTTTATGTCATTACTACTGTAGTACTTACCTAAAGATGGTTCGCATAAATTAAACAAGTTTCCCGCGCATTTTATTTATTGGCAATTTATTTTGCGGCCCCAAAAGGGCATAATTCTACTCAGACACCACTACTACCACTTTTTCGAATTTCCGAGGTCGCTTACGAAAGCTTCGACTGTACATCACAAAAATTAGTTAACTGCGGTAAGAAAAAGGGCGCCTCTTCCGGGAAAGGGGACACATCTGTCAATGTTTTCTTTACAAGTTTATTGCTTTCAATTTAGTACATGATTAAAGCCATTCTGGATATACATTTTGGCGGTTCTAGGTAATCATCGTGATTATGACCTTGACAACGCGAAAAACTTTTGACAGTACATTAACATATGACGAGGAACCAGTGGCCCTAAAAGACTACTTTTCCTTTTCCTGTTATCGAGAATGATCGGCTCAATGTTCGTTATCCAGTTTCCCTATAAGAACAGAACGAGTGGAGAAGAAACACAAAATATGAGGGTTTTTTACGTAAGCGGTAGATTAACCTTCTTTAATTTATACTGATCGTTTTAACAATCAGTATATTATCAGTATATTAAAATACACTGTAGTCCACTTTTAGGCATCATATAAACCAAGTTGGTGATTGTTTCTCCGCAGAAGCAACGCGAAAAATGAATATATATATATATATATATATATATATTTAGTCGGGGGAGACGAGGTCTGGGACCGAGAAACGATGTTCTCACAAGTTGCAAAGCTGTCACCCTGCTTGGTGGTCAGCGGATAATGGCAGTATTTTTCCCACGGTAATTAATTTTAGACTTGTTAGAAGCAAGAAGCGAACCGGCCGAAGAAATCAGAAATGCTTAAAAAATTGAAAAAAATAACATCATGCATCTTTGTTTTTCTGGCATATCGTATTTGTCCTTCGGTACTGAAATTGCGGGAGAAGCTAAAACGCAAGCGTGTTAGATCTTAACCAACCAGAACGCGCTCGATCGATTTATTTATAGGTTACATAGTTTTTGCCGGGCAAGGATAACTTGATGCTGATAGAAATTACTGAAGCAAGTGTCAAATTTATCGGAGGCAAGTATATTCAAGAGAGATTTATGAGCTTACTGATCTACATATAACTGAATAAAAATTAACACTTCATAACATTTCACTTCGTTTATTTCGATCAGTCAAGATCTTGAATCCAAAGTTAAAATTCAAATCGATTCTAATAAACAAATCACAACTACTACCGAAAGCTTGTACCTTGAAGCGACTTTAACTTTCCCAAGCTAGGTTTGCCGCAAAACACTGCTCGATAGCTCAACTCTTCGGCGGTTCTTATCAGCTATACGGAGCTTTATGTTGCATATTCCAAACTCTGCAGAGGGAAATTGTTTAGCAGAAAAAAGAAAACCACACACTGTCTGAAAAGCGACATAAGATCAATAAATTTGCGAATTACCAAAATATAATAGTGAGAAACCTGGTGAGAAACAGTCCCGCCTTCGACTGCCATGTTTGACCGTTGATCTATGGTTTTTGACGTAATGCGCATGACCAGTTCACAAATCCGCTGGCAAGACCCTTGCTGATCGCTTTTGCAAATTGTTTGAATTTCATTTAAGAGAATGTATGGGAAGTAGCTTCCCCCCCGTGATATTTAGTAAAATCCAACTAGTAGTCTATTATTAATGCTGCGTTCTGATTGGTTGAGCTACTACTAGGCTGTATGTTATAGCCAACTAGTAGCAAAAAGCGACGGATTTTTGGCGGCAAGAAGAGGATTTAAGGCTTACTTTAACTAGCTAAAGTT